TCCCCGCCTGCCTCGATGCCCTCCGCCAACGCGTCGAGGCCGCCACGCCCGACAGCCCGCGCTACAACTTCTGTCTGGTGAACTACTACGCGACAGGCGACGACAGCATCTCGTACCACTCGGACGACGAGCGCTTCCTCGGCCCGAACCCGTGCATCGCGTCCTTGTCGCTCGGCGCGCAGCGGGATTTCCTCCTGAAGCATAAGCCGGCTGCCGCTGAGGGGGATGCCATCCCGCTCAAGATGGCCCTGGCGTCGGGGGATATGGTGGTTATGCGCGGGGAGACGCAGGCGAATTGGTTGCATTCTATCCCGAAGCGGAGGGGGGGCGAGGTTCATAGGGGGAGGATTAATATTACTTTTCGGAGGGCGGTGGTGCCTGGGGGGACGAATAATTACTATAATTATAATGTGGGTGAGGGGAAGGTGTATAGATGGAGTGAGAGTGAGGGGAGGATGGTAGAGAAGAGCGGTTGATCACACATGGATATGATTTGTTGTAGCATGCAACTAGGGAGTACTTGCAAGTGCATGAACTGTACCAAGCCATTTATTAATGAAATGCTTAAGCTCAGTCCCTTTGGCAGTGTCGAGTGAATTTCCTCCGTTTCTTCGTCGTCTGAGCTTTCGATGTTGACCCACGAGTGCTGGTATATAGGCTTTTCATTCAGTGGGTAGCCTGTCGACCTTAGCCAGCTAAGTATCGTGCGTTGAATTTTCTGATACTGACTGTGAAGAAAAGTCGTGGTGAGTGTGAGTTTTGATGCATCCTTTCCCACTGTTTTGCCCAGTCTCATTACCTGTCTAGCTACCACAACCTTCCCCCAAACGGTCGAGGTAGATCTTCTCTTCCCACGGAATGAAACATACGCGCCGCTACCCTACCTCCCCATCGTCTTCCTTCGCCTGGTCAATTGGCGCCGTTGTCAACTGGGAAATGTTCCGACTCGACGGCGGAGTTTCAGATAATTCAGTACTCGAAGTCAAATCTCTCCGCCATGACCCCCGATCCAGCATACGGATATCACAGCCAACATCACCGGGTCCTGGAGACTGTTCTGGCAGATCGTCCTAGCCCAGAACTGTACAATCAGAGATGGCATGATCGTCAACCAGAACAGTCTGGGGTATTTCTCCCCACGGGGGGAGGTATACTTCAGTACCGGCTTGGGAGGCAGTATTCCCGAAATCAGCAATAAAGAGTGTCCATTGCCAGTGGCAGTCAGCGTGCAGGACGCGGTGCCTAGTAATGTACTTCATCACTTCCCGATGGGCGATTCTTGTGCCATGGTGGCGAACTCGACTCCGTCTGGGGATCCTTGTGCGGTGAAAATGGATAGCTATCTGATGAGCAATATGACCAACGAGCTGAGACAATGGTCTCAATGTCCTTTTGGGACTTTTGCAAACGTCACTGGGTCATGCTTGAACGGTGATTCTCACAGCACAGCTGCAAGAGCAATGCTGGGCGTTGGGGGTTATTTGCTTCTGGTGATAAGCATCGGGTCAGGCGTCATGGCGATACTCTAAGCCATACTGGGATTTATCTCTACAAGAGTAGGATAACAATGTCGTACATGCATATGATAGTAATACCAGTCAGAGATGAAATGAAGTGGAAGGCATAGACATGTAGGCTGACCTCAATCAACACGGACATTCCTTTTGTCCAGTGGTGTCCGAGGCTGGGCGCGGTCAGCATGGAGATGACCCCGCTCGAGGCTGACTATTTATGTCGAACACTTTCCTAGCAATCATGGAGCGAGGTCACCATGGCTTCTTCACTTCCTATCTACTCGCTGCAAGATGTCTCGCGGCATAACACCTCGAAGGACCTCTGGGTCATAATCGACAAAGAAGTCTTTGATCTCACTCTGTTCCAGGCAGAGCATCCCGGGGGCGACAGGAGTGAGTTATCTACTTGGCAGATCAAGACAGCAGTCTGACAAAGGCAGTCCTGCGAAAGGTCGCCGGAAAAGATGCAACGGACGAATTCCTCCAGTATCACAGTGCGTCGATCCTCGCCCGTTATCGCGAACGGTTGCAAGTCGGGGTGTTGACGGCGGAGACGCCGGAGCCAAAGAAGGGATTTCTCAGCAGATTATTTAGCTCATGACCTGTCATTCCACTTGTATCTAAAGACATTCTACAGCTTCGGCCTCAATCCAGCCTCAATATCCCTCTTACTATCCTCCCTCAACACCCGCTTCAGAATCTTCCCGCTGGCATTCTTCGCAATGGCATCCACAAACTTGACCCCCCCTGTCAGCGCCTTGTACCTGGCCAGTCTCTCGCCAAGATACTGTCTTACATCGTTCTCCGTCAGATCCGCCCCTTCCCTGCCCGGCCGTCTGACCACATACGCACGGGGACACTCGGTGTCTGCCCCGGGAAACGTCACCCCAATCACCGCCGCATCGACGATGAGCGGGTGGCCCAGGAGAACGGCCTCCAGCTCCGGCGGCGCAACCTGGAACCCACGCACTTTGATGAGCTCTTTCTTCCGGTCGACGATGTACCATTTGCGCGTACGGCCGTCGCAGTACGCGATATCGCCCGTCTTGAACCAGCCCCCTGCATCGAAGGACTCGGCGTTGGCGGAGGCGTTCTGGTAGTAGCCCGGTGTGACGGTGGGCCCGCGCACGCAGAGCTCGCCGCGGACGCCGAACGAAGAGACGTTATTTCCGTTGTCGTCAATTAGTCTGGACAATTATATGTTAGTAGTGGATGTCTAGGGCGGTACAGACACTAACGTACTTGGCTTCGAGGTTCGGGATCAACCGGCCCACAGACCCCGTGTCGTCGTGCTCCGGGTACTCGAACATCGTCGCGATGCAGCACGTCTCCGTCATCCCCCAGACCTGTGTAAAGGGCGTTCCGTCTTTGAGGAGGGTGCGGAACCGCGCCTGCACGTCTTTGTCGAGCGGCGCTGCACCGCAGCTGACGGTCTTGATGGAGTGCAGGAACGGCCGGGTCCGCGACAACGGGGACATTAGGATGGCGATGGCGATGGGCGGGACGATGGCCATGTCGGTTGTCTGGTACCTTTCGTTGGTCGCCAGGTAGGTCTCGAGGTCGAAGCGGCGCATCAGGTAGACTGTGTGGCCGGCCTTGAGGGCGCCGAAGTGTGTGGAGGGGGCGGCCGCGGCGTGGAAGATGGGGATTGCGATGACGCGGGAAACCTGACAGACCCTTAACATGGATCGTCTGCCTGCAAATGGAAGAAAGATACCTGGTAGGGTCGTGGATGGACCTCGGAGCACAACTCGTGCTGCGCGATGAGGTTGTGATGCGTGATGGTCACGGCTTTGGGCAGTCCCGTCGTCCCACTGCTGAATAGCCTTGCGGCTGTGGTTTCCTTGGCCCGTTGCAGGTCATTAAAGGCCGTCCAGTCTTCTTCGCCGTGGTTGAACAGATCCTTCCACGATCGTCGGCCGGCCGGTACCTCCTGGCCCAGCACATCGAAGATGAGCACATTCGCTTGAGGGATACCTCTCTCCTTGACGGCCGCAAGAACAGGCGCCAGAATCTCCGGCTCGGAGATTACGAACTTTGCCTCGGAGGCCTTGAAGTGATGCGCCAGCTCCATTGGTGTGTAGGAGGGATTGGTACCGGTATAGATACCGCCCGCGCCAACGATGGCCAAAACTAGCATACAATAGTAGATCTATTATCTATGATCAGCCTTGCAAGGTACATAGGAGAGGGAGAATACATCATTGAAGGAGTGGATGGCGACGCAATCGCCTGGTTTGACTCCCCAGGCGCGTAGGCCGGCAATCAACTGACGGACAATCGTTCGAGCCTGAGCGCAGGTGATCGATCGCGAGGGATTATGGACATCAACGTAGATCTTTCAGCATCAGTATCATATTCCATGAACATCACCTCGATCAGGTCAAAGTCAAACCTACCGGTCGGTTGGAGTCATATGCGTTGTCGAAGACGTAGGAAATGACATCCACAGAAGGGAGGAGGACACGCTCAGCCGGTTCGAAGATCATCTTGACTGTGTTTACCGTGTAATTGAGAAGTGAAAGCTTGTGGAGTGTTGTAGGATTGAATTTATAAAAGTCGCACATTGCTTACCCCGCTCAGCCTCGGAGCTATGACCTTAGCAGAGAGCAGCATTCCTGATCGACGGCGGCTCTCGGATCTCGGACCTTGCACCAATGCATCCCTTTTTATGTTGAGATCGACTGAGCTGGAGCGTTTGATTGGACCGCGTGGTACGCGTGGCTGCCCATGATGATCTGTCAGTCACAGCGAATTCGAATAGCCTAACTAGGGGAGTGGCCTGAGTTGCTGTACGGCGATGATCGGCTCTATTGGCAGTGTCTGAGCTGGCATATATTTCCGCAAGAGGCAGTTTAGAGACAAAAAAAATCCAATGTAGGAAGTAGAATTGTATTTTGTACAGAAGTCACCCAGCAGTAAGGGCAGTAAGGGTATAACAGTGCCCTCGTGTGTCATCACCTTCCAAGATTAATTACCACCACAAGGCTCGATCTAGCTCAATTTACCGTCCCCATTGAGGAACATTGAGCGCCATCCCCATAATAATTCCACTGATAAGCCCAGCACATGGCAGAGTCAGAACCCAACCGAAGAAGATCTTGCCCAGCTGTTTCCAGTTGATACTCTTCAGGTCCATGTTCACCAGCGCAACACCCAGCACGGCACCGGTGATGCACTGCGTCGTCGAAACGGGCAGACCCAGGCGCGACGCAAGCAGGACCGTAATCGCGGCGCCGAGTTCCATGCTGTACCCACGGGTGGGGGAGTGCTTGGTGATGCGGTTGCCGAGATTGCGCATGATGTGGTAGCCGAAGGTCCAGAAGCCTGGGGTCTTGTTAGTATAGAGGCCGACAGAGGCAGTCAGAGGAAGAAGCAGAGACTTACCAACTCCCAGTCCCAAGCCACCAACGGCCTTGATCCAAACCGGGGTATCGGTTTTGGCGGATGTCACGCCGGTGTGCCAGGTCATGTACTCGGTGGTGAATGGGCCGATGGCGTTGGAGATATCGTTTGCTCCGTGGGAGATGGACATGATCTGGTCGCTGTTAGAGCACTCCAGGGAATGTGGGGGTTGAACATACCATAGCAGAGCAAACCTGGGCAGTGGTCCAAAGATGCTCAACCTTGTTATCTAACTGGGGAGCCCGCTGATGGATATGATCCAGGCCCTTGGACTGGTGGTGGATGACATCCCGGGTAATACCATATGTGAAAACAAGCTTGAGGGTGGCGAAGATGCGCTTGGGATGAGCCCAGGGCAGCGTGTCGAGAGCCTGGAGCTCCTTCTGGTGCTTTTCGGCAATCTTCGCATCGGCATGCTGGGCCTCGTTCTCGGCGGTTTTGGGGTCGCCCTTGATCGGTTCGATTTCCGGGCTGGCGAGGGTGGACTGCTGGCCCTCGGTGACGGAGCCGAGGGTATCTGTGTCGCCCTTTTCGTTGGTCGCTTTCAGGTCGCTCTCGTAGTAGTTGGGGACAATGCCCTTGTCGGGGTTGCCAGGGAAGTAGAGCGTGTAGTTATCGCGCCAGAGGAGAGGGCCCATGGGGATGTGCCAGAAACGCAGGCGACGGTCTTCCTTGACCAGGCTGATGTTGGTTAGCAACGACTCGAGGAGAACGGGAGGGAGATGACCTACCTGCGCCAGTAGTAAGGAACAAAGAAGAGAGCGCTGATAACCCAGACACCGGCAAAGACACCGATGATGATACCGCAGGCCTTGCCAGCACCTAGGTCCTCGAGCTTGGGAATGCCGTGACCACCGCTAATGACAATGAACAATGCCAAAATACCGGCGGTAAGAGCATAGTAGAATGGAAGAACGCGCAGAGCCCACTTCATCGGATCTTGGCGAGAGTGCACCAACAAGCGGATGCTGGTGAAGATGATGGCGCCAAATCCGGCCGAGATGACGGGCGCAATACCCCACGAGGCAGCAATCTGGGAGACACTCTGAGACTTCCAACCCCAGTGCACCGGAAGATCCGACGCGATGGCAACACCGATGAGAGCGCCGACAATGGACTGGGTGGTGGAGACGGGGAAACCGAGATACGTGCAGACGGTAAGCCAGATCGAGGAGCCTATCCACGACGACGTCAGCAACAAAAGAGACCCTCGAGCTGGGCAATGACGAAGACACACCGATTTCAGCCACCACCATGGCCATGATCAGGACTCCAGGCGAGTCCAGGAAGCGGTCGATGGAGAAGACACCACTGCGGATGGTCGAGGTGACCTGCTGTCCAAGCGCAATGGCACCGATGAATTCCGTAATGGTCGCAAGGATACCAGCTTGGATCAAGGTCAGAGACCTCGAGCTGACCGATGTTGCGTAAGAGTTGGCCACATCCTATCGAGGCAGGAGTTGTCAGTACTTGCTTAGGTGAGTCGATGCAGCAGGAAACATACATTGGCACCAATACCCCAGACGGAGATCAAAAAGAAGATGGTACCGATGCCAAAGAGCCAGTCAAGGTCGTGATAGACAGCCATGTTGGTGGTCCTGATTTGGAATCGACGCCAGGTGCTGAATGGCTCCTTGTCAACAGGGAAGATCAACGTTGCTGGGAGGGACACCCCTTTATAGACTCTCGAGGGAACATCGATCTCACGTTATATCTCGGATTCTAGAAAGAGTCCACGCGCACTTTGCCTCCGGGCCATGTGGGAAAGACCAGCGGCCACGGACAGTTGCATTGGATCGGACATCCCGGACGATCAAATCACAGCGCCGCACTCCAAGGCGTGCATTCACACGCAGTTCCCATTCCACGACCAACTCTGAACCTATGTCGCAGTCCAAGACTCCAAGCGAGGACATCAGGAGGAGAAGCTTCCTTGTCAGGGCCCATGCACCCGCCAAGCCCAGCGAGTGTTCTTGGCGTAATTTCTCATCCGTTGGCGGAGCATATCGGCCTATCAAGAACGGGGCCGCGATGGGTAGAAAGCGGACTGTATGTCTCGACCAGCGAACCAGATTCAATCATTCAAGCACGAGTTGTGCTTGCTCTCGGTCATTGCTTGCAAGCTTCCACAAGAATTGACAAGGAAGCTCAAGCACAGTGCCAAGGATGGCCACCAGGCCACCTAGAGAGAGTGCCAAGACAGCGGTCGTGGGCAGTCAATCCAGCAATAGCCCACGTGCGTGGCGCTTTCAAGAAGCAATCCTGATGTTATGACTCGTTGTATGTGTGGTCCACACATTCTCCTGACTCCTGACTGTATCACATAGGCCGCTTTGTCTAGCATCGGTTACATTAGGAAAGCTTATTGCGGCCACTTCTATCATGGCTTCGGGGTATCCTAGGGACCTAGTATGATTGGTCTCTGATTCTCGGTTTCGCGGTGGACATTTCCGGCTTTTGAGAAGGAGAAGATTTTTCAGAGTCACAGTCGAAGAGGAGAGTACTGGCATGGTTACTGCACTTTCATAGCAATACTTCAAAGTATTCTGTACTTGTTTATAGCAATGGGGAGGAAAGTTCACGGCTCTGTAGTGCTATAGAACTGGTATAGGATCTCGTCCAATCTCGCATATGACTACACATATAACAGACACTAATCAGGCTGTCCCGGAACTAGAGTCATAGTCTCATAGATAAACCTAGTGCGAGCAAAGCCGGACTCAATGATTCCGCATCGAGACGCCACGTTTCCCATACTGCTCAGGCTAACCTGATTAACAGAAGCTTTATAGCAGCTAATGAAAACCCAAACGCAAGCGCCACACCCTTTGCCACAAAAACCAGCGAGGGCGAATGAAAACTGTTAGAATATTATACCACCATCCCTACTAAGGAGTACATAGTCCGGACGCCTTTTTAGTCTAGCGGTATTGTATATTGATAAAATCTGCTCTCGAGCAGATGCTGAATGTCTCGAGTAGCAAGAGAGTCATGAATACACAGAGAAACTGAGCCCTACGAGGGTAAGTTCCTGATGGCTATCCTTCCTCTTCTCCAATCCCACTGAGTTTACCTCTCTATTCTTCGAGCGATGCTGATAGCCAATATATGAGCAGGTCGACAGATAGAAACAGTCCTGAACTAAACCTGCACGCTTCACAATAGGATATCTCCAAGTCCTTCCTCTACTTCAGAGATAGTAGCATCCAGTATGGAGACAAGACCAGCTGAGCTGAACATCCTTGCCTCGATACAAGGAACTGGTTTCTATTGTATAGACTTTTCCGTAACGGCATGCAGACAGCGTGATTGTTATGCGCTTGTCTCAAGTTGCCTGGAAATGTATATGTGAGAATCGCCCGCATTCTGGATCGGCGTGGTTGAATAGTTTGTTATCTGGCATGGCTTTATCATCGCTTAGGTCTTAGCACACGAATCGCAATTATACTATAGACGCTTAGATTCTTTTTGTTAAAATATTATACCACTATGATTATGGATATGTAACCCTAGACTGACGAGTACAGGACCTTCCCACGCTGAATCATGCTGCAATACCGCCTCTTGTAATTGATATGAAACTCATGCTACATTCAAAAAAGCCATTCTTTCTTGTTGGTCGTAAATCCTCCACTACCGGTCATGCATGCCTATCATGAAAACCTGGACCAACCTTCAGACGAAGGTCGAAGCGCAGAGACCTTCCTCACACTCTGCAAAGCACCAGCTTTCCAGCGTGGTTGTGAGGATCTATGCCCAGCTCTACTGAGTTAGAAACTTAAGGCCATCTCCTACTTGTTACGCGGACAGTGACATTATCTGAACTCGACCATATATTAGCACACTTAATAGGCACTGCTGATTATGCATGCAGGATGATATCTAATCAGGCACATACATAGCCACAATCCACGAAATAGTCCTTGCAGTCACGCAGCCGAGTAGTCAAGCCTTGATAAGCAACTATCATATGCTTGACATGGTGGAGGAAGCAGTCCTCGGCGCTGCCCAGTGCGTGCTACTGCATGCTGAAAGACGAATCCGTCCAGCTGAAAGCGATAGTGGCATGCAACGAGTCGACCCTGCAAAGACATCTCACTCGAATGGCTGAGGACACGGCGTTTGCCCGAATTCTTATTTCCGGTTGCTGTTGCTGTGCACGCCGCCTGGCGGAGGATATCGCCCACGGTCTACCATCGGCCGAAGCAGGGATACAGCACCTGGATCCATTATCGAGCTAGAACCCTGGTGAGATGCGTCTGTGACGGGTGGTCCAGTCTATAAGCTTTCTCAAGAGCCGGCGGTTCCGCTAGTGCGATTTCCAGTCTGCATGATAGTATTTTGTGGCTGGCGCTGGGGTTGATAGCACGGTAGCGTGGCAGTTGAATTTGAGATAAGGTCTGGAGAGCTGATTTGATAGTAGGCAAGATAGCATCATGCTCCTGAGCCTGCTACGCATTATAACGATTGTTTGACATGTAATTGACTCGAACTGTGTTGAATTCTATTGCAGTTGTTATACGGCCTTCAGCTTGGCCTAGAAATTGGAGGTTGAAGTCAAGTCATGTATATGCACCGCTAGAATATCAGGACTGAAAAGATGAAGACAGACATATACTCCCCCTGAACATCTAGAAATCTGTCATTGAATAACTCCTACTCCATGATCGTACGACGCAAATGTATCAAGCATTGCATCGAACTCCATCGCGCCCATCCCCGCCAGCTCTGATTGATATGCAAATTCTGAAGAGGGGGTGCTTCCAATGAGAAGCCCATGCTGCTCGTAAGACTTTGCCTGCGCTTCATTCATTCTCATGTTGAAATTTTCGTCACTGGGAAAGGACGATAATTCCCAGGAGGGATTCCCGATGAATGAGGGTGGGATACCCACCTCCAGAGAAGAGCTCTCGAGTATCTCAGGTCCGAAGGTCGATGCAGTAGAAATAGTCGTGAGGCCTGGAGAGTCGAGTACAGAGTTGGGCCGGGAATGGGATATTTGATGCGGGAAAAAGCCATCGTCTAGCATCTGGAGACTGAGAGCGATATTGCTACAAAGACTGGCCATGTAGGCGGCTTTGGACGTATGAGATGTAGGAGACGATTCTGCAGAAAAGTAGTCCATATGTGCAGCGAAGGGAGAAAGAAGCTCAGCGTCGATGCGGTGGTCTTGCTGGTACTCTTCCACGATGGCGATGAAGAGCTCGAGGAACAACGTTGTGGAGTAATTCAGGCAGATACTGGGACTAATAAGACGACGATGTCCATTTTTTCACGCGGAAGACATACCTCTGATAGAGTGCAAGTCCAACGACGCTATCACCACAGGTATCGCATGTCTCCTGCAATAGGCGAAGGCCGGCCCGCGCATACTCTAAGCGGGACCGTCGGTTGTTGGATGTATGTTCAAGCCTTTGAGTCAGGACCCGAAGTGTACAAAGTGTGTAGCGCAGCTCAGTCAGGCGGAACGCTTCTTGCGCTGTCATAGTGCTTGCAGGAGAGAGTATGTGTTTGTGCTGGATCTCCCAGTCGTCCAACGTTCGATTGATCTGCTGAGCTTGACGAGTGACGTAGTCTCGCCCCTTGCGGGCTGTCCGAGCGGAGTAGAGACTTTGGTACACGTCTTCCTGAATGTGTGCCAGAGAGATGTGGGCAGAACGTTGATCCCTCGGAACATGCGCCGAGGTTACCACGGGGAAAGGCAGCCCACAGTCATAGGAGGGAAGAAGACAGGGCTTGCCGGCCATGAAAGACGCGTGTTTCTATTCCGGCAGTTAGCAGGAGAAAGGAACAGGTCAAGCTCTGGGCTTACATCGATGATGAACAAGCACCACCACAGATCTGTCTGTTCTGCATTCTCTGAGTCCGGATTGCTTTGATGGAGGCCGATGCATTTTGCTAGCTGGCACGCCTGTGCAAAGACTGTCTCAAAGGTCGCGAGAGAAAAGTACTTCAAGGCGATCAATGCCTGAACATATTAGACGATGAGTACCATCAATCAGGAATGGCAGCCTACCATGCTTAACAGTGCCTGCACATTAGCCAGCTGCGGTCTCAAAAGCCTCTCAAAGTTATTATAGCCTCGCCGACAGTTCAGTAACAAGCTTTTGATGAGCTCCTCTTCCAGTATGTTGTGGTTCATCGAACCAGCTCTCGTCGCTGCACTATATCTGGCGTCCAGTGTCTGGAGAAGGATATTGCTGAACGAAATCACCCAGGCCGGGTCAGGGTTGTTGATACTTGGCCCATATTGCTCTTCAATTGCTGAAACAACACTTTGTCGGTCATAGATAGGTAAAAAAGGACTCAGACCTGTAAAATGTGATTCTAGACTGGCTTCCAAAAGTGCTCGTGGCGGTAACGAGGGCAGGAGGCCATCCGACTCTGGTATCGACGAGACTGGGCTCTCCCTGGTCAATTTCTCGAACAGTTCGCTGGCTTCTTTTAGCTGTGACTGCAACGAATAAGACTGGCTGGGTCTGAAATCCGATGAGACTGGACTATATTGGCTGTCTAGATTCGGAAATGGCAACAATGATCTCAGTCTATCACAGGCAGCTTGAGCCTCAGAATACAGAGAAACAAGAGGGGTGGACCTAGGGGAGGGCTCATGGTCATTGTATCGGTCGGGACGCGGTTCTATAGAGGCATCTGTGAACGCGTTTGAGTCCATAGGTGGCCCTTCGTTGGGATCCGCATAACTGCCATCGGACTGGACAACCGAGCTTTGCCATGTAGCAACGTTTGACGGAGTCTGTGAACGCTCTACAGCTGACAAGCAGCGAAGCAGCGCCTCTTCGATCTTCCCGAGCCGGTTTCCAAGGACTTCGACATCGTTAACCCTATACAGGCACAGGAGATTAGAATCATGCCGAGTTAGAAGACATAGAAGACGAACAGCTTCTTGGTATGGTTGACTCGCTTCCCCTTGTTAGAGAACCCACATGCGAGGTTGGATTTACGACAGCTCGAGCATTTGGGATATTCCTTGTTGCAACGGACCTTGCGGATACGGCATTCATCGCATGCCTCCCTCGAACCTGCCGACCCAGTAGACAGCTGCACGTTCATGGCAATCGGGTCGTGAGATCCTGGTTGTTTGGGAACAGGCTGGCCCCTGGCCCGTTTCGTTCCTGTCGTGTCCTGTGTACCCATTGTATAGTACAGAAATAAATACGGAAAGGAGGAATTCAAATGCAGAGCAGGAAGGAAAAGAACAAGATGGAGGGTTGACTAGGCCTAGAGTCGAATTGATATATACAGCGGGGCCACGGTATAAATGACCTGGCGGGAGAATCGGCCGCAGATACGAAAGAACTCTGCAGACAGAGATTGAACGCTATGAAGCGTTTCCAATCCTCTGCTAGCATGGGTGATAAGACCCTGATCTTCTTTAAGCAGAGATGATCGGTATATTTCGCCCAAGGGCGTGTCTGACTGGATGGATATCGGTAACTGCAGGGATCGCGACATTCACACAGCCTGAAATGGCAATAATCAACAGAACCTTGAGAGATACCCCTCACAGTCCTCGTGCAGGAGAGGAATCCCAGTCCATGTAGAGGAAGAAAAGCCAGAAGTAGTAGCCGCCGAAAGGGTAGTTCATCTAGAAGAATGCAGTCTGCTAGACCGTTTCAAGAAATTGCGAGGACACCTTCTGAGTGGATTAAGCGGTTCAATCCATTAGGGGCATGATTACTGATAATCAGGGCTGTCGTATCAATCATCCAGAGCCACTCTTTCTTGCACTGGCCCATTATGACTGGCTGCAATGCTGCACCAAGGAAGGTGGATACTACAGCGGATGTGCGGCCGCGACCTCCACATCCGCATATCTTGTTGGACGACCTCGTGGCTGCAGAAGGATGTGAACCCATAACCCTTTAGCAATGCTTAAACCTGCAAAAGGCGGCGCTGAACGGGTGCCCTCGAGTCCCGTAGAGTTTCGCTTTTTTTGTATGAGTAAAGGTTATGCTCAATCTTGAACAAGCTTTGAGTTCAAGAGTTGTGGCTGGAACTCAGTATTCTTCTCAGGCCTGGATGGCCCGTTTCTCCTACACATCAGTGATATGTGAAAAGACCCTTCTGTAACGTCCATGAGCTACCGGTTGAATAGCTACTGGCCCTCCGCGAGACCCTTGCTGTGCTGGCCGGAGTTTAGACCTGAGCTGGGATGTCAATCCTTCCGATAATACGCAATTCAGAGACAGTCGGATAAAGGGCGCCACACTGAAACAGATCGGTCTCGGGGGGGTGGGGGAGAAAGAGTCCGCGGCCCGTCAAGTCGAGTGGGACATCTTCAATCTAGCGATGACGTTAGGGCTCAGGGTTTGTGAGTGCTGTGTTGTTTGGGCCCTGGTCTTCTGCAGGATGGACCGTCTAACATCGGAGCTCAGCATGGAACACGATCAAGAGCAAATCCTACGTTGATTTACGGCGTCTTCTAACCGGAAGGGGTAATAGTAGAATTGCAGAATTCGTCGAGAATGCTCGCCAAGCGCGGCCACCGGAAGTACGTGCTCGATTAGCCTTCGACACTTGCCAATCATCCTCCGCCATCTGACGGGCTGGCCGCTGCTCTTTCGTATTTTGCTTGGCCTGCATGGCGGGAGATTGACATGCCGAACGATCGATGTAACCTTTTATCATACTCCATGATGAATCGTGTCTGAGCTCTTAAACGTTAGGAAATATTGATCGAGACGGTGACCATGGACGAAACCTCGGCGAGGATCAGTCACGATTGACAAGGGAGTTGTTGCCATAAGCCGAGAAGAATACGCGCGATATATTCCTCATATGGGATAAGAGGTGGTAAATCGAAGGATGCGTCCTATCTTGACGGCGTGCATAACCCTGGCAACATTGCGCCACCAATGTGAAGCACCACAGCTGTCCTCCAAACCAGTACAACCAACCGATGATATCCACAGCCGCTGCTAGGGTTCTCTACAACCTGGTCTGGCTGACAGATCTTATCCGACTCATCCATCTTCAGCCTCTTGGAATCAGCAGGGGGAGCAATACCGCCTGCCCGGGATATATCTCCGTTGATACCAAAGACATTGGGCAGCCTCACCACCATCATCACCAGCACGAGAGCAGATAAGAGCTATTTGTTCTTAGTCGCATGTTGTTGGGTGACGAGCATATTGGCTGGAATGAAGCCGTCGCGTCGTGATGGCTTATCTGGCGGTACATTGTTCATGCATCTTCGACCCTCATCACCGTAGCGAGCATGTTCTTTCCGGGCCGTCACTGACGAATCTGAGCGAACTGTGATATCAAAACCCGAGCTTCGTTTCATGCCGCTGCGTAAAATCTCGTAATATCGGTGATTAATCGCACTATCGGTGGGTCGTGATTTGTTGGATGGCTCATATCCATCCAACCCTTACTGCAGCAGAAGATCGAACAATATTCACCTTGAAGAATTCTTCGGCTCCCCCGACGTTCTCTGGACTCGGATGAGTATGCAAACAAACCGGCACGACTATCCGCATGGAGTTTAAGTTGGAGTTCTGTAGGATTAATGACAAGTACGAGACCACCTTGCGGACAGATACATGTACTATGTCCACGCTCCATTTGCCATAGCCACAATGACTGAGACATGGCAGGGTTCTCTCTCACAAAGCCCCTGTCGGCCTATGATGCACATTCTATCAACACGAGGGCCGTGTGAGGATCAGCGCTGCAGTCAGTCTCCGCGGGGAGAATTTGCCCTTCAGCGACGCACTACAGTCCTGGGGACCATTCTGCAGCCCAGACGGTCCGATGTTTCAAACAGAAAACCATCACCAAAGACGCGGTGGGACGTCCGTAGCTGGAGAGGGGATCTTGGCGTGCCCGGACGCGTTCAAGGGGAGGGAGTCTCCAAGAGCCAACCTGTGGTCTAGTCTACCTCTACTCCGTACGTGGATGCCAAGGCAGCGCAGAGTCCGACATAATGATGCCCCAAATGGCAACTGTACTCACAGAAACACCTTGGCATCACCTCAAGTATCGAGGCCGGGAGATGCAGATGAGGCTATGAGCTGGTTGAACCGAACGCCAAGTCCCCGTGAGCCAATAGTGTCCAGTCGGTGGCGCTGCCGAGACCGAGCATCGCCATAATTTGGACCAGGAGCAATTGCGTCGACTGAGTGATATAGTGTAGATAAGCCTGGGCAGTCTCGCATCAATCTACGCTCAACCTGTTTACTCCTTGGACGGTGGATTGCCAAGGGAGGGGACGATTCAGCTGCGAGGTCAAACACCATCGAAATCACCACACTGAGATTCTCCACGAGTCAGCTGCGCTCGTTCATATTCGCAGGAACTCCACGGAGCCGGTTTGAATCATGCAAACGAACAACGTTATGGAACCACCGGGATATATCGAGACTGTCATGAGGCAATTGTCACCAGCCCTCCCCGCATCACACGACGTTCTTCAAGGTGGTTACATCGGTTCAAGACGCAGATCGGCCGGGGTAATCAGCCTGTTTACGCTTCAATGTCCGTCGTGAAAGGTTGGCGTTAACGGATGAAGAGCACATCCAGATTTCCTGGAAGCTCCGCACTTTGAGTGTTGCTAGATGTCTGGGGAGAATGTTACTGAAGGATACTTGGCCTTTCCCAGGATTATACGCCGGTGGACGCTACTTCGCTTTCTAGCGCTCGCGACTGCCCAGGAACTGATTTGTCGACTGCTTCAACTCATTCCAGTCTTTATCACGGTGGCAAGGTTAGACTATGTGGTAACTAGCGAGGACACAAGATCATAAGATCATGGGGATCATGGTTGATCTTACTAACTGCTGCTGGCTATGGAGAGTACATAGGCTCCATTCAAAACACCAAACCTCTTGAAGTCGTTTTCATATCTTCTTCAACGCCTTTCTCGAACCACGCGACTCCAGTTTCCACCTGTTGCAAACGGGTCCGGTGCCTATATACAGTCATACGAACCGTGACAGGCTAGGACCACCGAGACACTGTGTATTACGGCGCTAAAGTTCTTTACGTCTGGTCCATATGCCCGAAAAGTACGTCCAAAAGCAGGAGTGCTACAAAGTGACACTGTTCATGCGATCAGTCAACATTTCGGTTTCCTATGGAAAACACTATGTCTCGGTATGTGTTCCACTCAACGGTAGGTTCATTATCATCAAACTAAACTAATATACATCTTCTCGTTAAAAGTCATACGATCAAAACCTTCCCATAGTTCACTCGTCCGGACCCTGACCGAACTGCTGCTTGTATTTCTCAGCAGCGCTGCGTTTACCCTCGTCTGTCACTCCAGGGTTATGGGTGGCACTGGATGAAGTTAGTCTGGCAAGTTCAATTGACAGGGGGGAGAACATACGCCTTCAAACCAGCCTGGACTCTGTTAGGGTCCTTCTGGTCGTCACCCCGTCTCTGGTAAAAGTCATCATGGACTTTCTCGCCGCCCAATTCGTTGTCAATGACATTCTGAGCGTGCTGCTTGGCTTTATCTGAGACTCTGGGGTTGCTCAGGGTACTACCACTTTGTTATGGCTATCCTATGGAGATTGAAACAGGATCAACCTACGCCTTGTAGCCACGGAGGGCGTTGACGCGATCTTCAGCGCTAGACATTGTGCTTTGCGAGAATTCCTGATTGTATCTTGTATTGCTCGTGAATTTGATTCAATCGGACAATTGAACTGCTAGGCTGTTGCTCCTTATATCTTCTCTTGGGCTAGTATACACCCTCCCCCGCCACAGCTGAAGTCACCTCGGCGTCATATTGATCAGATACCCAACTCGGGGTTTATCCGTCCGCACAACTGGTTTCAATGGATGGGACGTGGAGGATAAACTCAATGATGAGATTGATACCCCACAAATTCTCTTATCATCAATCAGGTCTCATCGGGTGATCGACCAGGCATCGAACTCGTCAGGTCCCACTGATGACACTACAGCTCCCCGGCAGCTTCATTCTTTGCTTCATGACGGATGTACATGCTTGAAGACTTCATCGATGTCATCGTATTTGTGTATCATACAATATCTGGGTTGGATTACGTGCTTGATGAGTTTGTCAGGGCTAGTGCGTCGGATGGTTCAGATCGATGAGTTGAAGTTTATCTGATATCTGATATCACAACGAGGAAAATTTCTGTGAACAAGTCCTTCCCCAGAAGAAGGGATGTTCTAGCCGGACCTCAAGCGGTATCTCGATCCTAGAGTAATGATGATCAAAGAGGAATGATCCTGTCGGCATGCCGAGTAGACCTGCCTGGTACGTCGCCATCTTGGTCTTGAGGGATAAGACCGCAGTCTTCTCTTTGAATGCTGCCTCAGGCTAGTATATTCTATCCAAGGCTATATTTGCGGCCACAAATTTATCTCCTTCTAGAGAGTTGAGGCTCTGAGACCCATCTACAAAGACCCGTGATACCTTCAGCAGACTCGTTTCGCACCCTCTGTCGACCACGCTGCGAATTCTACACCAACATCCCGAATAAACTCAAGAGCTAAGTATAAGCCCGAGTCACTGTCAGTGGTGGTGGATGAGACAATGGCAATTGCTGTTCGCCAGCACTCCTTCCAGCCCGAATATCAATTTCGAAGCAACGGCTTGCCCTTTTAATTCTCTACTACTAGCCCCAGCATATCACTCCAGCTGGAGAGCGAGACAGCCGTCGGGGAGTGGGATGAAGAGGTATTTTCGTGCCAGAGAGAATTCTGTCTTGATGTTCTTCCATGTTGCTGTGGATGAGATTGGTGGGTGACGGAGGCGGATAACGTCATGGTGAGGTTATTTCTGATCATCATCTGTACCCATAACAACAAGGGGATGATTTCTCCAGGAACATCCAAACTGCATGATTAATGCATAATGATCAATATTGAGGGGTGGATTTAATATATGCTCTGAACCTTGGAAGACATGTAGTCCCGTTGGTAGGTTTTATCTGATTCGAATCATAATATGACCTCGAATTGTAGACTGATGATGATCATGGTCTGACCATCATTCCTCAGCCTTACAGGTTTCACTTTGAGCATGACAGGAATCTTCCAGGGGTATCAGGAAATGTCATAGAATTCTGCTTAATACCATCCAATCAGTGAATACCGTGGCTGACACAGTGGCTTGATTCACTGGTATGATATTGATATGGAATACGTCATCTACTGCAGTGAAGATGCTGTACACCAAGGCTCCGTGGCTATCACCCTGGCTTGGCAGACGCTTCATCCTGACGACAGTGCTATATGGCTCCAGTGAATCTAACAGCACTCTTGCTCTTGTACTTATACCCAAAGCGATAGTTCAGAGGTAGATAGTTCCGACGCGAGTAAACACAACATCAGCAACACATTCAAGAGTACAACATAGTCATGGCGGCTGAAGACCAGAAAAAGCGCGGCTTGATCATAGTCTCCAACCGTCTTCCCCTCTCGCTCAAGAAGGTCGATGGAAATTTCGAGGCCAGTCTCTCCAGTGGTGGACTGGTAACAGCCCTGTCTGGCTTGACCAACTCAACGACGTTCAAATGGTTCGGCTGGCCAGGAATCAACATACCAGATCCCGAGGAGCAGAAGAGTGCAGCAGAATCTCTGGGAGAGAAAGGCGCCAAAGGCATCTTTCTGGAGGAGGAGCTGGGACATGCTCATTATAACGGATTCTCGAGTATGATGGCCCCGACTACCGCCTGGCGGACACCGCGTTGACGTGATCTAGATTCCATTCTCTGGCCAATCCTCCACTACCAATCCGGTGTTGACTTCAACGAGGAATCCTGGAAGGCCTACAAGCGCGTCAATGAGATCTTCGCCGATACGGTCGCCAACGAAGCACAAGATGGCGATCTCATTTGGGTGCACGATTACCATCTCCTGCTGTTGCCTGCGCTTCTTCGCGAACGCCTCAAGAGCCAGGGGAAGAATTGTCCGATTGGCTTCACGCTGCACACTCCCTTCCCTGCAGGGGACTTCTGGCGCGCGCTGCCTATTGAGAAGGATCTGCTCAAGGGTGTTCTTGCTTGCGATGTGATAGGGTTCCATACTGAAGAGTACAAGCGTAACTTCACTGAGGCTTGCGAAAAGAGCCTGTATGTAATCTACCCTTTCGATCCGGATTGCTCGCGCTGACAGTGGACAGGGGCGCTCGCACTACCGGCAGCAATGAAATCCAGTTCGAAAATCATCGTGCTCATGTGGGTGTATTTGTCGTTGGCATCGACCCCCAGAAGTTTGACGATGCGTTGAAAGACGAAGCGGTCGTCAAACGTATCCAGGAGCTGGATGAGGAGTACAAGGACAAGATTGTCATTATCGGCGTGGATCGGCTGGACTACACCAAGGGTCTGGTGCAGAAGCTCCAGGGATTCGAAGAGTTTCTGAAGGAGCACCCCGAGCTCGCGAAGGTCGTCTTGATTCAAGTTGCTGTTCCCAGTCGAGAGGACGTCAAGGAGTACCAGGAACTAGAAACCGAGATATCCACGCTCGTCGGGAAGATCTGTGGGACCTATGGTAAGTCTTGTCCTTGTCTTGCAATTGCTCTTGCTGACCGTCCAGCCACCCCGGAGGGCGTACCGCTGATCTACATCCACCGTTCCGTGTCCTTCCCCGAGCTGACAGCGCTGTACTGCGTCGCCAAAGCCTGTCTCATCACGTCTCGGCGGGACGGAATGAACCTCGTGGCCTCTGAATACGTCGCCTGTCAGGAAAATCGATGGGGGGTGCTGGTGCTCTCGGAACTGGCGGGCGCAGCGTCTTTCATGCACCATGGGAGTGTCACCTTCCATCCATCCAGCACGCATGAACTGGCCAATGCCATCCACCAGGCGGTCACCATGGACGAGGAGGAGAAGAAGGAGCGATACCAAAGGCTGCGCGAATTCGTCACGACTAACACGAGGTAGGTCGACCTAGCCGGCTGTAGATGTCTGCGACTGACCATGAGCAGTGCCAAATGGGGCGAGACCTTTGTGGATGCCCTCGCAAAGCAGTCGTCTTGAAGTCATGGTGTCTTCTGGGGTGGTTCCAAGGCTTACGATGTTATGACTTCAAGGGTGTTCTCAGTCGACTTGTTACATTTTCAATAGCGTTCCAGTACGGCGTTCACTGTTTCCTTTACTAATTATTATCAATTGATTTACTTTATAGTCGATCAATCTTTGTTCATCAATCGTTCTTAGTGTAGAGCTGGAATCACATGGACATATCCTACGGTACAATCACAGCGAGAGCGTTGAACTCGACTTTCAAGCAAACCAATCAGTCAAAAGAGAAATAGTGGGAACCAGCGCCTGAAAAGGCGTTCTTCTAGAGAAGTTGTGTAAATATTCGAGTTATATGAAGAAGTCACTTGACCATGAGCAACGCAAATCGACCATGAGGCAAAGAAGCCACCAATAATCCACAGTTATCTCATTCTGCGAAGAAACAAGTTCAAGGTCCTATATGAGACTTGTTTCTATGAATTCCTGCTGCTGTCTTGGCGGTGCTCTGATATCATCATGACGATCACCTCCTATCTCGTCCAACTATTAATATAAACACCACATCCAGGTAGTAGCCAGCAGCAGAATATCAATTCAATCAATTCAATCCAGTAAATATATAGACATAATGCAATCCGCCCTCCAACCCGTAATAGGCCCCAGGAAGGAAATCCACGATCTCCGAGGGCGAGTCGCCCTGGTGACCGGCGGAGCATTGGGCATCGGGTGAGTGGCTTATCTGATTCCTGAATTCGAATACTCCCGCTGAAACAGGGTAGATATGAAGTCTCTCGCGCGTTCGTGCTCAATGGCGCCCGCGTCATCATGGTCAACCGCAAAGAGGACCAAGGCCAGGCCGCCATCGACAAGATCAAAGAGGAGGCCGGCGCAGACGCACAGATCGAATGGATCCCCTGCGACATGGGCAATCTGCAGCAGATCAAGGAGGTCTTCTCGGGGATCCGGGAGCGCGAGCAGCGACTTGATCTTGTACGTCCGGATTTCTGGTAAGGAGGTGCCAATGCTAATGCGACAACAGCTCATCCTCTCCGCGGGGATCAACGCGAACCAGTACGGCGAGACGGCCGATAACCTCGATCGACATTTCGAGGTGAACTTCCTCGGGCAGTTCTACGTCGTCAATCAGCTGTGGCCGCTGCTGCGCAAGACGGGCAGGATGCCCGGGACGCCCGCGCCACGGGTCGTCTTCGAGTCCTCCGAGCAGCACCGCAATGCGCCCAAGGTCGTGCATTTCGGGTCCGTGGAGGAGGTCAACAACCCCGAGATCGGGAGCACGGAGGTCTACGGACGGACGAAGCTGGCGATCATCCTGGGGGTCAAGTATGGGTTGTTTGGCCGGGTGATCAAGCCCAACAAGGATAATGTCTATGCGCTTTCTGTGCATCCTGGCGCGGTACGTCGCTCTTCTCTGTCTTGTTGATGTAGCTAATCGGAGCAGGTCAACACGGCGATGCAGCAGCAGTGGAAAGACGCATACCCCGGTCTACTCGGCAAGCTCCTCACGACCGTCATGCTGGCCGTGGGCCGGAACGTCGAGCAGGGCTCGTACAGTGCCTTGTATGCGGCGACGAGTCCTGAGATCGAGGAGAGGGGGTGGAATGGGTACTATTTTAGCGACGTTGCGCAGCCTGGCAAGGAGTCGGCACAGGCGTCCGATCCGATGCTGGGGGCTGCATTGTGGGATTTGAGTCATCGGCTCATTAGGGAGAAGGTTGGAGAGGATGGATTGGTGGATTGGAATGCGGCAGTTTAATCATTTGATAGAGTACAGTGTTATGGTGCCGCTGGGCGCTCAAATGAAATACTTAATTGGCGTACGGAGTACATGACTCAAAATCTGCCTAATGCGTGCCAAGTGAAGAGCCATGTCTGTGTAGTCAAAGACTAGCTACCCTGTATCCTCCTCCTTGCAAGCTGCTCCCTCTTGAACCTCTCCCTCCGACACTGGGATATGGCCGCAAACATATTAAACACATAGATCCCACTGAACAGCGTCCCCAGCACGCCCAGAAAGACCGCCACCACCACAATCGACAGAACCACAAACCCATACGTCGTGTCCTGGAACGCCGCACTGTCATTCAACCGCGGCACAGCCGCCGCCACCTGCATGGCCGACAGCACCAGCGAGAACGTCGCAAAGATCATCAACATCCAGGCGAAGTTGCGCTCGTAGAAGACCACGTACCGGTTATACCCGTACAGATAGCCGCGGATGAAATGCGACAGGAAAAACCGCACGCGGTAGATGGTGTTGATGCGGCCGAGCCGCAGCTCCCCGAACTGGTAGCGTTTGTTGACCGTGTCCAGCGCGTTGACGTCGACGTGCGCGTAGAATTCGGTGACGAAGGACTTCCACCAGGGCCAGGTAAGGTCCTTGGGGAGGAGGCTGTGATCGTGTGCGAGTTGCAGGTCCAGCGGGGTGCAGATCAGCCACATGTACGAGAGGAGGAGTCCGCTGGCGGATTCGTGCAGCGTCCTGGAGGAGCAGAGGTGCCGCGTCCAGAAGTCGTGGTCGAGAATGTACTCGGGGAGTGGTTTGACCAGCAGCCTGGTCGAGAATTTCAGGAGATGCAGGTCCGCGCGTTCGGTTGGGATGATCTCGTAGCCCATCATTTTCTGGCGCTGGAGGGGCCGGGCGTTCATCGGTCGGCCGGCCATCCAGAGAAGACTGTGGATGATGTTGACTCGAGAGAGATCCAGGTCGGTGTTGAGGAATGTCTGGATGTCGTCTTGCACGAGAAAGACGTGATGGTCTGCTGTTCGCGCGATGGTTGGGAGAGTCAGCAGCACATCTTGACCACGGTCGGGGGTGGTCTCGGTGACGCTGCCATCTTTAGACTGAGGATCATCTCCTCGTGTCTCCTGCTTTCTAGATGTGTGCAGAGACCGCGAAAAGGGAGGTTGTAGTCCAGACTGTCTACATTAGAAGTGAACCCAGCTTAGTGGACGGCTCGTACCTTTTCAGCCACTTCAGCCATCGAAGCTTATTTCTCTGACCAAGGAGAACAAGTCGCAGATCAAGTCCAGAAGATCTTAGCATTTATCTCTGCAATGTTTGCGTTTCACGGATGGATCACAGAGAGATGATGACGGCAAGAGCATTGATGGCTGGACGCGGCTGACACGAGGCTGGGTGGCTGAGCAATGCACAGGATCAGCTGAACAATTAGTACAGAGTAGAAAATGAATCATATTGATTGGGTAGTTTACATCGATCCAAAATCAATGTTTAGAAGTCTGTTTCATATATTCAAGTATGCCATAATATTATGTCTGCAGTAATAGAAGATGGCGCATGTTGGTATCACAAAGAAAAGCCCACCCAACCATTCCATATCCCCAAAAGACCAATCAATACCGAGCAGGATGACCATGGTCACTGCCATCCTGATCCAACATCTCGACTGTCTGCGATACATCGACTGTCTTCTGGATGCCAATCGCTGTATCGCGCGACTCCCCGTCCACCGCGCCCGCGTACGAAATCAAATGGCTCTGATCGGACCCAAACTCGGTCGCATCCACGTAGGTATCGCTCTTCGAAGCCCCCTTGGAGAACCGCTTGTTGTTGCCCCCCTTCATTTGACTCAGGTGCACGGATGAGTCCTGTTCATAGTATCTATTGGAGCTGTAGCCGGCCGTGCGGAGTTTCTTGATGAGGATGTTGAGGGTCGGGAGACAGGCGCAGATGAGGCCGACGCCTCCTTCGGCGTTCCTGCAGGAGTCAGACGGGATCATGACGAGGGAAAGGGGTGAGCATACCCAGAGAGAATGATGCAGATGAAGAAGATGGTCATGTCCGTCGTTTTCCCGTCGCGCAGCACGAGAATCAACCGATAGATACTAAACGCCGTCGCCAGACCCCCCGCCGACAGAATCCCCATCACCCGCAGTTTCTTGCTCCGCGACATCTGCAGCGACCAGGTCAAGGGCAGCGGCAGAATGAGGATGATCAGATCACTGACGACACTGATGATCGAGTCCGCCAGGAGAGCCGCGCTCTGGTCGAAACAGTGGCGCCCTGGGGTGCCCTCCCAGTAGGACGGAATGGGATTGCACATGCGGATCTTGATGATCTCGGCGATGATGTAGTAGATGCACAGACAGCCGAGTAGGACGTAGATGAAGATGATCTTGGTTCTGTACGGTGCGAAGATGCGGATGATGATGGAGAGGAGGGCGATTTTGACGAAGAGGGCCATCGGGCAGTAGAGGACGGTGGCGATGTAGCAGAATTTATAATAGGACACGATCGTTGCCTGGTCGTGAATATCAGATTGATGGTATCCGCCGCCATGTTTGCCAACTATCACGGTTAGATGATTCGAGAGGGTATAGAAAGGGGTGGCCTACTGATGATGGCGATGGCGCAGTATCCCATGAACAAGGCCTACATGATGTTAGAACGTTCCCAGTGGCACAGTCAAGCAACTTGCCCATGCGATGAGACATGACCCTACTGATGTTAGCGTTCGTTCTGTTGATTGCATTGACTCGGGACGTACAGTCTTCAATTCCCACAAACTGTCGGTACCATAAGCGGATGGAGAACCGCATGGCCACGAAGAGGGTGATGATCGGTATACACAGACATTGTGTCACCAGATTGACGGTGTGCAGTACATCAACAGGCTGTTTGACGGTGTCTGCACTCATTGTGGCCGTCAAGTGAGCATGACGCCAGAGGCCACGGAGTACACAAATAAGAATACCGAATCGAAATCGAATCGGATCGGAGAAGGATCGAGGGAAGAGGAGGGAAGGTGGGCTACTGGGTGGCCCAGATAACTATCTATATTGGCCCCGAATTCTCGGCTCGAGTCTAGTCAAGCTGTCTAGCTGCTTCCACACGATTTTCCCATTAGCATCCCTTCTCCTGCTGATCCCCATTAGAGTCCATGCTGTAGTGACCCGCCGTTCAAAACTTTGATCAGGGACTGTTTTCCGCGCGAGGCATGTGATAGGTGGAGCTCAAGGCATTGTCATTTGTCAAGACTATCTGCCAGCATGCCATTATCTTCGCCTTGCGATCTAGTTTCAGCGTGGTGGGAACTGGATGGGACAATGACACTGAGACAGTGCGTCCCAGTCTGGCGGGCTTAAGCAAGGTCCCTGCGAGCCAGATCGATCATGGTAGGGGAATGGGGCAATAGAGCATGGACTATGGGCTGCAGCCTGCAGATTCCTACATAAAGCGTGGCTGCGGAGCATCGACACTGGATAGGAAAGGATGAACACCATAGCCACTGGCTATATCCTTCGTGCATCGACAGAGTACACGTACCTTGAGGGCAATTTTTCAATCTCCCCATTGTCCCAATTCTACTACAAATCCGCAGATCGTCCTCAACAATCTCATTGTCGTTCTCAATAGACGACAAGAACTCCATGCGATCGAGATAGAAAAAACAATCACGTTGGCTAGCAACGCCTTCCTCAGTAGTGCGGAAAATTCTTACCATGGTCTGCACGTAGCACCGTGGCTGAAGCCATCTCGTATCAAATGTTGGATAGGAGGATTTCGGACCGTCTTGCCAGATGACTAGCTTCCCCTGGTTAGACCTGGCAATGGATGTCCGAGACTGGTAAACAAATGGGAAATCAGTCAATCGACAAGGCGAGGAGAATAGAGGATACGCTCGGGGAAGGCCAGGATGATAGCCGGTGGAGTGTCGACTAATACAATAGTGCCGAGACCGCGGCAGGAAGAGACAGGCAGTCGATAGCTTTTCCGAGGAAGATCATTGGTCCATCTCAAAATAGACCCGTTCCCAAGACAAATACCTGTTCCTATTGGGATAATGGGCCACCGGCAATGGGGAACAGAGTTTGACGGCTGCTTTAACCTTCTCGCTTACATCTCAAGTGACAAACTGGAAAACGAGTTTTCTCAATTATGCTGCCAGAGACGAACTAGTCACGAGTCTGTCTTCATGCCCTTTTTGAATCGTGCTGTGTGTTGAAGTTCAAAGTCGACAGCTGACGGCACGTAACCAGGGTTTACCGCAGTTGATACTCTCCGTCCATGGCTCGACAAAGCCTATATTCGTAGACCCGAGTTTAATTGATTGACCTGAAGCCTTTCTGAATTAAGCCGTTTGTCTCCTCGGTATGGTTTGACTGACAGATTTCAAAATGGCTGCGGATCCACGGGTGGAGAGACCAAGACAACCCACCTGGTGCTCCATCCGTTACCATCACCAATCCTGTGGTTGGACATTCGCTATTTCTTGTCATTGGTGTCATCTTTTGAGTCTAAGACCTATTTAGTCGCGTTTCAGGGGAACCGAACCAGGAGTTATGGCCGCTATGTTCTCCTCGATCCCCACCGTAGAGTTCTATTATCAATCCTTCAAACTTGACTTTCTGATCATTCCATGGTTTGTTTACCTTCCGTGGTAAAAGCTACACCAATTCGACCTCCTCAGCAGCCACTGTTTATCATCTGTAGTCACGATCGTCTATATTGCCCGACCACAGCAAGGACCCGCCGAAATGACTATCCACAAGCTCGACGGCGAAGGCTCGCTGCTCTTCCAGCCCCTGGAGATCGCAAATGGCAAGATCCGACTCTCTCACCGGGTGGTCCATGCTCCCATGACACGCAATCGGGGAGTTCCGCTGAATCCCACCAGCACCCCGGAGCAGCCCAATCGTATCTGGTATCCGGGCGATCTCATGGTCCAGTACTATCGCCAACGCGCGACCCCTGGCGGATTGATCATCTCTGAGGGTGTTCCGCCGTCGTTAGAGGTGAGTAGCTTTGATTTCCGCCAGAGCACAACTGACCATTGCAGAGCAATGGCATGCCCGGTGTGCCCGGTCTCTGGACCCCCGAACAGGCCGCCGGCTGGAAGAGGGTCGTTGACGCCGTGCACGAACAAGGCGGCTACATCTACTGCCAGCTGTGGCACGCAGGCCGTGCCACCATCCCACAGATGACGGGCTCGCCTGCTGTCTCGGCCTCCGCCACGGTCTGGGACTCGCCGAGCGAATGCTACTCCCACCCCCCTGTGGGATCCACCGAGCCTGTGCGGTACGCGGACCATCCGCCCATCGAGCTCACCATCCCGCATCTGAAGCAGACCATCCGCGATTACTGCAATGCGGCCAAGACGGCCATGGAGATTGGCTTCGATGGGGTCGAGCTGCATGCGGGCAATGGGTATCTGCCCGAGCAGTTTCTGAGCTCGAACGTCAACAAGCGCACAGATGAGTACGGTGGCTCGCCGGAGAAGCGTTGTCGGTTTGTCCTCGAGCTCATGGATGAGTTGGCGATCACGGTGGGGGAGGAGAATCTGGCTATCCGTCTCTCGCCATTCGGATTATTCAACCAGGCGCGCGGCGACCAGCGAGTGGAAACCTGGACCTTCCTGTGCGAATCGCTGAAAAAGGCGCATCCACATCTGTCGTACGTCAGTTTCATTGAGCCGGTGAGTTTTCCCACAATACCAGCCTTGATTCGTTCGCAGCCCACTAACCATGATCCAGCGCTATGAGCAAATCTTCAGCTACGAGGAGAAGGACCACTTCCTCCGCAGCTGGGGGCTTTTGGACGTCGATCTGAGCGGTTTCCGCAAGATCTTCGGCACCACCCCCTTCTTCTCCGCTGGCGGCTGGGATCAGAGCAACTCCTGGGGCGTGCTGGAGGAGGGCCGATATGACGCGCTGCTGTACGGACGCTACTTCACCAGTAACCCGGATCTTGTCGAGCGGTTGAGGAAGGGCATCCCCTTCACCCCGTACGAGCGTTCGCGGTTCTACGGTCCGTTTGAGGATAATGCCAAGTGTTACGTGGATTATCCCCCGGCTACTGCTTCGGCTTGATGCGTGCATAGATGTATATAGTGATTCGATACCAAGACGTTATTGCTCACGACAATGGCTGACGAAGATATTATGCTGACAATCCTCCATCCACCACCATTGCTGCCCCACACATGTAGCTGCTCATGGGCGAAGCGAGAAATAGAATCGCGTTGGCAATCTCGTCCGTCACTGCAGGGCGTCCCAGGGGAATCATCGCAAATTGCGTGTCGAGAACGCCGGATTCTATCATCCGGCTTATCATAGGAGTTTCCACCCACCTGTATCATCAGTAGAGCTCCAATATCTAGGGAGACTGCATACCCGGGGCATATGGCGTTGATGCGAATGCCCTCTCTGGCATATGATTTGGCATCCTGCTATCGTCAGCTTGGCGATCAATCACACACGAAAAGACTTACCATCTTGGTCATTCCCACAACAGCTGGCTCGTTAGCAGAACCCAGACCAGCGAGGCAGAACGCACCATGTTTCGAAGCCACATAAGGCGCAGCCCCAAACTCCCCCGGCGGCGCAGTAACCCCAAACATCGACGCGATATTGACAATGCTGCCTCGTCCTTCGCGCGCTCCCCGTGTCCTAAATCCTCAGCCGGGGCATATTACTCGGGATCTCACGCACATACTCCTGCTTCAACATCTGCCGGATCAACGCCCGCTGACAGATCCACAGCCCCGTCTGATTGATATCAATCACCTTCTGCCAGTCCGACAGCTCCAAATCATGCGACAGACCCGGCCGGCCGCTGATTCCAGCAGCATTGACCCCGACATCGATCCGTCCGAATTCCTCCGCCGTCTTGCGCACGGCGGCTTCGACGGATACCTCGTCCGTGACGTCGACCTGGAGGACTGCGACGCGGAGCTGCGCATACTCCGATTGCAGTTCCTTTTGCGTCTCCTCGAGGAGTGGCAGGTTCACATCTACCAGTGCGATTGCGCTGATCCCGTTCTGTGCGAGGACGTGCGCGGTGGCTTTGCCGATGCCTGATGCACCGCCCGTGATGAATGCGGTTCCTTTGACTTGATACGTCATGATTCTATGTCTTCTTGCTGGAATGGCTGGTTTGAGGGACGTGGAGTGTAAGTGGTGGAATGGTCTGACCACCGTTTATAAGGCCCCTCGGGCGGGGTAATGCATGCTATGTCGACTTCGGGCTGTCGGCTGTCACTCACTTTCTCCGATTTCCTATTTCATCGGTGCCTAGGCCCAGGTAATGTATTTGACCGCCATACTTTATCTGAGTGAGGGGTTGTCTCGTGTTCTGGTTCATGGCCTACAACAGGCACCATTGTATTTGGGTCTTGTCTCGAGTGCGCAGCATAGCTTCACTTTTGAAGTGTCAGATGATTTCAAGAGCTTGCAAGACAGAGTTCTAGACGGGAAGTTTATGAATGGGCTTCTTGTGTTAACATACGAACAGTTTTAATCACAAGTGATATCAGTTGTGGGTGCTAGCAGCGGATATGTATATTGTTCTCCTGCAGGATTCGGTATTTTGCACACCAGAGTTCATGAGGCATGGAGAAATACCGCACAACATATTAAAGGGGCTGAAACCTTCATCTGGATTGAAACTCAATGTTGAATGCTTTTCTCAATCTATTACTAGTTAAAATTGATTCTACTCTGACGCCAAAGACGAGCCGTGGCCGCCTCGTTTTCCGCGCTCTCCGCGGGCTCCGTGGTGACCGGGGCCAGCGCGGATGAAGCCCCAGTTTGTTCAATAGTATAGTATCTAGGAGGATATAAGTCAAGATCTTGCTTCCTGAGTATATTAAACGTGGGTTTGAATTGTTGCGAACGTACAGTGATAAGTGCGCGTAGACTCCCCTACTGGAAATAGTGATTGAGTGATTGACTTCGGGGTTATAATAGGGACCCAGACAGCAAAGATGGCCGCAAAAGATCAAAAAGGTCCCGATGATGCCTCCCAGCCTGCAAAATCTGAATTCGAGTTTGGTGGCGCCCCCGGCGTGACGCTGCTCATGATCGGCTTCCCGCTGCTAATGTACTACATGTACATCGGTGCTTTTCTCTACGATGGCCACCTTCCCACCCCTCAGGACGGACAATCCTGGTCAGAGTTCCTCTCTCACCTCGTCAGCCTCGCATACACCCATGCCTATCCTACCCGCAAAGCCTGGTCAATTTACTGGACCTTTCTCATCCTCGAAGGGGCTGGGTACCTGTACCTCCCGGGCGTATATGGCAAGGGGAAACGGCTACCCCATCTCGGTGGGAAACAGCTTCCGTATTACTGCTCCGCCGTGTCGTCGTGGTATGTCACTATCGTCGCCGCGTTGGCGTTGCACTTCACCGGCATATTCAAGCTGTACACCCTCATCGACGAGTTCGGATCCCTCATGTCGGTCGCTATCTGCTCGGGATTCCTCGTGTCGATTGTGGCATACATCTCTGCTCTGGCTCGGGGAGCGGAACACCGCATGACAGGCTCGCATGTCTATGACTTCTTCATGGGCGCGGAGCTAAACCCGCGACTGTTCGGCTGGTTGGATTTCAAGATGTTCTTCGAGGTTCGCATTCCGTGGTTCATCCTGTTCCTGTTGACGCTAGGAACGGCCCTGAAGCAGTTTGAGGAGTATGGGTTTGTCTCCGGGGAGGTGCTCTTCTTGCTCATGGCCCATTTCTTGTACGCCAACGCCTGCGCCAAGGGCGAGGAGTTGATCATCACCAGCTGGTTCGTTTTTTACCTCCCGTGGGCACATGATACTGATTCTGGACAGGGATATGTACTATGAAAAGTGGGGATTCATGCTTATCTTCTGGAATCTGGCCGGCGTCCCCATGAGCTACTGCCACTGCACTCTTTACTTGGCCTCCCATGACCCATCAACATACCACTGGAACCCCTGGGTGCTGGCTGTGTGGTCCGTTGCATACGTGTTCATGTACTGGGTTTGGGATACCTGCAACAGCCAGAAGAACTTTTTCCGCGCCCAGGAACGCGGTGTCACCGTCGACCGCAAGTCGTTCCCCCAGTTGCCCTGGAAATACGTCGAAAATCCGCAGAGCATTGCGACAAAGACCGGCGATTCAATCCTATGCAGCGGATGGTGTAAGTTCTCCTCTGCGGCGGTCAACTACACAGCTGACGAGGGTAGATGGAATGGCGCGCAAGGTGCATTATACATGTGACCTGTTCTTTGCTATTTCCTGGGGACTCATTACCGGATTCAACTCGCCGTTCCCCTGGTTTTATTCTTGCTTCTTCACCGTCATGATTATCCATCGCGCGAGACGGGATATCATACGCTGCCGGGAGCGATACGGGGAGGCTTGGATGGAGTATGAGCGTCGGGTGCCTTATCTCTTTGTCCCGGTAAGTTATCTGTTCATATGCCTCGCAAGGATGAGCTGACCAGTCTAGTACCTCATTTGAGGCACCCTTGTAGAATAGGAGAAACATTGAATTTGTACCATAGACCAGATAGCTGCGGTTAAGTCTCATTCATGTAGTCAGAGTTTAATATATCCATCACTGAACGATGTGTCCCGATGAAATCATTGAGGAACATGGAAATGTCAGCGCTGTTCATGTGCGAGTCAAACACGTTTTCCGGCCACTCGACGTCGGGTAGGGCGATGTTCCTGTCCAGAGCCGGCATGACAAGTGATCCGTCCCGGTGCTGTGTGAGGCCTTCCAGCGTTTCTTCTGAGTCTACTAGAATCTGAGCAGTCCTGGAGAAAGCCGCGCAGATTGTGTAAAGACGAGCTGACCCACGGGAGAGCCCCTTGAACAGCTCCAAAGACTGAACAGTATCCTGCAACAAGGCCAGATCGAATGTGCTCGCCGTCGTGATTGCGTGGATGAAGACAATGACAAATGGTGTGAATGAGGGGTACAAGAGAATCCTATTCCGATTAGTCCGATTTCAAGGGGTCGTACACATGAGCATACCAGTTGACATATTCGGTTTGCTTATGGGTCTCTTGATTGCGAAAATACGCAAAGCACTCCAGGTGACTCTGCAGGGCTCGCATCGCTGCCTCGTAGCATTGAGACGTGATGGCCATTGCATCGCTGGCCCCTGTCTGCGCCCGAAGGATTACGGTCATGACGGAGTGCGTGATGAAATCCGCGCAGGCAGCCATCCCGTGAAGCGACTCCGCATACAGTCCTTGGCTCACATCGATCTAGTCCATTGTTGGTGAGAGTACAAAAGCCACCGATCAAGACACTTACCCCCAGAAGTCGACCGCGAACCAGCATCAAGTCATTCGATAGCTCTTCTATTGACTTTAACCTTTCTGATTCAGTGGCCCGAGTCGCCGATGTCGAGTAGAGTCGATCGTAGATACGCCCCTGTAATGTGGCAAAGTCAATCGTGGTGAGAGTCATCAGGTCCCAGGGGCGGTACTGTGGGTTGTCCGAAGGTGCGAAGAACTCTGCATCGATGTCATGGTTCTGGAAATGAGAAGCTAACCCAAGGTTCAATGAGAGATTCTTGTCAATGGTATAGAGCGACCAGAAGACATGGCGTTTGGCCTCGGCGACTGGGACGGGATCATGTTTCAAGGCGGCACTTCGGTGGAGACCCATGCTTTGACACATATTGAAGGCCAAGGCGAGGTAGGTCCAGCACAGCTGTAGATCAGACTCTTCTTGAGCTTTGATGATCTGAACATTCATTAGCTATGTCCGTTAGAAGTCGGAAGCACATACCCCGATGAGCAGAGCCTGGACTTTCTCGAGTGTCGGATCACACATCATCTCGTAGCTTTTCAGCCCGGCCAGGAAGTGACGCTCGCAGAACCCGGCGTACGCTGCAAGGTCAAAGCGCGCAAGATCCGAGCAGTCCTCATGGAGATAATCGCGGATAATGTAGTACATCAAGCCATGCAGAAGCGTCAGAGAGCCCGCGGGGATCGGATCTACTGGAAAATAGATCGCATGACATAGCGACTCAATTTGGCGAACGTCTCTCCATGAATGAATGACCAGGAAGAAGGGAGGTTGCACTTTTAGCTGGGTCAGAACAGACAGGCAACCGAACGAGAAGTCAGAATACCTTTGACTTTTTTAATCAGAGTGACGAGAAAATCTTGAGGCAAAAGCTCAATCTTCGACTGCGAAAATGGCTCGTTAACAGTGGTCGACCCCTGCTGCCGGTCGAGACTGCTTCTAAGGGAAGACAAGACTGCCGAAACATGGGCGTCCACTCTTCCCGGCTGCGATGTTGCAACAGCCGAGAAAGCTGCATCCCTGGCAATGATAACCTCGTTGCTAAAGGAGGATTGACCCTCAAAAAGAGGTGCGGACGGAGTAGACGGGATGTCTGCAGCGGCAGGATGAGTGGAATGAGGTATTGAGGGGGGAGCTTGAGACTGAGTAATCTGCTGCAGAGTGTTTTGAATGGCTGCCAGTTGCTCTTGAAGGGCATCAATTTTCTTTTCACTGATTAAAGAATCAATATATCATTCAGCCGCGATAGTTTGGCGCTCAGCATACTATTGTCCAGAGGCAGTCCTTTGCGGCTGTTCTGGAGTGCTCACAGTGACACCATTCGCCCGACATGGGATTCCAAGAGCGCCGCAACTGGAGCATGGAATGGCTTTGTCGCATTTGATCTATCTGAATCAGACATGCTCATGTCCCAATGAAGGATTTTCACCTACTTTTCTCTGTCGGCAATTGTCGCACTGCGCCGGTCGAGATTAGAGCTATTCTATCTGCCTGTGGGAGGGGTGAGACATACCGCGCGGGCTCGAAATGAGTTACGAACTCCCGAATTGGTCCTGTCGGTCATCGGGACTGTCTTATTCTTGAAGATTTCACATCGATGCTCGCTCGGAAGATGATCCCATCAGATGAGAAGAGTTGATGCTGATGGCATGATATGATGATACATGTGTGGAAACGGGGATTCCTGCTGAGGCTGCTGACTCATCCATCTAGCGAATCACCAGCTTCTGTCCTGTTGTCCTCTTGTTGATCTCTTCTCGACGACTCAATCATGAATCACCTCTCAGCACTGTAAATTATCTCGTATTCGGAATCCGAGGCAATGCACCAATAGACTGACGTCGTCAGCATTAGGCTAAATCCATCAATCATGACCGGGGAAACTCCGCTTCTTGATTGACATCAGAACTCCGCATCCATTTCAGGATGTCTGGTCATCTCTTTCTTCATTTCTGATGCTTCTGTTCTGCCTCGTTTGAGGTAGCTTGGAGATTGGAATGCGATATGACTAATGACTTGCTGCCGTAAACAAGTCGAGCGAAATATCATGCTGAGAGAGTTACAAATGGTGGTACACCACCAGACGGAAGCCAAATTCCCCTGAAGATCAGCGTCCCCCGCATTTTGCGTATAGCCTGAATTCAGAATTGGCTTCATGGGCAAAATCAGCTAAGCTGAATGACGATGATGCTGTGCCACTATATCATGGGGCCGTGAGGCCTTTAAATACAGCGCTGACCCCTGTCTCATCTGAGCCGATCATCCTCACGCAAAAACCGTCAAAATGCGGAGCGTCATCACTATATCTGCGCTCTTATTCTCCGTCAGCATTGCGGCCGCAGAGAATGGTCTCGATGGCTGGCTACGGTATGCGTCCGTTCCCTGCAATGGACACTGCCAGCATGTCCACCCGTCGCACATTGTGACGCTCAATTCCACAAAATCGAGCCCGGTGTATGTCGCTGGGCAGGAACTGCAAGATGGTCTGCAGCAGATCCTCGGAAAACATGCCTCCGTCGAGTCCACCGGCTGCTCGACCGATTCCTCGATCATTGTCGGCACGGTCGAGGCGTACCGCCGGGCCTGCAATACCACCGGCCAGGTCCCGGACCTGGACGTCGATGGTTTCTGGCTCAGCACCCGCGGCCAATCAGTACAGATCCTTGGCCAGAGTGAGCGAGGGGCCTTGTACGGTGCATACGAGTACCTCTCCATGCTGGCGCAAGGCAATTTCTCACAGGTGTCGTACACCACCAGTCCGCACGCGCCCATCCGCTGGGTCAACCAGTGGGACAACATGGATGGTAGCATTGAGCGAGGCTACGGTGGACCTTCGATCTTTTTCAAAGACGGCGTGATTTCCCAGGACCTCTCTCGTGTTAAGCAATATGCTCGTCTGCTGGCTTCGGTGCGCATCAACGGCATCATCGTCAACAATGTCAATGCGAATGCATCACTTCTCATGCCGTCGAATATGGATGGATTGGCTCGCATCGCCGATATCTTCCGTCCCTACGGGATCCGGGTCGGCATCTCTCTCAATTTTGCGTCTCCCTCGACTCTGGGTGGTCTCAGCACTTATGATCCCTTCGACTCCTCCGTCATTGCTTGGTGGGGCAACATCACGGACCAGCTCTATGCACGCATACCGGATATGGCCGGGTATCTGGTTAAAGCGAACTCGGAAGGCCAGCCCGGCCCTACCACATATAATCGAACCCTCGCCGACGGGGCGAACATGTTCGCACGCGCTCTTAAGCCGAACGGTGGCGTGGTCATGTTCCGTGCCTTTGTGTACGACCACACCATCAGCGAAGACAACTGGTACAATGACCGCGCGAATGCCGCAGTAGACTTCTTCAAACCACTGGATGGCAAGTTTGACGATAATGTAGTAGTTCAGATCAAGTATGGACCCATCGACTTCCAGGTCCGCGAGCCTGTTTCGCCCCTGTTTGCCAACCTATACAAGACCAACACCGCAATCGAGTTGCAAGTGACGCAGGAGTATCTCGGACAACAATCACATCTCGTATACCTGCCCCCGCTCTGGCAAACGATCCTCGGATTTGATCTTCGTGTCGACCAGAAACCCTCACCGGTACGAGACATCATCTCAGGACAGCGGTTTGACCGACCCCTGGGCGGTTGGGCGGCAGTAGTCAATGTTGGGACGAACACAACCTGGCTTGGCAGTCATCTTGCCATGTCGAATCTATACGCCTACGGTCGTCTCGCCTGGGAGCCGACGCTGGATTCGGAGCATATCCTCCAGGACTGGATCCGCCTCACGTTTGGCTTCGACCGCCGCGTACTCGACACCGTCACGCAAATATCCATGGAGTCGTGGCCTGCGTATGAGAACTACTCGGGCAACCTCGGCATCCAGACGCTGACAGACATCCTGTACACACATTACGGGCCCAACCCGGCCTCCCAGGACGGCAACGGTTGGGGCCAGTGGACTCGCGCGGATCATCTATCTATCGGAATGGATCGCACCGTCAAGAATGGAACAAAGTTCTCTGGCCAGTATCCCGCCGAAGTCGCAGCGATGTACGAGAATATCGAGACCACACCAGATAACCTGATGCTCTGGTTCCACCACGTCAACTACACCCAGCGTCTGCACTCCGGCAAAACAGTCATCCAGCACTTCTACGACGCGCACTACGCCGGCGCCGAGACGGCTCAAGCCTTCGTGTCGCGGTGGGAGTCGCTCAAGGGACGCATCGATGCGGAGCGCTACCAGCACGTCCTCACCTGGCTCATCTACCAAGCGGGGCATTCGATCGTCTGGCGCGACGCCATCAACAACTTCTATCATAATCTCTCTGGAATCGCCGACGAGAAGCAGCGAGTGGGACGCCACCCCTGGCGTATAGAAGCGGAAGATATGCGGCTTGATGGCTACGTGCCATATGCCGTCAGTCCTTTCGAGACTGCGTCCAACTTCACCGCCATCGTCACTGCATCTAACTCTACCACGGGAACGGCTAGTGCTAAGCTTGACTTCAAGACGGGCACGTACGATGTGGGCATCAACTACTATGATCTGTATGGGGGCAAGTCTCAATGGACGGTGTATTTGAACAATCGCGCTGTGGGACAATGGCAAGGGAACAATGAGGATGTTCTGAGCCATACCCCTTCGATTTATTTGGATGGACACTCGGCTACGCGCATTACCTTCCGGGACGTGAGGATTCACAAGGGAGATCAATTGAAGATTGTAGGTAAGCCGGATGGAGTGGAACCGGCGCCGCTGGACTATGTGGTGTTGCTGCCACAGGGGATTGTAGATTAAACCGTACGTTAGGTACATCAGTGATAGCTACTCCATAATTTTTGTTTCTATGGATATTCCTAGTGCTGATCATCGTCTGTGGCTGGATGGGTAGGATGTTGTCGTGATATTGCCGGTAGTCTGACGCAGGGAAATTCATGATAGAGAAGTATAATCATTGCGTACATAACCATCCAGAACGATCTAGGTTCCCAAGGTGTGTGCTGGACTCGGAGGCGCTCGCGCCTTGGTGCCACATTATGCGACCGCACCTCAACTCAGAGAGATTATGTTGGAAGGGTGGAGGATATCACACATTGTGAGGGCGGAAGAAAGCCCGACAGGACAAGCACGTACCGGGTGTGGAACGTCGTAAGATAGAGTATCTACCGGTCCTAAGCCATGATAAAGTTCCTTCTTGGTAAGCGCGCCAGACACGGGTCCTCATGTGCACGGATCGAGAGAAATAAGGCCCTTCGGGAATTGTATCTGGTATATGCCGTCGAGGCTGTTAGGTAGCCGAGGAGACGGATTCGTGTGGGCGAGCGATTCATGTCATGTCAAACTCCGACATTGTATTCAGCAACAACGGGTCACTGCACGTGGGATCAATGTACGCCGAGAGCATCCCCGGCGAGAAAAGCGACTGGACGTCCGCGTTCATCCCTTGACCGCCTGCATTGTACCAGGCATTCTGATCGGCCGAGGAATCCTTGTAAGCGTCATTCCTCGATGCAGGAGGCAGACCGGCAGCTCCCTGGGGATGCTGCGATTCGATCCAGGAGGTGAAAGACTCAGCCCCTGCACGTCGAAGATGCTGCTGGGCCTGGCGAGCAAGAGGCCAACTAGAGCTGAGAATCTTCAAGCATCCCAGAACTAGCACCACGCGGTTGCAGTGATGGTCTAGACACTCTGGCGAGTGGATGCGACTGGTTGCCAGCTGGACCATCCCACAGAGGACGAGTGGGGACACGATCAGCGGGCTATATCCCTGTGCGCTCGGCCGCATGGATAGAAGGTTAGAGAGTTGCTTCGAGGCTTCTGTTGCTTTCACATCGTGGACATGTCGGGTGCACGATGGTGACAGACGCAGAGGAGTTGTGGGGCAGATGGGAACTTGGAGGTCGGGAAAGTCGGGACGCAAATTGCTTCGTGGAAGGTGGAGCAGCATTGCGGCGTAATGAATGGTCGTGTGAGCCTGGAAAAGCATTTCGTCTACGTTGCCGTACATATCAACTATGTCAACCTTGTGCCTTGGAAGGTGGTTCGTCCAACTGATCAGCGCATTCTCCACGGCCTGCAGATGGTCGCGATGCGTCTCGGGCAAACTGTTCAACACGAGCACGCGGGCCAGGATGAGTGCTGCTTCGATGCGATAACTGAATGATGAATATCGCGAGAAACGAGCATCTTCGTCTTCTTCGAGAAACACGCGCATCTTGAAGGCCGTAAAGGTCGCCGGGGGCGGAATCTCCTTTCGATTGGCGTAGACATACTCTTCACAAGGTAGAGGAACGTCGTAAGGGACATTGCCGCAGCGAAGGACGACCTTGGGTGGTCGCGCCGCCATGAACACATCGACGATGAACAACTCCCACCAGGTCCGTCGTAGGCTTTCCGCTTCAGTCTCATTTCCATTAGAGAACGTTGTTGCAAAATCTCTGCGGAACATTCCCAGTTCCAAGGCGATATCGGTTGCTTGGGAGAATGCTCTCTCCGCCTCGCTGCACTCGCTTCGCGCACACAGAAAGATCGAGTACAGCAGCAAAGCCTGAACCATACACGGCGTTCGATCGCCAGCATGACTCAGTTGCATTGCAGCAGCCTCCTTGAAAGAGTCACCAGAGACCTGCAGCGAGTAATGACTACCGATGAATCGCACCACATGCTGCAGGAAACTGGGATAGTTGCGGTCCTCATATTGCGAGGCCGGAACGAGAATCGGATGCGCGTTGTGGAAATTCTCATAGTAAAGACGTACCAATCGAGAATCTGGCACCACAGGAGGTTGTGCATTCTGCGGCGAGTTCCTTGGGCTGATTGATGAAACCTCTTTCCCGGTAACAGTGGGACTGGATGGACCTGCGGTTGGATTTCCACCTGTTGGCTCCGACAGTGGAGTTTGATACACTATGCCTGGGAAATCCGAAGTTACCCCCTGCAGAGGCTGGAGCAAACTACTACGAGGTTTTCGTCTGCCGCCCCGTCGAGAGGGGAGATAGTTGCACGGCAGACGGGCGTCCAGGCACCGGGAACACGAAGGCTTTTTGGCGTCGCATTTGACGTGGTGTTTGCGGCACTCTGTGCACGCGAGGGGAGAGGGACGCAGAGAAGTGCCTGGTGGAGAAGCTGTTCTTCTTCTTCGGTCGCTCATCTTGAGCTATTTGCCTCCATAACAGATTCGGAAGGCATAATGTCATTGATGGCAGTGCAGATGAGGAACGAACGAGACTCACCTTCATTTCGGGGATTTCGGCGACCAATCGGCGACCAACCTCTGCCTGAATTCTAAGGCCAAAGTTGCCCCACACAATGAGTCAGCCTCAGTGCCACACTGCACGCACATGACGTTGCATATAAAAACAACTACATGCCTATCATGAGGAACTACTAATGAGAGCTTCTACTCTCCCAAGAAAATCCAATCTGGAGTCACAAGGTCAAGATCCAAATTATCCAACCAGCTCAAGAAATCTTCGCTCGCAAGTTCAATCCCCGATTCGCATCCAGTCGAGCTCCAGATCCCAGCGCCATCCCGTCCGATGCGATATCAAAGTCGCGTTCTTTGCTGTATTCCGGGTATAATATCAATTCCTGTGCTGCCTGCCCCATTTCCGGCAAGAATGGGAGCAGAGAAATTGGAATGCGCCAAAAGGGGCTGGTAGTCGAGCGCATTGTCTAGAAGCCGGCTGATGAGGGTGATTAGCTCCATACATGCAGTAGAAGTGTTTGTTGAAGGCAGCTCAGATGTCTCAAACCACAATATTACAAAATCAGACTGCGGATGATCTCAGAGCGCGCCATCGAAGATGGCAGGGCACGGTTCGAGATTGTGTGACCGTGAATTTCTATAACCAACACACCGGCTGCGGGTATGCCACAGATCAGAAACTTGACGATTGATTCCAACGTCAGTAATGGTCCAGACGTAAGGAGGGCACGTCGCGAGGAAACAAAAACAGCAAGACATACTATCCAGGGGAGCTGTTTTCGGATCTCATGCCGCTGGCATTGCCTTGTGAGATCGACAATCACAGATAAAATCTTCATGGACGTATCCAGCAGATCTTTGATTCCGTCCAGACTGTCCTGGCAGCGTATCCGATGGAGTTGAAAAACACTCAGCAAGTACTCGAAATGCACGATCACGAGGGCCAGACAGTCGACAGCACCCGTCGTTCCCCAGCACTCAGGATGTTACCGAAACCGGCCAGGTATTCTTTCCCAGGTGTCTCGACACCTTTGGTAGGCGAACCTAACGATCAAAATGTCAGACCAGGAAGAGACAGAGGGGGAAGCGAAGTATACAAAAGCTGATCTCCACGGCCAGTCTCTCCTCTCTGGCCCAATGATAGATCAAGTACTTGCTCGCGCAGGGCCGACAGGATCTGGCGCATGCGGATTACCGTAGCCGGGTGAAATCGTCCAGCCGTGTTCCAGCCTTCCTTGTCCAAGCTAAGAAGCGCCGTCTAGATTCGTTGTCTAGGAACAGGCTCTCATCAGCCAGATCCCGTGGCAGTTCTACGGCGCAGTAGTGATGGGGAAAGCGAGGGGGTCTCCCGAGCAATGGGACCGCTCACAGGGAGCTATGAGGCAGGAACCGCGAGCAGTCTTTGGTATAGGATGTCTATATAACCTACGTACGAAATCATCGTTCCTTAGCTTAGCCTCATGGTCTCATTATCTCCCTTTTTGTCCTCCTTGGGACCGACTCTGGCATCCCCTTCGCGTTGTGGTCTTGATAGCACAGAGTGTTCCATTTTCACTCTTTTCAACTGTCAGCTCCGTTGACGTTATAGTAGATGCACATGTATAGGAAGTTCAAGATGAATTTAAAAAGTAGTCAAATGGCCGCGGCTCACCTGTGTATTGAGAAGGTCTGCAGCATTTCCAGAAATATTATCTCCCAGAGCAGCCATTCTCATCGCTCAAACCTCTCCTCTTTTGAATCTTAAATACGTTTTGAGGGGGTATAATGCAGTCACTAGCTCGAACCTCATCCACAGTCTTCATCCGAATGGCCCTTAGGAGTAGTAGCCAGGTCAATAGATGGCCGTTGCTCCCAGACACCTCAAAGACACGCACACAATGAAGCAAAGACACCAGCTTGCCGAATGTTCTGAAGGTGTGTTTTTTTTAAAGGCTCCTTTTCTGAGGTAAACTTGGAAGGACTGACATGCGGGTTGCAATGCGGGGTACAGAGTACAAGGGCAGGGACTGGGGACGAAACGTCGATGTGCCTTGAACGGTTCGTAATGGATCTAATAAGGCCCTCGGCGCCATTGTTGGCAACATAAAAAGCGATTGGCAAAGTGTCTTCAAGATATGATCCCATATCAACGAACTATAAGGATCACGAAACAGTCATTGTCTATATTACCTGTGAAGACAGACAGCATGTCTCCCTTTCTGATGAAGAGCCACAGGGGTCATTTGAATGCATACGACCCATGAGAACTACTTAGCCCACAAAGGCTGACCCCTTCGAGGTTAGTAATAATCTGCTTCCTAAAGGGACGGTCTATATACAGGTGTTTCGCCGGGTTCTTAGACCTAGTACCCGAACCTGCTACTTTGGACCAACTCGGCCTGTACTCATCCGAACCCGACATGATCACAATTCACGACTCTAGTTTCAGGTGGATCAGTAATACTAATTGGTTATTTGGTGGTTGAGCTATACGAGTACGACAATTACGCTTTATAGAAGTGGATAGTTTGCACAAGGGCCTCACAGCTCTCTCTACAGTTTTTCTTCACTATTTACCGGGCTTGTCTCAGCATGATTGACGTCTGAACACTTTTACCTTCAAGTAGATTATGAACTGAGACATGGTACCGCGACGGACGAATCAGGATACTATTAAGGGTCGTCTTGGCTGAAGTGAAACATACAATGCGCCGGGTTCGGCATCTTTCCGATCCTCCTCAGTAATGGCTAGAAGTAAGTAATTAATATCCTGTTATGGAATCAATCTAAGTATGGACTTTTAGTGCTAAGCTCAGACTTCAGGAGCCTCCCCTTAATCAATATTGCGAGATCGAGTCTAGTCACAGCGGTTATATATCCGTGACAACTTCCCCAAACTCTGCCGGTGGACAGTCAACAAGCAAACACCAACCGAGCAACCATGCGTCGGTCTTTCATTCTTTCTTTGCTTTCCGCGGCGCTGGACGTCGCGGCCGGTTTGACCGAGTCCAACCTCGAAAAGCATGTTGATGTGCTGGCACTCAACTACTCCTTCAACCCCGTCAAGGCTGCCTACTGGACTGGATACCCTCACCACCGTCGCACTCCTTTTGCTGTCTCGCCAGATGGAAAAACCGCCTATCTCGCCTATCTGGATTCCAGTGAGACTGACGTGCATGTCCAGCAGCTGGATCCCTCTACCTTCGAGGCTACTGGGACTATAGTTACTGTGACTGGTGGAAAGGAAGGTATGTAATCTGATCAATATTTCTATGAATCCTTATTGACAGAAGCTAGCTGGTGGACTGGTTGCTCATAATGATGGCTTTGCCTTGTTGACCAACGAAGCCATGCCTTCCGGTACGACCAATGCGCCCCCATCCGACACTCCCGTTCCGGTCCTCTACCGCTACACCAACGGCGAGCAGACTTGGAAGACCTGGCTTGGTGGCCCCGGCGTGCACGAGTCTGACGGTCTATCGGCTTCTCCCGACATGAATGGCGATCTGGCCTACTCCGAAAGCGCAAATTTGTACGGTGCCTATTTCGTCGTCACCGACTACTCCGGTTCCGCGGAGGGCCACTACGGTGATAGCATTCAGTACGTGTCGGACAACGGAACCCTCGTCACGATTACCGGTGCCACTAGCTCCTGGGGCTGCAGCCACAATACCGGAATTGCGTTTGAGGCGGCGGACGATGCTCCCTTTGCCAGCATCTGCGCCGAAGATCAAGGCGCCATCTGGCTCAACACGAAGACACAGGGGATGACCAATGACGGGGTCAAGATCTCCAATGAGAACACCACCAACGGAGCCTCGGGTGAGCCCATGGGCGGTATGTCCGGCAGCTTCAGTGCGCTGGCTCGATTCGCGGACTCCACCCGCTACATCTTCGCCTGGGTGTCTCGGGGCGCCATCGACGTGACGGAGAACACCTGGATGGGTGACGGCTACACCCACGTGAATAACCGAACGAACGGCCGCAACGTCGCCATGGCCCTTTTCACCGACAAGTACACCAAGGTCGGCACTCAGGCAACGTCCCAGGTGGGCGCCGAGGACGGCGACAGCCAGGTCACCTGGGTGACCAACGCCTCGAACGACTGCTCGAACGCGCATGTAGCTACCTTTGGCAATGACTCGGCCCTGATCACCTGGGAGGAGATCTCGAATCCCACGTGTGACTTTATCGCCATGGGATGCCGTGGGCAATTTGCCGGCTCATTCTTCCAGCAGGTGGATTCGAGTGGAAAGAAGGTCGGCGAGGCTCTCACCAGCACTGATACCTATGTGGCGGGTGACATGGTGACCATGTCCGACGGCCGTGTTTGCTGGCCCTATGTCAGCATGACCTGGGATCTGTCCCAGGCTGTCGGTTATTCGTCAACCACTACCAAGAAGATGAGCTTTGCTTGTATCACGCTTGACGGGGCATTTTCTTCGTCTTCGTCCTCTGCCGCTGAATCTGCTGCATCTACTGCTTCTGCTACTGCTTCTGCTGAAGCTTCCTCGGTTGATCAGGGTGCAGCTTCTGCTGTTGCGTCTTCAGCCTCCGCTTTCTCCACTGTCGAGGCGGCCGCCAATTATGCCAGCGGAACCACTGCCCAGAGTATAACTGTATCGGCAACTGTGGATACGGAGACAGCTGTTGAAACCTCGGTCCAAGCACCTACCGCTACATCGGTCAGCCAAGCCGTTCCCACGTATGCTGCGTCTCACGGGCATGGACACCGTAAGCACCCACACCCTGCTGCCGGTTGCCCGCTGTAAATAATGAGTTATCACTGTGAGACAGTGGGCCGGTCGACTCATGGTGAGATTGATACTTAGACACTTTTCACCATCTATACGCAATAGAGAACTGATTATAGTTACTCTCATTTAATTCATAGTAGAAGACCACCACTATGCGCCAATCTGGTAAAGCAACGTGATGCAACGCATTCAAGCCTCAATAAACAACCCCGAAATAATGTCAATCTAGACAAGCCGCGAATATGGTATCATATAATACAAACACGCAGGAAATGGTATCATTCGGCGTAACAAGAACCTCACAACGCTCCTTCTCTACGCCTGGAAGACATGACTGGATTTCCCGGTCTTCGGATCATAGACATTGTATCCAAAGTCCGCTGCGTTCGGAGGCGTATACACTGGAGGGTAGTTAGTCCATACTCGCAAGAACGGCTCTGATATCCGAACGTACAATGCAACGAAACAGCCAAGCGATCTTTGGACGGATTGGCAACCCGATGCAACCCGATCTGATCACTGATATAGGCCACCTCATTAGGCTTATACGTGGTATGCTTCTTGATCTTCAGGGGAGCGCCGTGGTCACGCTCCGCGGGCGGGGTCTGATAGATGGTTTCATTCAGTTCTCCATCGAGGATCTTCATGATACAGTGTGCGTTGGCGTGGTCATGGATGAGCGATCCTTTCTCGGGGTTCCAGACCAGTAACAACTACTTGCGTCAGTCCCCTGAGTTCAGAACTTCGACAGATATAGCGAAGACCATACCAGATTCGCACGCCCGCTGATATCGGCCACCAGGTTCCGGGTATAGTTCTTGCTCGGGTCATTGCGCATGTATCGTGACCAGTCGGCGGGGCTGGACGTGTACTTGGACATGAAGCCCATGAGGACGGCCGGGTCAACATGGTCGTCGTCGAGACCGGAGCTCCCCAGGTACTGCTTGATATCTTCTACCAGGTTGTCGAGGGTGTAGTTTGTGTTGGGTTTGCGGGATACGGTATAGTTCTGGACGCGATCAAGCGAGGCCGGGTGACTGGCCACGGAAACGGGGGCACACAGCGCTGGTGGCATTTTATGGTAATTCAGAGTGACTCTAGGTATACACTTGACAGATAATCTTGTATATTGCCACAGCTACCTCTGCCAGATATGAGGCGATATATGTGTACCCCTTAGTGTCAATCGCCGATTCAGTTGCTGGAACGGCGACTCGACCGGGGATCCAGCCAGAACAGCCAATCAGAGCACAGCAAAGCACATAGTTGAGTGGAACGCCTATCCCATGAGCAGTAATATAATGCGCGTCATTGGTGATGTGCCACAGGGATAGCTTTATCATCATGAAAGCAATTGAAGGATTGGCTCAGGGGTGGTAGTATGGGCCAGTGATAGCCGTGGCTATGCGATCAACAGCGTCACTCCACTATCAACGTAGCGGTGAATGGGACGCATTGACGTCTGTTGAGGATACGGTGAGTAGAGTAGGGTCGGGTATGGACTGTGCAAAAATAAGTCCATTTGCTGGTGTTATGCTCTTCATAACTTCGAACCAGCAAAGTCAGTTCCTATATCAGTATTCAGTCCTTCCAACGGAATAACGTGAAAAAAAAGATATGCCAAGCCAGGACATAGAGCGAACGGAGGACGTATAACGATAATTATAGCTAGAGGAGGTGTGACTGTCATATTCAGGTCAAAAGTGGCCTGCCTGGAACTATGTACAGACGGACGGTGCAACTCAAGCTCCTAGAAGGAATATATACAGGAAGGAGTGCGACGAACTAGTCAGAAATGCACGTCCTAGATCGCTCAAAATTCGACCAAATCAAAGCTGTGATTTCGAACTCGCCAACATATGAGGAATCTTGATCGGCATAAGTAGGAACGTCCTTTGGCTACCATCCGGGCTGGCAGGCAATCGTCCCGCCCTGATATTGACCTGCAACGCCTGATGCAACAGCCGGGGTTCGTTCAAAGATGAATCTTTCTCGCGCCTCCACTGTACAAAGTCCTCCAGCTTGGTTCCCTCCTTTACATGCTTGTTGTGCCTTCGTTGTTCCTCCACGGTGACATACGGCAAGGGATCGCGACTCGTCTGCGACCCGGCTTGGGACTCCGAGGGGGCTGAAGGAGGGTAATCATGTCCTGTGTACAGTTTGAAATGAGGAGGCAGAGAAAGGAGTTTGCTCATGGATTCGTAGAGCTTGTGCGCGTCCCCGTCGGGGAAGTCGCATCGTGCACTGCCGACGTCCGGATTGAAGATCGAATCTCCGGTGAAGACGTTGCTTCCAACCTGATATCCACTATGATCGGGAGTGTGGCCTGGTAGATGAAGTGCTTTCACTGTCAAGTCGCCGAGCTGGAATTCTTCATCGTCTTTGAAGAGATGGTCGAAGACATTTTCTAGATCCTGGACGGGGACCCCGTATTTCTTCGCGAACGTCTCTTGAACCTGTCGGATTCGATGCCCGGTAGAGATGGGGACTCTTCTTTCGGTCGTGCTCAGAAGTTTCTGCTGGAGGTAATATGCTGCCGTCAGGTGGTCTGCGTGTGCATGCGTTTCGAGTAACCGGACGATCTTGTAACCCTCTGACATGGCAATATCAAGGAGCTCGTCGGCGGATTGAGTGCTTATCGTCAACTTGGTCGGATCAAAATCTAGTACAGGATCGATGATCATGGCCTCACGGGTCTTTGGACAGGCGACGATGTACTGCCATGTTGACGTTTGCTTTTCAAAGATAGGATGGACAACAGGCTCCATTTTGACAATCGGTTGGTCTGTTTCTCTGGAATGCAGTAAGATTTGGAAACGCAAGGGGGGCTTTCTTGTCTATTTAGTCCATTCAAAGCACGTTGTCGGGCTTCTCGGTCTCATGGAGGCCGCATTCTTCGGGCAAGTGTCGTTATCATGATGGCATGACGTATACGCTCGGGAAGCATAGACCAACCATTTAGCTTCAGCTACGGCCCTTTCAGATTATTATGAGTCTTGGAGGTTTTGGAAAATATGACCCGCGTCAAATGGCCGTCTCGTCACGGATGGGGTGTGCGGAAATCGTCCCTTAAGCGGGAGTTTACTTGATCCCCGACCTCTACGAAAGTCGCCGAACCAGCAACTGAACAGTTCATTGTCTTGTTCTATTGGACGAGGAGACGGATATGATGATATCCACTGCCTGACACCGAAATCCGGGGAGTGTTTATTGAAATTGGGGGATCCTAGTCCATCTGGTTCCGTGGACGACCTAGTATGACATTCCTCAGAAACACATTGTGCAATTGGCCACTGTTCTTTTTTCAAACGATCTGGAATTATTCAAAACAGCGCAGTGCCTTTGACCCTCTATCCCGAGAAAATCCTATAGCTTCACTTGCATCATCGAACTGTAGCGTTAGGAAGGCTCCTTTGGCTGACTGCTGCCAGGGTCAGAAGAGACTTGGATAATCATAGAAGGCAGCCTCATAGCCTATTCACGTTGCAGTCAAGACTCTCGAACTGATACAACTAATTACATGATGACCAAGACCAATTCGGTCAAGAAGGTCGAGCCATAGCATGAATAGCAGAATCGCTCGCTCGTCTTGGAGAAGAGAGGAGAGCGATTTGTGCTAGTAACCCTCGGACCGAAACCTAGAATGTTGTTGATATCGTTGGTGCTCAAAGTGGGTTTCTGCAGCATTGGGATAATGATTTCTAAGGGAGTGTAGTACAGATTATCCTGCAACGAAGTGCCTGACCCAATGTTGCAAAATTTGAGAAGATCTGGTAGTGTTGTTGATTCACAGTCCGCAGCACATGGGTCATCTAGAGACAAAAGGGGGTTTTGAGAGGTTGCTTGTGCGTTGTCTTTTACGCGCCAGAAGCTGAGTTCTATATTCTGACGTAGAATTGTCGTTAGGTAACCTAAGCTCATCTGCACATTGAACCAGCTGAGTAAGTCTTCTGTCTTTGCAGCTGCTGATGCAAGAAACCATGATCCGTAGGGGGTCGTCTCGTTGGAAGTATACGATACCAAGCCGATGAGGAGAGACGATGCATAAATCCAGTCAATGCTGTGCGTTCATACTTGAAGATACACAACCAGCTCCCTTTCCGGGGTGAAATGCTGAGGATTGGCAATATTCAAGATGTCGGGCAGCAAGCACCAGAAGCACATGCATCAGATACGGCGTAGAGACACACAGAGGTGGAAAATAATGGTCAAATATGTCTCTCCCAAGGGAGGATCCCAGCGATGCATCCAGAGAGCTGCGCAGATGCCGAAAGAGATGCGTACTCTTTGTAATCGACTTATAGCAGGTTCCAAGCTGTTCCATCCCGGATAGCTCCATTCAGCAACCCATCAGCCATCCCTCAAGTTGGAATCACCGTCAATGTGCCGGAGGTCATATATCATATTCCATTCAAGTGGGCCCCAATTTGCATCTCAGTCATCTCTTAGTCCTTGGGATCGAGTAAATTGACGCAGAGAACTCCTTCAAGCAGTCAATGAATTGTTGCCATTGAGCAACGTCATAATAACAGGTCGGTAGATGAAGAAGTCCCACGTTTCCAGCCCATATTTCATCCATTCCTGATGGATGCAGCGGCATCTGTCTTGTCCCAAGACATGTTCGTCCAGGAAAGATAGCGGGAGCAGTGTATGATAATAACGATGGAATCTGCGTTTGAGAAAATTGACATCTGACCATGACACTCCTTGGAGTACAAACTTAAACATAAGTAGGCTCAGTTGTAACTATCCTCAAACCCGAGCACCACTAATTACAGACTATCCTGCCAGTAGTATCCCCCCTGTGATCTTTGCTTCTCGTTCAGAATCCCAATAAGCACAGACCGCCATTTGGCAGGGATTCAAGGTGGCTATAACCATCACATGGGCGCAGTTCTTCGTCCTAGCCAATGGCTTCTGGGGTGACCTGACATCCATGCTAAGGTATTAACTACAAATAGATAAGATCAAGGTCTTGGTTGATCTCACTTCATGACCAGGAGAAATTGTGTTGCCTACTATTATAGGTGGCAATGAGACAGATATATGCTGATTGATTCCCCCGAACTAAAAGAAAGTCATATCTCATTCTTGACCAGACTATTCCTGTGTCAGTTACCCATCCTATAATGGCACTTCAAACAATCACCGTCACCTACACCGACAACAAATATCTCTCCTTGGTAGACGCAGCATCGCGTACGCCCCTCTACCATGTCAAGGTTTGCCGGCAAGTGCCGCAGATGGAAATGATTCGCTTAAGTCCAGCCCCAGGCAACGATAGAGAGGACCAAGCCTTTCCTGAGGATGAAAACGCCTACTTCCAACGCCGGGTCTACACGGCAAAGTTCAAGATGACAAGCCTCAACGGTCACCTCCAGATCCGCGAGCATCGAGATGTCTTGCTCAGCAGAAAGGGAATCCTTTCCACCAGCTACTCATTCACGTCACCAGCACTGTCTGCCGCAAATATTATCAGCTCTTCATCATCTCCGGCGTCATCGGCTGTCCTCACATGGGAAGCCGACCAGACGGGGAACCTGGGGGACTTCCGTCTTGTCAAAGAGGCAGAGAATGAGTCGGACAGAAAAGTGCTGGCTCGCTTTCGAAATAAGGCCTTTTCCAATGAGAAAGTGGGCACGTTTGAAGTAGACGCTGGTCTCAATCAACTGGTCAAGGACGAGGCAGTGATTTCCGGGCTGGCCATGCTGTCAATGGTGCAGAGCATCAATCTTGCCGGCATGATCATGCTTGGTGGAAGTTGAGCTATTCTTTCTTTATGTACTCTGGAGATAGCACTGAGGATCAATATGAAAACAACTCATTGAGCAGTTGCGAAAGTTGGCGTCGCTTTCTTTCTTTTCCCTCTTTTTTTCTCCGTTAAGTGGGGTAATATAGAGAATATCTCCACAGTAGCCATTATCCAACAAATGATAACCCCAAGATTCATTCTGCTAGAGTGTTATAGGATTAGCCGATTCACTAAAAGAAAACCTGATAAGATTGAGGGTTCTTTGACTCAGACTCACCTGTACCAGGCAATCTACAGTCGACAAACACAGCAACCTGGGCCCTGGTCATCGTAGGTCTGCCCGGGATAAGAGTCAAGGCGTATCAATATGGAGATGATAGACTCTGCGGCAATGCCGCACCGAAGCAAGGTCAAGGTCTTCGCCATCATGGTGGCCCTCTCGGTAAGGACAAAGGTCAATGGATTTGATTGCACATCAACCTAATCATAAGCTCTAGCTGTCAATGTTTGTGGCTGCTCTTGATCAGACGATTATGGCCACAGCTATCCCAACTATTGCAGCCAAACTACACTCGGCCGCGGGATATACTTGGATTGGCGGTGCTTACCTTCTGGCCAATGCCGCCGGTGCTTGCATATGGGCCAAGCTCTCGGACATCTGGGGACGCAAGCCCATTTTACTCTTGGCCGTGGCTTGGTTCTTCGTCAGTTCGATCATCTGTGCTACGGCGGTGGATATGCCCATGCTGATCGCGGGACGGGCGCTTCAAGGTGTTGCCGGCGGTGGCCTGCTCCAGTTGGTCACCATTGTCATCTCGGATTTGTTCAGTGTCAGGTATGTAGACGCATTTTCAAACAGTCACAGACACATACTGACTTGGCAGGCACCGGAGCCTCTATCTCGGCTTGATGGAGTTCATGTGGGCGCTGGCGGGAGGAATCGGTCCCCTTCTTGGTGGAGCATTTTCCCAATATGTCTCCTGGAGATGGAGTTACTGGGTCAATCTGCCTGTCTGCGGACTTGCCTTTGTCCTCCTCTTGCTATTTCTAGACGTGCACAACCCTAAGACGAAGATGCTCGAGGGAGTGAGGGCTATTGATTGGTTCGGGAGTCTCTCCATCCTTGGCCTGACGCTGATGCTTCTCCTTGGCTTGGACTTTGGTGGTGAGACTTTCCCTTGGAATTCGCCCAAGGTCATTTGTTTGATCGTTTTCGGATCGCTCTGTTCTTTGCTTTTCATCTACAGCGAGAAGCGACTGGCGAAGTACCCTCTGATGCCAATGAGTCTCTTTGCCCAGAGCTCTAATATTGCGACACTGGCAGTCACATTTGCTCATGGCTTCGTATGTGATTGCCCACCTGTTTGATCAAGCTGAGCTTACCGAGGAGTAGGTTTTTATTGCCGGAGAATACTACGTACCTCTCTACCTGCAATCCGTCACAGAAGCCTCGCCCATGCGCTCTGGTGTCCTGGTCCTGCCTCTTGTTCTCTCCGAGGCGTTTGCCGGTATCGTCACCGGAGCCATCATCCACCGCACCGGCCGCTATCGCGAACTGATCTGGCTGGGAATGACCTTGTTAACGATCGGCAACGGACTGTACATTCATCTGAGTGCATACTCGTCCTTAGGGCAAATCATCGGATACCAGATTCTCAGCGGCATCGGAGCAGGGTTCCTTTTTGAACCTCCAATCATCGCGATCCAGGCAATGGTCTCTCAGGATGAGACCGCCACTGCCACAGCGACACTCGGCTTCATCCGGAACCTGGCAACATCTTCGTCCATCGTCATCGGCGGCGTAGTGTTCCAGAACTCCATGAGCCAGATGAAATCCACCCTGCTCGCCGCCGGGATGTCGGAAACCATGGCCGAGCAGATGTCCGGAGACTCTGCAGCAGCGAATATCGAAGTCATCAAGACCATCCAGGATGCAACCCAGCTTCTTGCCGTCAAAGAGGCCTTTGCCTGGAGTTTGAGGAACATGTGGATCCTGCATACGTGCATGTCGGCTTTGGGGATTGTCGCAGGTGCCTTTATTCTCAAGGCCCGGCTGAACAAGGAGCATGTGGAAACAAGGACGGGGCTGAAATCGGAGAAGTCGGAGGCTGCAACAGTCATTGAAAGACCTGCAGATGAGTGTTGACCGGATTTGGAGCTCGGTAACCGACAGGAACGAACCATCTCTAGAATATTACACAGGCCGGTTGACGATTTCGCCCTTGGTCATTCCGCAGGAGTGCGGTACACATTTCTTGCGCTATCTACATTTGCGCGGGCAAACTGCTCCGGGACCTTCAATATATGGACACTCAAGACTCGTCCTGGTAGCATGGTCTGACTCGACTTCTCAGCTAAAGAGCTAACAATGCAAGTGAGAACGGGACTGAGTGATTTGACGGCAACATCAAGCCTTTGACCAACGAGTCGAAGGACTCTTTGACAACGGGTAGTAATGAGCGAATGATCATAGCACATTTCCATATAGATTCAAGGCAATGGTCTGAATTCAATCAGGGAAATAGCACATATAGTCTTCATTCAACCTGGAAGGTCCCATAGTTCTCGCTCTTATCCTTCACCATTGGCCGAGGCAGATCTCTCCTCCAATCTGCCTTTCATCTTCTCGTGCCAAGTCCTTCCATCGGTGGTCTTGTACTGCCCCCATTTGGTTAATCTGGCAACGATGAACGACATTCAAGACGACGTTGGGTAATCATTTCTGTTTCCGTTATAACGACACAGGCGTTTCAACTGCGCGCATTCTGGGGGTACAATATTTTCCAAGAAGCTGGAGAGGGAGCTGTTCGCAAGGCAGCTTTGGAGGCGGGTCCAGTCAACAAGACGAAGCTTACTGTTTAAGTGTAGACTCTTTGCTGATAGGGAACAATAGGTCATGGCTGGAAATGCGATTGATTGTGCAGAATTCGGATGATGAACCGCGGATAGAAATAATACGAAGCTCACAAAGTAAATACAAGACGCTCTTCCATGGTATCTCGTTATATCTCTACCATCCAGGAGGACCGCCAGGTCCACCGGGACCTCCTGGGCCTCCTGGGCCTCCTGGGCCTCCTGGGCCTCCTGGGCCTCCTGGGCCTCCTGGGCCTCCTTCGGGCCCGCCTGGACTTCCGAAGCCACCAGGGGGGCCATCAGGGCCACAGCAGTCGCCGCAGCAGCAGAAGCAGTCAAAGCAGCAGCAGCAGCTATTCAGGAGCATTAGAATTGTGTCTGCTTATGGTTGAGGTTACTTACTCATCACCAGGTCCATCACCACCACGAAGCTGCAGGTGCATATCCTCCTTGGGGGCCTAGTGTCATCGTCAGTTGTGGAGGCTGAATTAATGGCCGGTGGATAGACATACAGGTTGGTCTGTGACGACGTCTTCAGTTGTCGGTCTCTCGGGGCTCTGGGGTTGGACCATCGTCAATGTCTTGGGATCCCACGTTGTCTGGGGAGCTTCTTCCTGCTTCGAGGAGCCGAACCAGCTGAAAAGACCTTGGCCAACCATTGTCACTCGTATGTGTACGTATCCACGATGTTTTCTTTGCACTTGGAGATAAGGTCTTGCGAGCAAAAGGGGAGGAGAGGTCTAATAAGTACGGTATGCAATCGTATAATAGGGCTATTAGGCTCCCTCGTTTAATCTTTCGAACTTGACATGCTCGTTCGGGCGACGATTGACAACTCGAATCGAACTAGGTAGCTGCTTCATTCCTCAATGGGATTGGATTACAATAGTATCATGAATAGCACCCAGCTGATGGTCCGACGAGGTGGGTCTGCACCGAGTGGCCTTACGTGTACACTTGCGCGGTATCCTTTCTGGATCACATCAATCGACCAAAGAGGGGAGAGTAGAAGGCTCCCAAATTGTGGGCATTATGATGTATCCTCTATTTCTCATGCCCGATGCTCGCTGATTCAAGTTAAGGAGGTGTTTGACATGCAGAGTCGAGGGTACCTGCGGACTAGATTACTCTTTTAGCGAACTGACGAGCAATCTCCGAGATCCGAATGATCGAAATTAGAGACCGTCAGCCGAATAATATGCGTCGTTGCGGATATTGCGTTGCCTCCCCACTTGGCACCATTTCTAGACGACAGGGCTGAACGGCTCGTCAGAACGGCTCGTTAGAAAAGGGGTGAGATGTGCCTCGATGCTATTGATGCTTCAGATGGGAATACACATGGCTCCTGGGGATTTTAGAATGGGGCGCCTATCAAAAGAGATACTCTAAGAGGGATCGCCTCAATATCCGACTCAAACATCGGTAAAGCTAACTGATCGGTAAATAGACGGGCCCATGAACTCCGGAGATATTCTAGTCAGTTACCAACACTGTCTCCCAGAGCGATTACCCGGTCAGCAACATCACATGGACATAGGAACTGTCAGGATGAGCTTGATCTCGTGCGAGCCCTTTCGTTTCATTCAAGGGAAGGAAAGGTGACGTCTCTTCCCAGGGACTTGGCCACCCAGTAGCCCACAGCTTCCCGGACGATATTATTCGAGGACCAGTTTCGACTGGGGTGGACGCGATTGGCAAAAAGAAGGAAGAACGTGCTTGACGGCCTGTCGATCACCAGCGTGGTCCCTGTGAAGCCGGTATGGCTGGCAGTCTGAAGACTAGCCATAGGTCCCGCCGTATAGTACTGATTCAGCTCGAATCCCAGCCCATGCTCATTTCCGGGGAATCTCTCGTTGAAATTGTGAAAGACGAGATCCACAGCCTCTGGTGACAGTACCCGGTGACCGGCGTACGTACCGTTGTTGAGAATCATCTGACACAGAACTGCCGTGTCCTCAACCGTCGAGAATAGCCCTGCGTGTCCAGACACTCCATCCAGAGCCCAGGCATTCTCGTCATGGACGGTCCCACGGACCGGTTGTGGACGCTGTGGCTCCAAGGACCCCAGGACCTGGATCTGGAATTCCTCGGCCGCCATGCGCGGGTAGAAGGGGAATGCTGGGCCTTCAATGTTTCCCCGGTTGAAGAAGGTGTCATGCATGCCGAGGGGATTGGTGAACTCCTGAATCAATTCATCCAGTCTTTTGCTGGTGATATGCTCCAGAAGTAGAGCCAGAGACATGAAGTTGAGGTCCGAATAGAGATACGTGGAGCCGGGCGCATTGAGCAGAGTCTGGTTCAGAATCGAGGCAGTCCTCTCTTCGACCGTCTTATACACTGGAGAATACAACGGAGGTTCTGGATCTGGAGCAAAGCCAGAAGTATGCGTCAGAAGCATCAATGTGGTGATGTTTTCTTTCCCAAGTGCTGCGAACGATGGCATGTAGGAGGCCACTGTGCTGTTCAAGGAGAGTCTACCAGCATCAATCTCTCGCAGGGCTGCAACGGTCGTAAACAGTTTGGTCAGACTGGCCATATCATAGATGGTGTCTGTCCGCGCAGGCAGTTGCTGCTGCGGAGGCAATGCGGTACCATTGGCGTCGGCATACAGCGACATCTTTCCACTGGCGAAAAGTGAGACAATTGTGCGATCATGAGCCACGATCACCGCAGACGATGGCTGGATGGGGTGTATCTCATTGTGGGTGAATCTTCCATAGTTTGCTGGTTGTTGATAGCCGGTGACGTTTGTTTCCAGTTGGCGGAGGGGGGCTGATAGGAGGCCAACGGATTCGGGGGGGCCAAAACGGAGGGTATCCTGACTGGATTGACTGGATTGATGAAGGACTGCATGGCTGGGGATGATGCCAAATATTGAAAGGATATAGATGTAGGATAAATGCATGGTGGCAGACTCATCGATATTCAGATCAAATCACCATGAGGTGCTATATCCGTATATATATTTGGGTCGAGCCCCTCGCTCTGTCTATCATCACCGAATTGATACATAGTCAATGTAACATCGTATTCGCGATTTTATTCTCAGTCTGTCGAGAGCATGCTTTATCATTTATCAATATTCTTAGGAATCGATATTATCCGGAGGACCATCACGGAAACAAAGCTTGACTGATGCCATGATCAGCGCCCGCACTTCCAAGATTTCTGACAGAGTGGCGCCATCATTTCTCCATCATTCTTCATCTTCATCTTGCTACTTGCTACTTATGATTCTGCCTTTAGTGTTAACTTTAAAAGTACTGTTAGATTAGTCAGCACTTAGATAGGCCAGCGGAGAGTCCGCTTAGATCCATGGCCCCTGACGGACAACAATCGACACAGAAGAGATCATGGAACACACAAGAAATCATCTCTTTTCATCTAGCGAATCTAACAAGTACCTAACCTAGCATATTCCCTGCTGGAAACTTGCCTCCAGCCAAATGAGATCCATAATGACTGCCGATATTTAAAGGCGAGCGCGTAACTTGTCTCGTCCCTGCATCATATCCAGCTCATCCATCGACAACATCCATCCAATCTCCTCCACACGCGACAAGAAAAGGCAAACAAAATGTATGCTGGTCTTCCGTGATCTTCTAATCGTCGATCAAAAGGAAAATGCCCCGGTCGCAGGCCTTTCACGCGGGTCGAACGCCCCTGCAAGACCAACGAGTGCCACTTGAATCCCCCCGGATCTCTGGTCCTCTGGCCTTTTGCAATCCAACACAGGCGCTTTTTCAATGGTCCACGCGTCCACACTTTGATCGAGAAAATGTCCCAACGCCTCGGATAGAAAGACTCTGGCGCTCCCGAGATAATCGTAAAGGACGACATGCGCTCAAAATCCACCAGCGACCGCCAGGAGTCGAAGGCAAGAAGTACCCCCGGAAAACAGTCCACCCTTATGCAATCCTCGAAGGCATTCTTCTCATGTTCACGACCTTCCCCTACTGGGACATTTCCTTCTGGGTGGCTTTTACCTTTACGGTCGGGTCGATGATCTGGGTCATCAACTCCTTCTTCGTCTGGCTGCCGTCGGAGGACCCGTCCACCGAGTTTCCGCATGAAGTCCTCACTGCCGGAGGCGTGACGGCCTTTATCGGTGCGACTGTCTTCGAAATTGGCAGTGTCCTGCTGCTTCTGGAAGCAGTCAACGAGAACCAGACGGGCTGCTTTGGCTGGGCGGTCGAGACGGCCTCCAAGGAAGCCGAAGAACAAGTCGAAGAGGCTGTGGTGCGAATCAAGTCCGATGTGGAGTCGTGTCTGCATCATCATGCGAATCGCCGTTCGTTCTTGACTCCATCCGAGGCCAGGCAGGACTCTTCCAGACGCACGTCGGCTGGTCAAAAACGATCGTTCGAATGGCTTCCCACCCTTACCGAACTTCGCACCCATTATCTCCACGAGATCGGATTCTGGGCTTCGTTGGTGCAGTTCATCGGAGCTACCATCTTCTGGATAGCTGGGTTCACCGGCCTTCCTGGTATCATCAACCACATAAGCCAAGCAGTCACCAACGGCGTCTACTGGGTTCCGCAGATCGTCGGCGGTTCGTGCTTTATAATGAGCGGGCTGCTTTTCACCCTAGAGACGCAGCCAAAATGGTATATCCCCGCCATCAACGTCCTCGGCTGGCATGTCGGTTTCTGGAATTCTGTCGGGGGTGTTGGATTCACTCTGTGTGGAGCTTTCGGACCGGCCACGTCCAACTCGGGCCTCAAGTATCAGAGCTCACTGTCGACGTTCTGGGGATCCTGGGCGTTCTTGTTGGGGTCTCTGATCCAGTGGTATGAGAGCTTGGATAAGCATCCCGTGGAGGAGAAGAAGTAATCTGTACCTTGTTTTCGTTCAAGATTTGTATTGATTAATGCCTGTCGATGTTACGGAGCAAGTAGGACAAACATTTCAATATCGTTATGTCTAAGAGTATGAAAGTCCAAACTTCCCTTCGGCCATCGATATGCCTCTGGCGACCCAACAACCAGACCCTCTCTCTCTCCAATGCCTGCGCGACCCGGAGCATCCCCTCCTGCATGGCAATCAGAACCGCAAGGGATGTCGACCCTGCAGGCACGAATCGAAATCTTTTTCCTGGCCGATATCCACCTCAGCACCGATGCCGCCTCATGGAGTAGCACAATGGCGTCCTGATGCATGTGATGTCGGTCCGGTCAATGCTGTACAATTCCCGATGAGTTGCAGCAGCCGGTAAGAGCCCTTCCACGTCCGGGGCCAGTCGAGGGGTGATTCTGGCGGCGGGGGATGGTAAATCGTGAACAGGCTGGGTTTCAGCCAGAGCCCGCTGATCCTAAGAATATCTTGACGACCTGCAGCAGTTCGAACCTAGTGAGGATGTTCTCCGTCACGCTCGAACTCTTCTCCACCCCCTGGACAGCCGCAGCAGCGCGATGCTGATCACCGTCGTGGTGAGCGAGGGGCAGCACGGCTCCGCAGTTGGACGGGGTGAGATTCTCCAGCGCTGTGTGCAAGGGCGCAAATGCTCGATCATGACACCGCAGCGCTGTATCGATGTACCTTAGGACGGAGGAGGTCTGGCAGGACGAATGATGCAGCGCAGCCACAGCCAAGACGCCGTGGAGAAGAAAGTCATGCTCCAGCGTTCTTTGAGGTATAACCACCTGCCATGCATCATGTTCCGACGAATCATTGCCGCGGTAGGTCTCTGTCGGAAACCGGTGAATCGATTCCAGGTCGCGGAGTGTGAATGAGTGTGGATGGGGGCGTGTCCCAAGGTGGATGAAGGTAAGGCGATAGCAGGCAGCTTGTGCGGAGCAGATTTAGGAGGTAGAAGCTTGAACGCCTAAGGACGCCTTTAATGTGCACTCGAGCTCTTGTTCCTTGTAGTCGGTACACGGCGGTGGTTGTCCATCGCACTAGATACGGGTTAGGGAGACTTTAATTCAGAGTGACTGGCCGGGCTGCCAGGGAGTCTGTCGATGCCAGATGATGGATCTCCCAGCTTACACGACGCTGTTTACGCTGATCGCGACCATTCCTGGACTTTGGATGGAGCTTCGTGGGTCATATCTGGTGATAATCATCCTGTGACGCGATGAAGAGAAAGCGAAAGCGAAGCAGCATTCCGAATCCATGACAAGAGCCAGTCTGCGGGAAAGAGACTGACGTGTAAAGCAATCTGATCAGAGTCAGACTGATCGATCTGTGATCTCTCCATCGGCGAAGAGACGTCTCGTTTTCGTTCTCGCTTTCGGTTTCGTTCTCGCCTCTTAGCAACCCGCGTGGCTGAGCGCTGCCGAGCCAAGGATCAAAACAGGGTCCTGGGACAGATTGGAGAGATCGTTTGCTGCGATCGAGATAAGGTTCTCTCCAAGGAACAGATCGACCAGTCACTTTGGATAAACCGATCATCTAGAGTTGACCATTTGGTCAATGGTAGCTTCTGAGGCCGCCGACATCATCCCGTCCCTGGTTTCTCGGATACACGTGGAAAGGGATCGATAGCTTCAGGCACAGCCTCGCTTAGAATATTTGTCATGCTCGTCGGCTTCCTAATCAGGCTCACTCCTGCGAGATGGTGAAAATCTACAGTAGCTAGGGATCTCTGGCTGTCGACCTTCCTGTCGGGGCAGCATGCAGGCCGATCAGCCAAGTAAACATGATGTAGTTCTTGATCGAGGGGATACCATTATTCAGATGATTGATCGGAGAGGATGGGCCAAGGTATATAAGATTCGACATTCCTCGGATCTCCCGCATGTATCAATCTCATTCTCGAGCTCGCACACCACAGTCCACCATCTACATCATTTCCCTTGCTGCGTCTTAGTTACGAGTCCGCCAAATGAAGATCACCAACCCCCTACTCCTCTCTCTGGCTACTTGCCTGGCCCATGCTAGCCCTCTCGTCAGGCGTGAAATGACTGATGGTGACCATTTTCGACTGCCCTAGGCCGGAATGATGCTGACCTGAGTAGCGGACATTCTCAACTACGCTTTGACCCTGGAACATCTCGAGGCCGCCTTCTGGGAAGAAGGATTGAAGAACTACACGCAGGCCGACTTCGTCGCCGCCGGGTTCAACGACCCCTTCTATGCCAACCTGCAACAGATCGCAGCCGACGAGAACTCCCACGAGGAGTTCATTGCCAACGCTCTGTCCGCGGCCGGAGCCTCCCCCGTGGCCAGATGCAACTACTCTTTCCCAGCAACCGATGTGAAGAGTTTCCTGGCACTGTCCAATGTGCTGGAGGGTACGGTTCCATATCTCCCACACTTGTGACACTATCAAATGGTGGTGTCGGTACGAGTGCCTACCTCGGAGCTGCCGGCGACATCATGAACAAGACGTACCTCGGGGCCGCCGCCAGTATTACAACCGTCGAGGCTCGCCATAGCGCCTACTTACGTGCTGTCATGGGCCAGGCGCCCTATGCCCAGGCGTTCGACAACCCCCTCAGCTACAACGAGGTGTACACGATCGCTTCGCCGTTCATCAAGGCATGCCCTTCTAGCAACCAGGCGCTTGCTCTGAAGGCGTTCCCTTCTCTCACTCTTGATCGACCGGCACGCTCATGACCGGCTCCATGGTCACTGTCATGCCAGGCTCAGGATTCAACCCCAATAATGCCACCGATCTGTACGCTGCGTTCATCACCTTGACCGGCCCCGTCTGGGCTCCCTGGAAGCCCACTGAGGACGGACAGATCGTGGTGACTGTTCCGGAGGGTGTCTCCGGTCAAAGCTACCTGGTCATTACTCAGGGCAACCAGCAAGCGACGGACGACACTATTCTCGCTGGCCCTGCTATTGTCGAGGTACATCACCTGCTTCATCATCGCGGAAATTGATTTTCTAATGGGATAGATTTCATAGGTCGGAACCGCCAACGCGACCATGGGGATGGGAACTAGTGACATGTCCTCCACGGCCTCTTCCTCCATGACATTCACCATGGCCTCTGCGACCACTTCTAGCACTTCTGCTCTGTTCACCGGTGGTGCCGGCAAGATGGCCACGAGTCTGGGATATGTCCTTGGCCTTTCTGGACTTGCCGCGGCTGCTCTCATCTAAGGATGGGTTGAATCGTGACATGTCGAATCGTATATAGTGCTACATAATCTTACTTGCGCACATAGCTCATACATCCCTAATACAACCTCCCACATATCCTTCGTGTGAACATGACATTCCCTGTGTAATCCACGTGCAAGTCCTGCATTATACCAAGTAATCCTCACCCCAATCTCATCCTCAACAACACCCCCGCATCACCAATAAGCTTCACGCCCTGCAAAACACTAGGCGACACGCCATGGCCGGGAATATGCATCCACTGCGTCAGGAGCTTGGCCAGATGGGGTCCCATCTCCGCCACTTCCGGCGACAGGCAGCCCCTGAGCGCCGTACGCCGCGACGCAGCCAGCGTAATCAACATGACACTCGCCATCCTACGCCGGACCATCAGCGCAATCCAAGGGTCTGGGGGCAGCATACATACGACAACGAGCAGATCCACGTATCCACCAGCACCGTGTGCGGAAAACTCCCCAGGTTCTGCGCGTGCAGCCAGCACGCCTCGAGGCAGACCTTGCACCCTTCGAACACGGCGGACGGGACGTGCTCCACCGTCGCGGTGGCGGTCATGGAGAGCGCCCAGGTGAGGTACGGGCGGTAGATGACGCTCTTGCAGGTTAGATAGCGCTGTCGGAGAAATGCGCCTGCGGGGCGTGCCTGCGGGTGAAGGTCCACGGTGAACTGGAACGGGGGAGGGAGCAGGTCCTTCCATTCCTCGAGCTGGTGGGCGAGTTCGGCCACGACGGAGGGGAACTGGTGGTTGTCGAAGGCGACGCCGGTGTCGCGGGCGTAGAGGAGGTTGTGGACGCGATTGAGGAGACGGCGCATGGAGATGCAGGCGAGGAAGTAGAGCGAGGATTGTTCCTCGTCAGTTCGCGAGTGGTGGGTTTGGTATTCTCCTGGTAGGGGGATGGAGGACTCGATGTCGGCGATGCCGGTTTGCGGGAGTGCGGAGAGCTCGGCAAGGTAGTCACTTTTTGGGTCAGTCTAATACTGACAGGTAGGGACACGCATACCTTTCTAAGATGTAGCAAGACCAGAAGATCCGGCGGAGACACTCCTGCTCTTCCGGGTTGGCGTCGGGGTTATGGTACGCTAAGAGGAGACGGCATTTGGCGGCAGTGGCGTGGATGAACGACCACGCTTGCAGGGGGCGTTGAAGAAATGCAAAGAAGATGCTGAAATCGGTTAGAAGAGTCTCAACTTCTTGGGGTGGGGATGATACGCTGTAAAAAATAAAGATTGCACGGCATCCACGGAGCACTCGGTCTGCGCCAGATAGATCTTTTTGAACGCACAATCGAAATAGATCTCGCCCATCGCTCGACGATGACTGCGGAGCTCCAGCTCTTCCGAGTCTGGATCTTCATTGGCCGCATACGAGCAGATCAGTTCACTCGCGCACCCCAGGGCCATCACCAACAGGGCCAGACAGGATTTGATGCTGTCGTCAAACACGCCCGTGCATATGTGCGCCTGTACCTCGGCCGTCTGGGCTAGAGACAGGGTGGGATACCAAAAATTGACGTTGCGCTGGAAACTATGCACTAAGCGGTCGACTTCGCTTCGGCTGGCGTAGGGATGGACCGTTGCTGGACGGGGCGCGAGTGGCGCACGACTGGACTCCAGATGGAAGACGGAGAAACTGTGGTCTTCCCGCAGAGACTGAAAGTCGTTGAAGTGCGGCCATGCCAGGATGGACTCGGTAGTGGAGGCATGAAAGGCTGACAGGGTGGCGTTGGAGATGTGGTCGCCAGGGCTGTCGGGACGGTGACCCGCATTGACTGTGGAAGGAGAGATTATGGCCGTTGGAGATGTATGATATTGCGATGACGGTTTGTTGTCCAGCAATCCTGACACCCTGGCCTAATCGGGTCAGTGAAGGGGGTGCAGTCACGTCTGGGAGAGTTACCAATTGAGCCGACATCTCCTGTAGCAGTCGCTCTGAGCGAACAGTCACCTCGAGAATCAGATCGCTCTTGTTCTTGCTGTGGCTGGTCAGTCATGCACAGTCAATGCGTGGGAATACTGACGGTACTGCCTCGGTGCCGTAAGCGCATTCCTCGCCTGTGTTGGCGCATGTTGTGCATGGCTGACGACCATCGCATCTGCTCTATTCAGTGTGTACTTCTGATTGATATAGTTGGAGCACATACCTCACTTTTCTGTACCGACACGAGTCACACTGTCCGGCGATCAGCAAGGGTCAACCAGGGGAGGAGAGGAGCAAACCGCGTGGGAAGTTCTCTTGCGCTTCCGATAGTCGGATGTCTCCTCTAGCGACATGATATACTACCTATTAGGAAAAGTAGGGTAGAAACTGGTAATCTGGTGAGACAGAGTGCAGGAGTTAGGGTGATTAAGTTATTAACCTGAATGAAGATCTCTGGGAGTGCGGGGAGATTTCCCGCGCATTCTGGCTTGGCCAATAACGGGCCGGAGGATATCGCTAAAGAGTAGATGAATATATAGTCTCATTCGTATGTCTGAGACGAGTCGATTTCTCCTCTGGGATTGGAACGCAAATGCTGTGCAGTCGATCATGTTACTAAGGAATAGCACTACTTTAGGAATACATATATCTCACCAGCAGAGGCCATAAACACAAGAGTCTGTTTACGGATTCCATCACACAATCAGTTTGTTTATATATTCAGCCATTCGAAAATGGGTTGACTACCTCACGTTCCAAAAGAGACCTACTACGCCTTGGTATCTCCCTCAACCTCCAGTGTGTTCAAGACAGAATTGATATCTCTCTTCTGCAGACTCTTCTTGACTGGATTGGGCGCCTCAAACACCTCGGCCAGTTCCTCGAGAGTTCGTTCCTTAGTCTCAGGGAAGTAGAACCAAATGACTACCGCCTCGACCAGATCCCAGCCCACAAACACCAGGTAGAAGTAGTAGTGGATCTTGTCAAAGGCCGGCCCGGACGCATACTGGATAATGGTGCTGCTGATGCTGGACATGAGATTGCCAACGGCAGTACCCTTGGCGCGGGTGGTTGTCGTGAGAGTCTCGGCAATGTACATGCTCTGCAATGGGGTCCAGCCAAATGAGAAGACGATACCGAACAGGTAGATGAATGCGATGGCCGTGTTGGCCGCATTCTTATTGTCCGGCTGGTCTGTCGCCATCTTCGAGGTTCCCGTAATGACCGCAAATGCCACCGAGCAGAAAAGCAGCGAGTAGATCATCAAGGGACGGCGGCCAATCTTGCCTGTCAAGCGGGCCCCTGTAACCGCTGCCACCAGGCAAATGGCTGGGTAGATGCCGTTGAGCATCAGCTTGGTCTTTTCATCCGTGATCCCGGCGTTGGCCACCATGTTGGGCAGATAGTAGGAGGTGACCGAGTTACCCGACAGCTGTCCAAAGCACGCCATACCAACGACACAGATCAGCCTTCGACGCGCAGAGTGCGTGTTGAACAGCTCTCGGTACTCCCACCATTTCTTGTCCGAGCCGTCGGTCATAATCTGATGCCGCATCTCCTTGATCTGAAGGGTGACCATGGGATGGTTACGGTCGCCTTCTCCGTGGTATGTGGCCAGCACTCTGACGGCATCCTCAACGCGGTCCTGCGCCATAAGCCACCGTGGCGATTCCGGTAGAAACCAGACTCCCAAGGCGACAATCACGGACGAAATAAGCTGGCACCAGATGGGGATGCGGAACCCGATAGCGCCATGGACATTGGCACAGCCGTATGACACCCAACTAGCGACAATTGACCCGATATACCAGGTACAGTTGTACAGACCAGTCAGAGTGCCTCTCCAAGCCGGGTGCGCCATTTCGCTAACGTAGCAAGGCGCACTGACACAGCAGAAACTCACGCCAAAACCGAGGATAAATCGACCGGCCATGAACATACCATGGTTGACCGAGGGGGCCTGGATGCATGTGCCTATGATGATGATGACTGCACCGGTAAACATGCCGGCGCGACGGCCCAGATAGTCATTGACTGGACCTGAAAGGACCACGGCGGGGATGGAACCGATGTTGTAGAGGGCGAAAACGAGTCCTGTACTAGAACCGGCGGATTTCCTGGAGATGTTAGCTCGCTTTCCGATCTGTACACGGTCTGAACATACATATGAAAGAAGTCCAGGTAGCTCTGCATCGCGTTCAAACTGCCCATGAGCGATCCATCGTAGCCATTCAGACAGCCACAGAGATACGCAATCAGCAGACAGCCGTACAGCCGGAACAGACTCGCGGTCCAAGGGCTATACTTGGCTGCAGCCACTTGCTGGGCCAGTTCAATGGCATCGCCCACATCGCCATCACCAGTGGGGACCGTTTCATGGAACTGAGAGTCGGTCTTTTCGTTCACTGCGGCCATTTTGAGGGCAAGACACCTTGAGAGGGCAACGTGTTTTTACAGGCAGTGAGGGAGAAGCATGAGCATCGCTACTAAACGACGATACAGACCTTGTCCGGTGCAGCTCTCATGGTGGTTATATCCTAGACGGACGTGCATCAGCTCATGGCCAGCAGGGAAAATCTGGGGAAATACGGGGAAAATCGACCGTCTAGACTCGAGACAATCTTTTCCAGACGATCATTGGCGGTTCTTCGGTTCCGACATCCCCGGACGAATCACCATGTGGTCCGTTAGGATAAACAGTTAGTGGGGACTCTGTTGCTGGTATGTCTTCTGGGGCAATCGGAAGGATTGAGCAGAGGCTCTTTGATATGGCATGCAATGATGCAGCATGACATGATTCCTACTTCGAATTATACCATAGTGCAAGTGAAAACAGTCATCTAATCTATCAATGCGAGGCTTGATCCTTCTTCCATCCGAAATCCCCGACGGAATGCGCCAAGCAGTATAACCACAGCTGGTCGAAAGACGGCGTGGATTTCCCCGCTCACTAGCAGCGAAACAAATGTCTGCATCAGGAGTATGGATCAATCATGGTCGGATGGTGGACTGAAGAGGGGATCCATTGCAGTTTGGATGCAGGTCGAATGCCATCAAGCATGGCTTTTCTTCCGCTCGGCCTGTTATTCCACGAATCCGCCTATTTAGGAGGGGAAGATGGCCTATTTCTTGTTTTCGTTCAAGCAATTCATCTTTCTTCTTTAGATCTGATTTCGTGGCTTTATTTAGACCCAACTGAGGAGGAATTCTTCTTTCTTATCATCCTACTCTGTCCTCGGTCTTCCTGTCTGTCACCATGACACTGTCCGCAGTCCCCGACTACGAGAACCAGCACATCTTCCAGCGCAATCGACTCAAACCAAGGGCATATTTCCTTCCAGAGACGTCTGTCTCGCTCAATGGTCGCTGGGACTTCAACTATGCAGCCTCTCCCGTGAGTGCCCCCGAACCAACGGGGGCCAAAGACACCAAAAACGCCACGTCCGAACCCCGCCGGGATTTAAACCAATCCAGCTCTCAGGACGCAGAATCAAAGACCTCTTGGGCTCCCATGACTGTTCCCGGTCATTGGCAATTGCAGGGCTATGGCCATCCGCACTACACGAACGTCATTTACCCTTTCCCCGTCTGCCCGCCATTTGTGCCGACGGAGAATCCTACAGGAACCTATCGTCGCACCTTTCATGTGCCTGCCGAGTGGGATGCTTCGTCTCAATTAAGATTGAGGTTTGACGGCGTGGACAGCGCATATCATGTTTGGGTCAATGGTGTCCAGATCGGATACGCTCAAGGGAGCCGCAACCCGGCCGAATTCGACGTATCGCAAGTTGTCGATCGCGACGGCGCCAATGAACTGTTTGTCAGGGTGTACCAGTGGTCCGATGGCTCGTATATTGAGGACCAAGACCAATGGTGGTTGTCAGGCATCTTTCGTGATGTGACCTTGCTCGCATTTCCTGGCCAGGCCCGCATTGAAGATTTCTTCGTGCGCACCGAATTGGACAAGGATTACGTTGACGCAACATTACGCTTGTCTTTGGAACTAGCGCTGACAACGCCGGCCGTCGTGCAACTGACTTTGAGCGATTCTTCCTCGGGCAGTACATTGCATTCCGAAAAGTACTCCCTCCAGGCGAAGCAGGACAAACTCGAGGTTGAACTTTCCGTCTCCAACCCAAGGAAATGGACAGCAGAGACACCAACCCTGTACGATCTATGCATCGTTCTCTATGGTGACGTTGCCAAGGAACCCGTTCAAAAGATCAACCACCGTGTCGGGTTCCGCCAGGTTGAGATCAAGAACGGCAACATCACCGTGAACGGTGCACCGGTGATGTTCCGGGGCGTCAACAGGCACGACCATCATCCACGCTTTGGCCGAGCGGTTCCTCTATCGTTCCTGCGCGAGGACCTCTTGATCATGAAGCGGCATAATGTCAACGCTCTCCGTTGCTCGCACTACCCGTCCCATCCCCGGCTATACGAGCTCTGCGACGAGCTCGGCCTATGGGTGATGGACGAGGCAGACCTGGAATGCCACGGCTTCTATGATGCCGTCGCCCGCCCCCTGGATATCCCCGAGTCAATGGACTACGAGGAGCGCAAGAAGCTCACCTTCGACGAGGCGGCGCAGTTCACCACTAACAACCCCGAGTGGAAAGATGCATACGTGGACCGAATGGTGCAAATGGTGCAGCGTGATAAGAACCACTCCTGTATAATCATCTGGTCCCTCGGGAATGAGTCATTCTACGGCGCCAACCACCAAGCCATGTATGACTATGTCAAGGCGTTTGACCCCAGTCGTCCGGTGCACTACGAGGGAGATATGGAGGCCAAGACGGTGGATATGTACTCGTACATGTATCCTTCAGTTGATCGACTTGTAGGTCTTGCTACTGCAGAGGGAGATACGTTTGAAAAGCCAATTGTCCTTTGCGAGTATGCCCACGCGATGGGTAACGCACCGGGTGGCCTGGAAGAGTATATGGAAGCCTTCCGAACCCACCGGCGCCTGCAAGGGGGATGGATCTGGGAGTGGGCAAACCACGGACTCTGGGATGAGGAAAAGGGATGGTATGGTTATGGTGGTGACTTTGGCGATACGCCCCATGACGGCAATTTCGTACTGGACGGACTGCTATTCAGTGACCACACCCTAACGCCTGGTATCATTGAACTGAAGAAGGCATATGCGCCAGTTCGGGTGTTGCCTGGTGAGGAAGGGGCTCTGGTTGTGGCGAACGACTACAATTTCGTTGGCCTAGAAGGTCTCCAGGCAGTCTACAAGATTGAAGTCTTGGGAGAAAGGTATATTTCGCTCTTTATTCCTCCAACATTATACTGACACTTTTGGTAGCGGGCACATTATTTCCACCGGCAACATAGAACTTCCGTCTATTCCTGCAGGCCAGAAAGGAACTATCAAGCTGCCATCTGCGCCTGCTACAAGAACTCCCGGGGAGGTCTGGCTCACCATCAGCTTCCAAGCAAAAACAGAGACCCCGTGGGCCGCAAGCAACTATGAAGTCGCCTGGTACCAGCAGTGCCTCAAGTCCTCCTCTCTACCTGCACCTTTGTCCACACCCGCTCATCCTTTGACGCTCTCATCCACAAAGACAAAACACAAGATCACCGGCGCCACATTCAGCCTGGAGTTCTCAAGAGAAACCGGCAACCTTTACGCCTGGACCTCCGACGGTCTCTCCCTCCTTGATCAGTCCTCAACAACCGGTGCCGTCTCCCTCGGATTCTGGCGTCCACCAACCGACAACGACGTGCCTTATGATCTCGGCGAATGGCGGCGCTTTGGGCTCGACACGCTCACCTCTCAGCTGCGCAAGATGCACGTAGTTCAGCATACCCCCACGAGTGTAGAAGTCACAGCGGAAACATACATCTCCGCGCCGATTCTGGCATGGGGATTCTTCGCCTGTACCAGTTATATCATCTCCGGCAATGGTGCCCTAACCGTCAATGTGCATCTGAAGCCCCACGGGCCAATCCCTAAGGACCTGCCTCGGATGGGCCTGGATGTACGTCTCGCGGACGAGTTGGACAATACCTCGTGGTTCGGCCTAGGGCCTGGAGAAGCATACGTAGACAAGAAGAGAGCGCAAAAGGTGGGTATTTACCACGCTACGACGGCGGAACTGCATACCCCCTACGAAGTGCCTGAGGAAGGGGGCAACCGGATGGAAACCCGCTGGTTGCGTGTGCACGACAGCAGAGGATGGGGCCTCAGAGTGACTCGCATTAAGGAGGAGAGTGACAGGGAGCCCACCGAGCTGTTCCAGTGGGTCGCAACGCGGTACAATGCCGAGGCTATCGAGACAGCCCGGCATGCGAATGAACTTGTTCCTGAAAAACTGGTCAGGTTGAGGCTAGATGTGGAGAGCTCTGGCGTTGGGACTGGAGCCTGTGGCCCTCGTACTCTGGACAAGTACCGGGTCAAATGTGAGGAAAGAAAGTTTGGCTTTACTCTGCAGCCTGTTTTTGCCGAGACGTGTTAGATTTATTGTTAGTGGGTTCGTTTAGTATCAGGGATAGATGCTTTTGCTTAGGATAGTGCACTGTGTTGCCCAGCCTTCTTACAATGGATAGGAAATGAATGAGCGAAGGTGGAAGTATCTCACTAAACGTCCACCGTCGTGAGGTAGAATAAGGTGGCAGGAGAACGTGTGCTGAGCGATTACCTCGAACGGCAATTCTCCGGACAGACGAGCCCAGAAAGTGTGAAGAGATCTCAAGTATATCATATGATATCCTATGGTCTCGGGGAAACCGGAAGGAGATAGATGACCACCTAAAGTGAAATTTGAAGATCAGCTTGCTCATATTTTGATGAACAGGTCAAAGATAGGCCAGGTTCCCCGCTTCTCCAGTCCTGCAGAAAGGTGGATCTCCTTCGTCATGGTATATCCCGAGTGCGGGGAAGATGGCAATATATACTCAGGTACATGATGTGTACAAGTATAAAGAGGCAGAAGAAAGGTCTTCAAAGGCTTAACTGTGTGTTGGGAGAAGCAAACAGCGTTCACCATGAGGTTAAACATCGTCTCTTCTCTTATCCTGCTACAGTCCCTCGCCTGCTCAGCGTTAAACGCCCCTTTTACCGTCTCAGGCCGATGGATCCATGACTCCACCCGCGCAAACTTCACCTACGCAGGGGCCAATTGGCCAGGTGCGGGCGAGGTCATGATACCCGAAGGGATGCAGTACGCCTCCATCGCCTCGGCAGTCTCCAAGCTCAAGAGCCTAGGAATGAACGTCATTCGGTTGACCTTTCCCATCGAACTGGTGGATGATATCCTCGACAACGGCAGAGATGTCACCGTTCAGAACTCGCTGATAAACGCGCTGGGAACAACGAACGGGACCAAGGTCTTCAGTCAGATCCGCAAGGTGAACCCGCAGATCAAGCCCACCACGACTCGTCTGCAAGTATATGATATGGTCGCCGAGGAGTGTAACAGACAAGGAATCTATGTACACTTGGATAATCACATCTCCAAGGCCATGTGGTGTTGTTCGACCACGGATGGTAACGCCTGGTTTGGAGATACATACTTCGACGTTACTAAGTGGATGAGAGGGCTAGAGTATATGGTTTCTCATGTAGGTCACCTGGCACAACAAGAAACAAAGGATACTGACCCACAAGGCCAAATCATGGCCCAATTTTGTCAGCATCGGACTGCGCAATGAGCTTCGCCAGCCCGCTACGGCCAACTCGGAGTACCCCTACAACTGGGGGACGTGGTATACGCAAATGACAACGGCAGCGAAGAAGGTCAACGCGGCCAACCCGAACGCGCTGATCTTCTTGTCTGGTTTGAACTACGATACCACGCTCTCGCCCATTCCGACCGCCTCAGACCTCGGCAACGGGGTCACATTCCGTCTCTCCGACTTTGACTTTGCGGGTAAGCTGGTCCTGGAACTCCACAACTATGCCACTGGTTCCAGCAGCTGCAGCTCGCTGTCCAGTTTGCTGTGGAATGCCGGATTCAACGCCCTCAATTCGTCCGACCCGTCGATTGAGAATCCCATGCCGGTGGTCCTGACCGAGTTTGGTTTCTTACAGGACAGCACCACCTGGGAGAATGTGTATGCCAGCTGTCTGAGGATGTGGATTCCTGAGCAGCACGCCGGTTGGATCACTTGGGTCATTGCAGGGAGCTACTACATTCGGCAAGGCACCCAAGACTTTGACGAGACATGGGGTAAGCAATGATCCCGACTGCGTTGCGTTGAGAGAAGGACTAATAATGGCAGGCATGCTTGACCATACATGGTCTGATTGGAGGTCTCAAGATGCGATTGAGCAGGGATTGAAAGTAATGGTCCAGTCGTCGCTCGATGGATAGTACTTTGTGAACCCAAGCAAAACCTAGGTGGCGTTGACATGTCGATGTATCACCCTAACGTCGAATCGTCTCCAATATTTGCATCTCCTCTCCGTTAATCCCTCCACTGCTGTAATAGGTTAGTACGTCTGTTGCAAGTAAACAAGAAAATTGAGTCACTATTTGCATGATTTTGTGTCGGTCAGCACTTGGTGGAGCCCGCGTAAGAGATTCACGTTTTCCTAAAGCCTAATATTAGCTTCATTCAACAGCCACCAAGCAATCCAGTAATTGGAATTAGAAATATGTCCAGCGTGATTGGCTGTTTATTCTGATCATCGATGCTTGGAAATAGGTTTGATCTGATTGGCTGATGTGAGTGCACCGAAGTATATACCATGGCATGTTGTATACAGTTTCTGAAGTAAAAAAGGACGAGTACACGCCAGATGGAGAGCATTCACAGGTCTTTGACAGAGTCACAGCTCTATCACCATGTCTTCCAGCACCGCTCCTATCGAGCTTGCGGTTGAGCAGCCGAATCAACTGCATTCTGCCACCGAGGAACATTCCGAAGCTGGCGCCTTTGTACGAGATGTCATCATCGGCTTCGCAGATGGTCTGACGGTCCCTTTTGCCCTGACAGCTGGCCTGTCCAGTCTAGGATCATCCAAGCTGGTCATCGTTGGCGGACTCGCGGAGCTTTTCAGTGGTGCCATCTCCATGGGACTGGGAGCCTATCTCGCCGCCGTAACGGATCGAGATCATTACAAGTGTGAGGAAAAGCGGGAGAGGGAGGAAGTGTGCATGAAGCCCGAGGCGGAGATGGAAGAGATCCATGACATACTCTCTGGTTATGGCATCAGCGCCGAGGCCTGCCAGATGGTAGTCAACTGCCTGGCTCGGGACGAGGAGAACTGGATTCGTGTATGGCCTCCTCTGTCAACATGCACGGTGGCTTGCTTACGAGGGAACAGTTTATGATGGACTTTGAGCTGAAGCTGGAGAAACCAAATATCTCTCGAGCCTGGATCTCTGCCGCCACCATGGGCGTTTCCTACTTCATCGGTACGATCGCCACCCTCTACCTTCGTCTTGGATACTTATTCTGATCCTTTCGGTTTCTAGGCGGCCTCCTCCCCATGGTCCCCTACTTTGCCATGACCGACGTCACCCATGCCTTGTTCGTTTCGATTGGCGTTACTTTTGTGGTTTTATTGAGCTTCGGATTCCTCAAGAACTTTGTCATGCTCAAGACCAAGCGAGCTGGGCTGTATGGAGCCGTTCAGACCCTTTTCGTTGGAGCATTGGCTGCTGGGACGAGTTATGGCATTGTTTATGGCATTGACCATGGCAATATCCACGGGTAGAGGTTGATACTTGCCTGTTGTCAATTTGTCTTTTTATCAAAATGTCGATAGAGGTACCTTGTACATTAATCTGATTCGCTGATTTAAAATAACTAGTCTTGGCCTCAATCTTTGGACCATTTTCCAACCATTACCGTTCCGGCCCCGTATAGCCATATGTCTTGGGAGGATACTGGTCACCAGGATACTGATTGAGATGGATATTTGATTCAAATCCCTCCTGTGCCTCGTCGATACGCACCGGCCGGTGAACATAGCCTTGGCCGCCACGAGAGGCAGTCCATTTCTTCCAGGCGACCGCGCCGATAACCGGGATGCAAACAATAGCCACAGCTATAGAGTACCCAATAATCGTACCCGTGGATGCAGAGGACCACTTCAGCCCAATCCCCCCATTGACAATGGCGAAGAACATCACGATATGGCCGAAATACCGGTGGAACACACCGTAGTTGGTTGGGGCTTGGCGCAGCTTGTACAGCCGGTGGTGCCAGAATCCGATCCCCCACTGGGCGATCATGGCAATAGCGACTAAAATCCCAATCACCTGGTGCGACGAGTTGAATGACTGCGATCTCGTGTACATGGTGCTCAGCCAGAAGCCGATCAGGACACCGATGATGGCGATGACACTTGCGAGAGTCTGGTTGAGCCAGTGCCAGCGGACACTCCCTGGAGCCACGCGCAGCAGAATGACGCCTGTGGGCATTAATAGGATAAAAGCGCCACAGAGCGCCACGCCATGAATCACAGCAGGCCAGTTGCTGTCATTTGACACGCCTCCGTCCAGGCTGGATCCTATCGAACTGGTGTACGAGTCAGGCAAGCCGCCGGATCCGCCGGTCGCGCGAGTCATATCCATTGAGAAGCGTCCTAGCAGAGTCAGAATGAGCTCCGGTACTGCAAGAGACAAGAAGGCCGACAAATTAGTACATACCGTACTTCGAGTGTCGCTCGATGCTGGCCGTCTTGGAGTCACTGCGAAGGACCGCGTTGGCGCCAGAGTGAGGTCCTAGGGCAAAGATCCAAGGCTGCGAGGTAGATTGCAAATCCAACGAGCCTGTATTCCATTTCGTGCAATTCGAGCAGCGTCCATTGACGGTCATGAAGCCATTCGCGATGCCTGTTCCGGGAAGAAGATCGACAGCGAGGGAGGAGGCATACACCGGTTCTGTTTCACCTGTACAAAGTCGCGGACTGACAGTGACATCTGCAATCGATTGCTGTTAGCTTAGCCCTCCCGAATTGACGTCAGGGGACAGTTTCGACCTACTCTTTCCACTGGCGTCCGAATACAGCAGGATCATCAAAGAGTTCTTCATCTCCTGGCCCGTCCCCACGGCCACCCACGAATACGAGGTCGGTCCAGAGAGGTGGAAGTACACATCGCTGGAATTCTCGGGGAGATTAAGGGCAAAGGTGTAATTCTCTGCATTGCTTCCCAGTGGAAGAGTAAATGTGCTCACGGCAGTACTTGCTTCTTCCGCTAGGGAAACAGCAAACAGCTGGAAAAGACAGACTTTAGGGTCCAACAATCAGTAACCGAGGGCCAGAACAGCCAAGCACGGACAAGCTCAGGATCGCCAGGGATTGGCAGTGAGCAGTGGACACATACCAGCCAGGAAGAGTCCGCTCCGTAAAAAGCGCACCATCATGATAAACGACAAACAGTCAGACTACCCAAATCAACGAAGGTTGACGGAGAGGAACCATTATTTGAACTCTCCTGCCCAACAGAAGCGTCCATCCACATCCATCACACCGGTTAGGCAACATTGGTGCAGCCATTGATGACCATCATCCTCCCTTCCATTGGCTGCGTCGGGCTTCTCCTATTCCTTTCAAAAATAGATGCCGAACCCACATCTGGGGTGTCTTGCCATATTGAGTCTAGACTGCCTATCAAGCAGGAACTCTATTGTGCGCACTGACAGCAAGACCCACAATGTGGTCCCTGATAACCATAACCATGGAAAGGTCTCCTGTGAAAACCATTCTCAAGGCCATATCATTCAATACTTATAGAGGAAAGCACTGAATGACATGATTAATGTTATACAAAGTATGAAATGCACTCTTATTTGTCAAGGATAATGACATATATCACTACTTGGTAGTGTTTGTATGGTTAGTTCCTCAACAGACTGGCATGAACTGGTGGTTAGGCAGATGGATTTCAGCCAATGAACAATGCTTAGTGTCATGCTCTGAAACAATAAGAGCTCTTCAACTCAGACCATGACGAATCAGTAGAGGTTAGGCGGCAGTAGACTTGAGGCTGTCTAACAAAAGATTAAAGATTAAACAGACAGAGACTCCTTAGCACATATCCATAGGTCTAGCTTGCAATAAGTACATGTGTATTCCTAATAAAGGCAAAAAAAAAAAATATGTGCTTTGCAACTCTTACACTATTTTTAGAAACTAGTAAGTAAAAATGCTATCATTAGCAGACACACTCTGCTTGGTCAGACATCTTGCACAGAGAGGATTAGGAAACCTAGGTCTAGATGCATCTAAGAATTCTGCTCAGATCAGAGTCAAGATCAAGTCAACATGTTAAGGGTGATGGAATTAGCCCATATTAGAAGCTTACTATGCTACATTATAAGTATTATTGTCAGCTGTGCTGCTGCTGTAATTTCATGGGTCTATATCAACCAGGTGCATCAGAGTGAAGGCGTCAAGGCAATTTCACAAACTGTCTTGACAGATACTTCATCTGGTTCTGGATATTCCCCTTGTGGAAAATCTTATCATCAAAATGCAACTCGTCCAAGTCAGCCAACACATTCCCAAAGCAGTCCAGCTCTTGGTGTCGATGGCAATCATTATATGAAAGATGAGTGAGATGCAATACGCAATTGGTTCGTCCGTTTTCCAATCGAACTGCCGCCCAGCTGGCCACTAATCAGAAGATACGTCATGGTCGAATTGCGTCCTATTCTTAGCCAGCTGATCTGCGTCCTGCACTGCTTCAGTTGCTGTCACCTGTGATAAGATGCGACTGCACATCCCTTGCATCAAGTCGTTGTAAGATTACGTTCCGGTAGGCATGGATATATGATCAGCAACCAGACCATGATCTATCCACCCGCCGTTGACCATATGAATCTCGTCCATATACCCAAATCTTTCTCCCCAAGATACCCTAGGCACATCAACATGGATGGATTTGATTTCGACACTGCCCCAGCCGAGTTCCAGAAGGTACGGAGGGTAGTGGAGACAGCTTTCATTGTCTCCGGGATTGGATGGGCACTGAACTACTTCTTCACCATCCACAAAGCATACCAGGACCGCATGTCTGGTGTGTCGCTGATCTCTTTGTCCAACAACCTGGCCTGGGAGCTTGCCTTTGCCCTGGTGATTCGACCACCCAACCCGTTCACAAGGGTCATCTTTCCTCTGTGGCTGTCTATCAATGTTTTCGTCCTGTATGTCACGGTCAAATTCGAGAGAGAGTCGGGTTCCCATTCGCCATTCGTGCGGAGACATTTACCGTTTATCACTTCCATCAGCATTCTAGGTCTGTTGTCTGGCCATCTCGCCTTCTCATCCCATGTTGGTTCATTGGCAGCTCTCTACTGGGGTGGGATGCTTTGCCAAGTGACGCTCAGCGCCAGTGCACTGGGCCTCCTTCTTCAGCGAGGCCATACGCGAGGCATGTCCTATAAGATGTGGTGAGGCTCGACTATTACTGAGTGATTGATAACACTTCTTCCAAAGATTAACTCTCATGTCGTTAGGCTCTCCCGGCTTGTTGCTTCCTGCTTCGCGGTGCCAGGGCTGTTTGTCAGAGCCGCTTACTGGCCAGCAAAATGGGACTGGGTCAACAATGTTCTCATGTACTGGCTTGCGGGAGCTTTCTATTGCCTAGATATAACTTATGGGGTGTGCTTCTGGTATTTCCGCAGACTCGAACGGTCGAACCTCGGTGACACTCGGGTCAAGCAAGGATAGTTCGTCTTCTGGATCATATCAGGTAAGAGGAACGATCACGGAGTTGTATACCGCAGCAGCTATCAAGAATGGACGTTACGCTGGATCAGATCATGCATAGTACTGCTTCATCTTGTGGCTGCACTTGCTATCATGTTGTTGCTCTTTGGTTCTGAATCTATGTTCTCGGGTGGCTACATATATATATATAGAGCACTCTGCATTACAACAGATCTCTCGACTCCGGCGGTTACCCTCAGGGTTCCTTCGGAGCTGTTTTTTGACACTACACCGCGTCCATGGTTATTGTGACCCATACAGCGCCCTCCTGACTGCTTATGCTTCGGCCTTTTCATCTGGAGCCTGGTATCCATCACCCCAACTCCACTACCGTCTTTTTGATCCGAGCGAGGAAAAGTTCCTGTCCTTCAATGCATGCAACTTCAACGCTAGGTAAAGGGCGCGCCGGTGATCCACCGAACCATCATATCAAGAGCTACATCAGGTCGGTCTTGAGGGACCTATTGCTGCGAGTCAGCACCAGCTACTGCTTATTGTATTCTCAACATAGATGCTTACCAGATGGCCAGCTCCATCCACAGTGACAAGTGCAAACCGCGACTCGGTCTCGGCATGCTCGCCCACGCGCACCCGGACTTCCTTCATAGTACCAACTGTGTCATTCTGGCCTGTGGCTGCAACAAGCGACCGCCAGGGGTGTAGTGGCTTGGACGTGAACTCGACCTGACCCTTCCAGGGCAGGGCATGCGCCCAGCGGAGGTTTCCGGCTGTATTGCAGGCGAGATCAAGGTTACCTTGATAAGCCAGGAAATGGACCTGGTTTGCCAGTAGAAACGCGACCAGATCGGAAGTGGACGTCATCCCATCCGCAGTCTTTGCAAATGCTTGAATCACCGCTTCCGAGACCATTTTATATTCGGTCATCTGTTTAGGGGGTGACAGCGCTTCCCAGACGGCTGGTGTATTTAGATATTGTTCAACATGTGCAGCTTGGATGTAGCACATCTCGTCGATTTCACAGGGCGCCGTGACTGCATTGGACAGTGCTTAGCAGGGATTGACACATTGCTTTCTCATTTTGACTTACTGTCAAATCTGTTACGACCCCCTTGACCGGCCTCATCTTCATAGAAACCGATTACACCCTCGTAACAGACAGAGTGAGCAGCGTTGCACAAAGCCGGATCCGGATTCTGGACACACGCTGCAGTGACGTCCATGCATCGGGGCATGTTCGTAGCCATGATATCGCATCGAGTCTGGTTGAATACGGGTTTCTCCACGCCTGGGTTCGTGGTGCAGAGCGTTTCCCAATATCCGAACATCGTATCGCGCGCGGACATGAGACCATTACCCACCAGGCACGACTTGAGCCGAACTTGAGGCTCATTGGGATAGAGCTTGTTCTGCTGTACGATCTGAGCGCCAAGGTATGGGATATAGTGGCCCTGAAGAGTCAGCACGGTCCACGGGAATAAAGCATTTTACATACCGCATATGACTCTCCGGAAAGATGGACAGGAAGATACTGCAGGCGAGGGAAAACCTCGGAGACAAATAGCTGCAGAAAGCGGTGCATGTCAACCGCAGCCTCCTTCGAGTCCCGTGGCAGCTCATGGCTTTCATCAATGTATGAGAAGCCAACATCTACGGGCTGGTCGACAAACAGCAGCGATGAATTACACGACCAGCCCCACGGGTTGTGGTAGGTCCCATTGCCATGTTCATTGACCAGGCAGGGGCCAACCTCCTGGAACAGACCGATCATACTGGAGTCGCCGGGGCCCCCCGTCATCCACAAGGTCAATGGGTCATTGGAGGGATCATTCTGGCTCTCAAAGTACCAGAAAAAAAGATGCTTGTGGCCGACATCGAGCCAGCCGGTGTATTGTGGTGAGCCAGCTGCGCAGATGGACTCGTTTTGCTGTCTGATCCGTATTGAGTGATCCGGGGAATGGCTGCTCCGAATGACGCGAAAGTCATTAGACTCGTGAGGCACAGGCCGCAACACCTCCTGAGTGGCATATGACACGCTGAAAAGGGCGAATTGGAGGAGGCAAGAATTGAACATGACACGTTGTTGAATGGAGGCGGATCAAGAGTAGGAGCAGGAGGAGCAGGAGGGTGAGAAATGATCCACGCCGTTCTTAAATGACGATCACTGAGCAGTAAGTAAGCAGAGGACCCCTGCTCATGCAACTGCATCGGATTGGTATGATAGACGGGACTACTCCATCCAAGCCAAGGACATCTTTCGGAGTTCGGAGTTCGGGCGAGCAGTGGGCAGTGGACCTGGACTGATTACTATTTATTCCGCTTGCTAAACTATGTCAACAACTAGTAAGTCTCGTCAAGACCCTCCTCACCTATATCGATAGAAAAAATAAAAACGCTTAGGGAAAGCTCCCCTTGATGGTTCGAAACGAGCTCAGGATCCCAATGTCTGAAAGACAGCGGCCTAGCAAGTAACCCATAACCTACGGCCCTTGACGATTCTGCTTACAAGGCATTTTCCTGCGGAAACCAATTGAATTATGCATAGCACGAGAGACCTTCTACTGAAAGATGGACTATAGATTAACGTCGAACTTGTGGTGTTGAGGTCAACTGAAGACAGTACATTAATATTTATGACTAGGAAGAGGTGTGATGAGATATTGGACTGGACGTGTCAGATGCTAGGAAGATGTCTTCATCAAAAAGATGACTGTCGATCCTGAACTAAGCGTGGGCTCGTCCTCAGTGATATGTATAAGAAAGCCTTCCGTCAACGGTCCGCCCGGTGTCATGGTAGAGTTCTCTGACAATGAAATGAGCTGCATGTTTCGGTGCTCATTGACAATACGTATCGCTACAGGGAAATGCCAAAGGGTCCAACCCCAGCCCTATCTTGAATTAGGTCATGATGAGAGGAGCAATAAAGCCAAGGAAACAGACCGATCCAATATCTAAACTTTTCACTAACGCGCTGATTTTCACTCCAAGCAAAGATCCCATATATAATACCCTGCCATCACGACTCTGGAGGCGATCCACCCCATTTGTGTTGTCACCTCTTTCTGCGCCCGCAATCATTTGCTTAATTTCTTGTCGAAGCGTTTCCGCGTTATCATTTAAGGCATGGCTCATTTTGATAGTATATAGGTTGCGGTGATTTGTCATGCAGGAGGATTCAGGCTGATTGTATCTGATATCTGAAATAGCTGGGTTATGTTGACTGTGTTATAATGGTGACTGGAATGAAGCCGTGGTGTTCAGCATCATGGAGGCACTGGAGAAAAAGAGGGGAACCATGTCGCGCAGAAGGTCACGTGTGAGTTATCTGATGTTGATCTAGAGTAGGTGGAATGTCTAAGCCGTGGCTCCTACTCTTAAAAACAGGTGATGCCCGGAAATTGTGCTCTATGGCCTAGCTAAGAGAGAGATACACAATGAATTCGCCTGCTGATTGACTTGATCGCACCCAGAAACTGACTGACACACGTGTGAATTATAGGAGAGCTTGTCCAGGAACAGCAAATGACCTAAGTTTGATAATGCAACGAATACAAGAACTTGTATCCAATCCGACCACTCTTCTAGCCTGTCTGTTGCCTCTTATCCGCACATCGTTTAAGCTTCCTCACCCATCAACCAAGGGTCATGGAAGAGCTCCTCCAGTTGCTCTTTCCCCAGGCATCCAGGTTAAAGCCCTTCTGATAAATCAAAAGAAGCCCAACTCATTCTCGAGCTAAGATTCCAGTGCTTCTATTGTCCGGCCATCCGGAATGGGCGCAAGATCCAACAGGAATGGTTAAGCCAGGCACTTCAACGGTGTATATATACGTATATCTCTATATACTATAGACCTGTATCATAGTCCGGAGAGGAAGAGAAGGAAGATCCATCTAGATATTGCAAGTCAAGATATATAGCCAAGGTAATGAATCAAATAAAGCAAACATATCTGAAAAGTACCTTAAGGCTGTGACTTGACTGGCCCAAGGAGACCTTGGCAGAGCCATCACTTTTCTCCTGCTGCACACCTGATGGATGATCCTATCTGAAGGGCGTATAAGCTTGTTGTCCTTTGAATCGCTATGACGGGCTACCAAGACTTAGTAGAAATGGTGAAGAAGACGTGGACCTAGGACCGGGGATAGGCTAGTATTTCGTTATTTTGTATGAATGGTTTTCTGTGGCCTGACGACAAGCCAGACACGCATATGAGTAAGAACCGTGTAGAACCAGGTATTTTTATATGCATCTCCGCATGAATTAGTTTGTCATCATAGCTTACTGGCTAACTACGTATCACAAATTCTGTCAAGTAGCATTGCTAAGCAGCTTGGAAACTTTACTAATCATGGCTTTTGTTCATCACATATAAAGATGCGCAGTATTCTTCCAGCAGGGGAAAAACAAAATCGAACAATCTAAGAGCACCATGTCAATCCCTCAGTCCTACAAGCCGTTTCGACGCAGCATGGATGGTTTTTGACCAGAAGGTTTGGTGGATTTGCCCAAGCATCTTTCTTGGGAGGAGGTGAGATAAACCAGTGCTGATCTTCTGATGTGCTCTCACAGGCGGCCTGTATGCCGCGATCAAACGGTACTGCATTACTCCAAGGTGAATCTTCCTGTTCGACGACATCGAAGGATGCTAATGTTCGTGGACCCAGGTACTGGAGGCGTGAGCATGTTCGCTCTATTAATGCCTGGCAGCGGGCATTCATCCCATCATCACATCTTCTTCCGACATGAAGCTTGAAATAGCGCGTTCTCTGGGCCAGCCAGGAGTTGTGGACATTATCAATTACCAAACCCACCCTCAACGGGATTACCAAGCACTTCATCTCACACATGGACGAGGTGCCCATGTTGTGGTTGAAAATGTAGGCCCTACCACTATAGCCCAGAGTCTCCGTTCCCTCGCCCGCAGAGGTACTGTTTCGCAGGTTGGCTTTCTGGGGGGGTTCAATGTGGACCACTTCCTTGACACGATTGGACCTTCGCTAGCGAAGAGTGCAGTAATAAGGTATGCATCGATTTCTCTTCCTCTAGAACCCTCGAAAAACGCTAAATGCCATCTTTTTTTCGAAGATTCGCAGGCTGCATTTGATCATCTGTATGCCGCCAAACATATGGGCAAGGTCGTCATTAAGGTTTAAAATCCGAGAATTGGATACGTAGGAAATGGAGTTGACATATGTAAGCGTTCGTTAGGCATAAATCACTGTTACCTAGGGATTCAAGTGGCTGTATCTTGCTTTTGAAGATAGGTTGATGGATTAATATCAACATGTAGCGAACTATTCCAGAACTGGCCGCATGGTGGGAGAAAGACAAAGGTGCATCTCGGCTTGGACACGATCTCAGAGGGCTTCTAGGAAGGTTTCTGCTTATAAGTTGGGTTATGAATTGGAATGGAGCAAATTGATGTTGTAAAGTGAGGTGAGAGGACCTGGTTCCTACACCAGGGGTGGATTCAGAAGCATCACATGACTAAAGGATGCATTTTATATCAGAAAAATCATTGCTGAAATTACCTAAGGCACCCGTGACAGTCACTTGTAATGTGATGCTGACTCAGTTAACCAATGGTGCAGAGCTCATAAATTAAACACTGCGTCGCGCTGCCGCGCACTGCCACATAATAGCTGAACTAAATAACATCCAACCTCCAACTACCATAAGAAATAATGCAATCAATTTACAGACAATGTCGTCTCCACTTCTTCGAATCGGACAAACTCTTCAAGGCAAGTTAGGGAAATACACGATTGCAAAGCATATCTGAGACACTGTTTGGCTGGCAAAGTAAGTGCACAAGAGCCAGGTGATTGTGAAGCCATATTCACCCATCCCACCCCATCAATCAAGCCGAAGAGACCGTCATCATCAAGGGCGTCCAGGGCCATCCACGTGTGAAGAATGAACTAGATGTGCTCAAACGCTTTCAGAGCAGGACTTCTTGCTTACGACCCTTAATCGATGAAATTGAAGATCCGCCTGAGCCAACTATTATTGTCTTGAAACACCTTGAGGATGATCTGCTTCAAGCAACGAAAAAACGGCCCCTGAACCGAAAGGAACTTAAACATGTCTCCAGATGTGTTCTCGAAGCGCTAAATAGTCTCCACGAGGGCGGCTATGTACATGCAGGTAACGGCATACTATACTCGGTTCATCTATCTAGAAGTCTCATTGACAATAGATGTATAGATGTCAAGCCGGATAACGTCTTTGTAAATTACATAGACCGAGGCGCCGAGAACGATGTGCGATTTTCAGAGGTCCAGCTTGGGGATCTTGGTGGCACATGCCATGTTGACTCGAAGTGGGCAAAATCAGGAACTCCACTGGGAGCGCCTATGTGGCGCAGTCCAGAAATGATCATGGAGACTCCTTGGGGCACTCCGACCGACATTTGGTCATTTGGGACCATGGTAACCTCTTCAACCGATTTTCATGGACGGATATTTGCAAAGGGGAGCGCTAATTCTGCCTGCAGCTAATAAGTCTTATCTACGGTGGCGACTTCAACTTGTTCGACCCTACTACCGTACCCTATGGCCATGAAGAGTATAGCCTAGAGGTTTTGAAGCAACAATTCCGATACTTTGGTCCGTGGCCCGGCAAGTATGAAGAAGTTGCAAGCCCTGAGACCGTGCACGCCATTATGTGGATTATGCAGGAGATTCCCAAATCAGAAACTACGCCGTTCTCCATGATAACGGAGAAGGAGGTCTGTAAGAAAGATAGAGAGTTCATTATGGGGATCATGAAGATGGACTGGAGGGACAGGCCGACACCGAAGGACTTGTTAGGCCACAAGTGGTTTAATGAGGATTGCGAGGAATAGGGCATACCGCACTTGATTTCTGTAACTTGAGTAGCTCCTGAGTCTTACGAGGACATGTATAGATGGTCTAGAATGGCCGAACTATGTGCTTGGTATAAAGAGGGATAATACCCACATTCAATAGACACATTCCATCAGCGTAGTGACAGAGGTCAAACACTCCCTTGGGTCTGATCTTGTCTCCCAAGATTGCATAATCCATACTCATACATTGACAAAACTCTGCAGCCACATCTCATATTTCAAAAACTTGGAGATCCCTTACAACATATATTAATTGGAAGCAAAGGTGATAGAATATTTCCTTCACTATACATCATGTTGTTACTAAATAATGCCCAGAAAAGCAAGCGAACACTGTTGGTGCCTCAGGTTTCTGATTCAGAAGCATCGCATGACTAAAGGTGTGTCAGGTGACTGCCCGCTGATGAGAGGCGGTGGTAGTAGTAGTTGCCTGAGGCACGGTACAGTCTGCCGATATGCGTCAGCTACAGCTCAATGTAACTCTTCACCTCAACAAAATAATCAAATAATTTATCAACCCAACATCAGCATGTCTTCTCAATATCTATTGGAGGAATCGAAAATAGAGAAGGCGATCTCTGCTTTCCACGAAGAACGACGCGGAAATCCCAAGATTTCAATAGCCAAATTTGCAAAAGAATTCGGCGTGCCATACCATCGGTTCTACCATCGGTTACAGGGAAGAGACTCAAAAAGCACCCGAAAACGCGTCAATTTACGCCTGGATGACGTGCAATATAAGGTCCTTTTTGATCATATCGACTCATGCAACCGTATCGGTGCCCCCCTCACCCCTGCGTTGATCCAAGAAGCAGCGGCCTCAATTCTCCAGCATAGTTCCCATCCAGCAAAACCACCCCCCCAGCTATCGCGAAACTGGGTCTACCGCTTCCTGAAGCAGAATCCGGATTGTCATAAGACAAAGCGACAGATTAAGGAGCTTCAGCGGGCGCGTGCGGAAGACCCAGACATTGAATTGCGGGGGGGGTGACATCACCCCCCCCAGCCACAGCTTTAATGCTACTAATAGGTAACACTTTCCTCGTACACTCCCATCAAGAAAACGATTCTCATTTCCGGACAAGAATAATGGCTGCAGGAAATAAGATTGTGATCGCGTTCGATCTGTACGGAACACTCTTATCCACTGATTCAATTGTGAAGCAGCTCGGGCAGCACTTCTCCGATTCCAAAGCACAATCCATCTCCACATCATGGAGACGATATCAGTTGGAATACACCTGGAGGCTCAACAGCATGGGTACGGATGACATGATATACCCTGAAACTCAAAATTGATTCTATAAACAGGACAATACATCTCGTTCTCCAGCATCACACGGAACTCCCTGCGTCATGCCGTGGCAGAGCATGGCGAAAAGCTAGAAGACGCCGCCATTGACGAGCTTCTAAAAGCTTACGACAGCTTACCGGCTTTTCCCGACGTTGACTCTACTTTGAGCCAACTGGCCAATCGTTCCGATATCACTGCGGTGGTCTTCTCGAATGGGACACAGGCCATGGTCACGAATTCAGTGCGCAACTCGCCAGACTTATCGCCTCACAGTGCCGTATTCGAACAGATCGTCACGGTTGATGAGGTGAGACAGTTCAAGCCTGCTCCAGCAGTGTACGCCCATCTCGCGCAGAAGATGGGGAAATCGCCCTCCTCACAGATGGGCGACCTATGGCTGGTCAGCGGAAACCCATTCGATGTGAGCGGTGCCAGAAGCTGTGGTATGCACGCCGTCTGGGTGGATCGTGGTCGTCGGGGCTGGATGGATGCTGCCGTGCCTGATCTACAACCAACTGCCGTGGTTCATGATTTGAATGACATTCTCACAGTCATTCAGTGATGAGGAACCTGACTGGAGTGTTACCAAGATCTACTGGCTTGGAGTGTCTGTATCTATGATATGGTTTTATCAGTAATTCGGTCACTCCATTATTAGCCACGTTAGACAACACGATCTTATGCTGGATCAAACAATTGATCGTAGATAGTTACGATATTTCGCCCCGGACATACACTCTGAGTGTCATCTGCTGTGTCAATGGTAAGCTCAAATCACAAGAAGGCAAAATATTGATGGCAACTGGACGTTTGATGCTGATTGCCGGCCGATGGCGCTGGTATGCAAACCACATGGCAGGTGTAGGTTCCGATTGTTAGGTAGTGGGGGATAGTTTGAGCCAGAACGAATTGACTTCTTTAGATCGGAACCCGAAAGTCCGTTCAGGATGAGGAATGGAAACCCCGTGAGTGTATGAGCCAGGAATTTATCATCGAATTCCTTGCCCCTTCTGGGCCATGAGGTCAGCATTCCTTGTGCGAATTCCGGCCATTGATAGCTGAACCCCGTTGACCCAATCGTAGAATATAGAAGTCGTCACTTTGGGCATTCTGTCATCCGGAGCAAACAGGCCCAGTCGACTATCTGATTCCGACAACCTGGATTGGGGCCTTTTTCTGGTATCATAACAGGATTGGGAAATGCTTGGCTGTTCTCGAGGCCAAGGCCCGAGTTCGCATTCCCAATGAGACTCGAGCCCATACCAGCCTGCAAAGAATGGTCGTGGTAATGTATAGAGCGCTTAAAGGAAGCTTACAATTGCAGAACTCTATCACACAGCCATCTCAAGTGACAAGTCTAGCATCTGTATAGAGCACCATACTATCTTGGTTGGTTGCATGCTCAATTGGTAGGTATTCCAAATACAGGCATTTTAAGCGATACCTTCATATATAGCATAGTATCTGACACCGGTAGACGGAGTACGTGGAATACCAGTGAGTCTCAAGATCATCACCTTCTGAAATCCAGTCTTCTGAAGCAAACGTCAGCGTGGAAGACCTAAAGTGGCTGTTCACAGACATCCCTTCTATGCAAAGATAATGTAGCTGCAATCATTCCAACGGAATTATACAAAAAGAGAAAGTCTCGTAAGTGGCCAAGAGAGGTTCTCTCGATTGCATCGAGTCTGAAGAATGTCGTTTCAGAAGCAGTTTCAGAATCTCCTGTCTATAGCGTTCAACAGGATTTTCACTCACCAGTCACCCCTTCCAGTGGCTGTGAAGGTGACGAGAAGCATGGCCCGAGGAATGCCGGCCGGGAGGCAAATATTTTGGAGTTGAAATCAGAATGGCACGCGTGCTCTCGGGCTCTGGCTCTGGGGCACAGTGGGGCTGCGATCTCTCATGGCTCGGATATTCCCGATCAACAGCTTGTGTGGATCAGTTGAGAGCTCGGTGGCAATCTAGACAACCTAAAATTCCATCGATTACATCGTCGACCGGGCTGAAGCAATCATATCGCGATCCACAAACGGCCTACCCGAGGATGGTCTGGGCCACCACACTTTCAATGCCAGCACATGAGTGACACTGCCACATGCGAACATGAGACACCAGAGCTCACCCGATGCAGATGAAACAGAACCATGGGTGGCTGATAGCCCGACTGTCGACCATTTGGAGCTGTTTATTTCGGCCGGAGGGGCGCTCTGCCATCATTTATCTATCTCAGTTGCCATGACTCTGGTCCTGCATCCACTCATGCAGACAGAAATTTTCACACATCGAGATGTCCCAACAATCATCAGGTTCACCAATAGCGGTGATTGGGGTGACTGTTGGAGCATTTGCCCTTGTCGTTGTTGCAGTCATGTAGGAGACCCAATCCGCCAGTCCTTTTCAGGCCAATGGTACCAGTTGATGCGTGCAAGCACATGGAGCTAATGACTCTGTTTCAGAGGGATGTTTATACAAGTTCGCCGAAGTTCAGCTCGTGCATCAGGCTCAGCAGGCTCAAAAGAAGCGAAGAACCAGTCAGACACAGAAATGCTGCAGAAGCTCGAGTCTCTCTGTCCCACCAAGCCGTATGACGAATGGGTAGAACACGCCCAGATCGAGCACGACTTGTCTGATCGCGCCTCGACTCACTTCACATGGTACGTTCGATCATGGATCCTAGTCTTCGCGACTGATCAGACTAACAATCCTATTAGCTCCATGTGTCTGGAGGATGTACAGGGAACGGATCTCATGCATGTATTATCATGTCGCCATGTGTATCATGCACACTGCCTGGAGCAGTGGTTTCTCGGGCGCCACTATCTGTGTCCTCTATGTAACCGAGCCTTCTTCGAACAGAATGAGCCAGGGCCAGACAATGTCTAGTCGTCACAAGATTTTGTACATACAATGAAACATGCCTCATCTCTCATCAGATGGAAACCTCCATCACGGGTCCCTCGTACACCTTCCTCGCCCGCAGCACATAGTACAAAAGTGCCAGGAGAATAGTCCCGCCGGTGCCTACCACACTGAAGTTCATCGTCGTTTTGTCGACGGACATCTGAGAAGGCCAGAAACTGAAGAACACGACAATAACCATATAAATCACAGCGTAGGTGTTGACCGCAGTGCCCCAAACCCCCGGCACATGGAATGGCCCCCAGGCCAGCTTGGCCCCAGGGACATTGATGACTCCATCTTCTCCATGATCGTATTGCGAGATGGCGCCAGTACACCGCCGATAAAGAAGAAGACTTCCGACCATAAGGTAGGAGAGATAAAGACCGGAAACGGCCATAGAGACGACGGCGTTGAGCGCGACGCTGGAGCCGATGTTGATCAGGCCGAGGAGACAGCATACGGTCATGGTGAGAAGGATGGAGTACGTCGGGAGGTAATTGATGGGAGAGACCTGGAAGACGCAGGACGTCAGTGATATTTACACAAAGTTCACGGTGGTGAGTATACCTTGCTCCAGATGCGCCATCCAGGGACAGCTCGATCACGCGCAAAAGACCAGAACTGACGAGATGTCGCGGCGAGCATCCCAATCACGGAGCAGACTCCAATGATCAGTAAGATCGAACTCATTCCGAGGGCACCCGAAAGTGAATCTGTAGCCTGATAGAAGATCTCCATGTACGGATATCCAGTCGGAGTTGTCAGGGCGGCTTCGACATCACCCATGCAGAACAGCACAGCAATCAGCATGCTGAATCCGAGCGTTCCATTGATGAGAACCGACAGTAGGATTGCTCTGGGAATGGCGACCGATGCATTGCGCACCTCCTCGGCCATCTACTTTCAGGTCAACGATCCGATTCTGTCAAGCCAATGGGAGGATCCATACATGCACAGCAGCATCGCCCCCAGCAAAGGCGAAAACGCAGCCCGTCATTCCAACAAACCATGACAAACCCTGAGTGGGAAACCCACCACTGTTGACGAAGTTGCGAAACACGTCGTGCGTGGTCTTATGGTCGGCCATGTAGGTCATCGGGATGAGGATGCCAAAGAAGCCCACCAGGTGAATCACCAGGATGACCGTCTCAAGTCGGGGGAGAAACTTGCCTCCAACCAAGTTGATTCCCAACGCCAGCAGGACCGCCGCCCACATGATCAGGGTTCCATGCCAGGCCTGCGGCTGGTAATGGGAGTGAGCGAGAAGGACAGCGCCTTGGATCTGAGTTCCAGCAAGAAACGAGGCCGAGGCGAAAGCAGCCTGCCATCCGATGACAGTGACCCATCCTATAGAGATGATACGGTTAGTAGGGACAACAATGGTGACCCAAGGATATACCTACCGGTCATGTAACTGAGGAACTTCATGAGATGTGGCGGAGCAAGCATTGCACACCAATGGTATTGACCTCCGGAAGTTGGCGCCCTTGCAATCGTCAGTATTTCATTTCAGTGCCTAGAGGGCTATTGCAAGATATCATCCACATACATTGAGGCCAATTCCGATAGAACTACAAAGCAGCATGCGGTTCCCGTCCAGGCAAAAATAAAGGCGTAGACTGCTCCTCCGGGACCTCCACTGGACGCTGTTAGTTCCAGATTCGTGTCGACCGATTTACGATACTGACTTTTGTAAGGGTAAGAGAAAAGTGCTGTTCAGGGTAATTTATTAGTTGCATGATCGATTCGCGAGAGACCAGGAATCATACTCGAATAAGCCTTCCCATGTCGCAAGAATCGTACAGCTGAACCCGAGTGTGGAGAGGATGCCAAACGTTCGCTATGAAGTCGAAGTAAGATCAAGGAACAGCTAATGAAGAGGCAGCTTATCCTACCTTCAGAACTGATTTCTTTCCCAGTCGCGCCAGATCGGTGACATCGCGATCATGGCTGCCCATCATTCCACGAACCTCCTCGTTCGCAGAGACAGCGCGATGCTTGAGTTGGTGTGACTCCATGTTTGCAATTCCACGAAATTCGAGGACCAGCAGTTGAACTCAATAGCTGCTAGACTTTGTCGCGATGAATCCCAGGGAATGCTTCATTTTAAGGTCCAGGAGCAAGGAAAAGTGGGTTGCTTGACATAACGCAAGGTTCCCAGACCAGTCTGGCCACCATCGAGACAACCTTCCGGATAGGTTTTAGTATGAACGCAGACCGAGGCCCTCTTATGGGTGGGAAGTAACCCCGACTGAAGCCAATATCGACGGTGTCTTTCTAATTTACGATCCCTGTCGTCCCCCTGGCTCGCAATTCTGATGGGCCATCAACAGGGGTTTGCATCCACAATGGGAGCAAAGGTCCAACACTCAGCCTTTTGAGGTCCAGCGGTGATATAGCACCTCAAACCCGGTGTCCTATGCAATATGCATTCTTATAATTGCTCAATGCTCAAGCGTCCCACTGCCGAGTCTAGATTGATCACAATGCTTAGGATGTGCTTCTTTGGTCTCGAATTTCTTGACCCGCCAACCGCCCCAAGCCAAGACGCCATATGATCGTGATCGCAGGGTAGACTTTGTTAGACAGATTACTCTGAAACTAGTCTTCCTATCAATCGGCATCATCTACTGAGACCAGTTAGACCACAGTCGATCAGCCGTCTGGAATCCACTCCTATTACGCGATAAGTCTTGGCGTGACTAGGGTTCAGGTCGACAATGTAACCTTGCTCCGTATACGGGGATGAGAAAATTTTGTCTCGATGGTCGCATGCTCCTGATGCATGCACTAGGAATCATGCCGTGCGTGTTTCACCAGAGCAGTTGAGTCTGCTGTGCTCGCGTCTGGGGCCTGCCTTCCAGCCCTGTCGAGCTGTATATGCAGCAGTAGCACCCATGAGACTAGCGGTAGTATGCGCATGTGAGTTGTCTTCATATCGGTGTTGGTGTCATGGAGACAAGCACTTTGGCTGAGAATCAGACGGAGAATTCAAAGGACAGCTAAATCTGCAATCGAGGGAATATAGTATTGGTACTACTTGTTGCGAATGGAAAGGTACACGAGGATGGCACGGCAAAGGATGAGATCCCTGTCCCTCGCTAGTCAGAATCAAACTTTGGATGTTTCTACCTGGTCAAAGTGGGTTCACATGAAGTCGACTCACTATCGGCCTTGATTTCGACATTAAATGTCAAGGAAGGCTCTGCTTCATCCCTTGCTGCATCTCCTTTTCTCTGATATGAATGCCATTGTGCTTGACAAGCGCTATTGAATAGCCGGGTTTTCATCGCCTGCCTGCAAGGCATGACTGGCAGACATGGGACGATTTGCCAATTCTGATACCCGAGATCCTGCCGTCAATGTCACCAACTGGTTTCTGGTCGTTGTTGCGGGGTTAAGCGTGCTTATTCGGCTGGGGACCAAGTTCTGGATCTTTCACCGGTTGACCAGCGATGATTACCTGATAATCGCAGGCTTGGTATGTTTACTGAACATGAAATACCCAGGAGAATCCGGCGTCTTACTCGCCCTTCATTACAGGCATTCTGCATTGCACAATCTGCAGCCATCTCAACAGCGGTGGCACACGGATATGGATATCATTTCGCGACAATCTCGAGTCAAAATTTTGACCAGGTCATGAAGGTACGTGAGCTAGAGACAGCTGCAGCCTTGGGTCCGGCTCATTCTTGAATCCAGTCACAGTATGCAGCCTACATCTTGTACTTCGCAAGCCTTTGCTTTTCCAAGCTATCGCTCTCAACGTTTATCCGCAACTTGACCCCGGTGCATAAGGATCACTTCCAGGCGGCCGTCCTGCAGGTCCTTATTACGATTCTGGGAGTGGTTGGGGTCATTGGTACGGCCTTTCAATGTCATATGCCCCGTCCATGGGATTATTTGCATGGTCAATGCTTCAACTTGGTAGCCGCCCTGTCCGTCCTTCATAGAAATATCCCACGTAATCGGTACTGACTCTCATGTGCTAGCTCGCCTGGAACTACTTTCTTTCGGTGTCGAATATTGTTACAGATTGTATGATCATTGCACAGGCCTTGCTCTTAATTGCCGGCATTCAGGCGACGTGGGGAAAAAAGATAGTGTTCGCCAGTATATTTCTATCCAGAATCATGTTCGTGTATACTCCCGGGTTTCTAGTGTTGAAACTGCAATGACTGACCTCTTCTATCTAGCGTGATCATAGCAGCAGTTGTCGAACTGGTCTTCTTGCGCGACGTCAGTCATTCCACCGATCCGACATACGACTACTGTCCTACCACAATCGTGTCGCAAGTTGTGCAGTGCGCGAGTATAGTCACTGCAAGCTGGGGCCAACTGAAGCCGTTCCTCAATCAGCTCAAGTCCAATGGGCTGCGTATTCAAGGGGTGGAGTACCAATATTCGACTGGGAAGGGTCAATCATCACGATCCTACGGACGATCTGCGACACACCATAGCCGGGAGGAGCACCACGAACTGGTTCCAGTCGCATCAGGACAGAATCTGACCACAATTTCGGCGTCACCGGGGTGGGATGCGGATAGCCAATCCAGTCAAACTGGGATCATCCGCGAGACACGGACATGGGTCGTGACTGGCGATGAAGGAGATCCAGGTCATAGGTCTTGACGTGAGTGAATTCTACCTCGTAGCTCAGGACCAGTTGGATGAGGGTCAACTATGACTATCACTGGGCCGTCTCTGGGCAATGAGAACTGTTTCTGATAATCTGATCCTTGTTCTCCTCCTCTGGAGAACAAAGCTGTGTTGCGGCAACGAGATTCAATACTTTTACGAATGCAGCCGTATTTAATATCAGTTGTCTGCTTCTCTGTCTGTACCGTAAACAAACAATCATCATTCAGAGTGAGAGACATTAGAACTCGATGCCAACTTTCAGTGTACCCTGCTGCGATGGGGATTGAAAGTTGCGATAAGCCTCGGAGATATCCGCAAACGAATAGTCTGTATGATATATCAGCTCCCGCTCCGATCTTCTGTGGTTGAGAAAAGCGCCTTACAGTGAGTGAACAAAACAGAAGGGTCGAGTTTTTCTGATTGACACAACCTGAGTAATGCAGGAACAGATACCGTGTCAACCAGCCGGGTCCGGATAGCTACAGAACAGAGTCAGCTTCGATACAGATTGTATATGGGCCAACCCATAACTGACCAATGTTCCGGTCCCAGAGTTTGTCCAACTCTAATGAAACTTTCTGGCCGTGAACTCCCACATTGGCAATACTACCACCCGGAGCGACCAGCTTCTGACAGAGTTCAAAGGTTGCAGGGATACCGACTGCCTCAATCACGGAATCGAATCCTTTCCCCTCAGTCAACGAATCCAGCATTCCCATGGCTTCGGGGCTGGAAGGATTAACAGTCTGATCGGCCCCAAGTCGCTTCGCGTGCTCCAGTCGAGTATCATTGGTGTCGACTGCCACGATCAGAGCTGGTGTGTACAGCTTTGCTGTCATCAGCACCGATAGGCCAACAGGCCCAGCGCCCACGATGACCACTCTGCTGGCTGGTTGCACCATGGCGTTGAGTGTGCCGCACTCCATGCCAGTGGGAAGAGCATCTGAGAGAGCCACGCAAGCCATGGGGTCAGATTTGCCGGACAGCTTGTACAGCGAAGAGGCGGCATGCGGGATCCGCACATATTCGGCCTGCGTCCCGTCAATCCAGTTGCCCAGGATCCAACCGCCGGTCTCGCAGTGAGAGTTGAGGTTCCTTCGGCAAGCAGGACAAACACCACACGAGCTGATACACGAGATCAACACGGTGTCTCCTACGGAAAGACCGTTGACGGCAGTGCCCAGAGATGCAACACTACCCACCCCCTCATGACCTAGAATGCGCCCGTGCTGCACGGTAGGCACATCTCCTTTGAGGATATGGAGATCCGTCCCACAGATGGTGCTGTAGAGCATCTTGACAATTGCATCGGTGGGAGACTTGAGGTCTGGTACAGGCCGATCCTCTACCTTGTAGGAGTTGGGTCCTGCATACACTAATGCCTTCATTGTTTTCCTGGCCTATGATTATTAGCTCATTAAGTAGGATAATCGGTCAATTCATTGCTACAGGTTGTCTACTATACCTCAGAGTGACTGGAGTTTGTTGTGCTGGTGGTCATTGAGTTGGATCTGACGCAGTGGTAAGCTCCTATCACGCGGCGAGCACTGAACGAAGGGAGGGTAATTGTCGGGGTAAGTTGAGAGATAAGAGATCTAGAAGAATATAGAGTGCTCAAGGATTTGGATTTTGTAGCACTGCAAAGAGCTGCCATGACTAGAACCATTTATTATCCCGTCAAGTCTCGTACGATATGGAGAATTCGTGATCGAGTCTTATACTGCAGTATATTTGTTGCTAAATCAGTCTATGACGCCGACGGTGATCATGCCAAGTCTGCAAGACATCAGCGTTTTTAAGCCACAGGCTGCGGACTCCTTTTCGATAGGTAGTTGGCGCATATGTAACACAGAATAGGTTGGTAAAAAAAAAAGTTGTTGTCCCAAACATATGATCGAATCTTGCCTCTGTGCAGGAGACCGGGTTGGAGCATACCTACACACGGGAAAAAGGAACATTCGACATGTAGACGGTAATCATCTTATCATCTGGTCCAGGCCTCGATTTGTTCGGTCGAAGAATATGTGTTGCCCATTTAGGATCATCCAAGGCATGATCCGGGGTATAATCCTAAGAATCCCGATTGTGTAATAGCATCATGCCACGCAATCGGTTCGCACCAGAACATGCCATGGTGAAGCCACATCACCCCACAACATTATAAACCGCCAAAGGCAAGAATGACGGAGTTTGTAAATAGCAAAATATAAAGAGCCGATGAGATAGCAACGTAGAGAGGAACCGTCAACAATTTAGCCCTTCTGAAACTCACCATCACATATCCCGCTGATACTGTCGCCATCATGGGCTCAAACGACGCTTCTGAACAACTCTTCCACATCCTTTTGACAACCAGTCATCTTCAAAAAAACCCAAACAACATTGTCGAAAAGGTCCGAATCCCAGCCACCTACACAACGCTCCAGGCGGCCAAAGCTGCGGCATACCGTTGTCTGTTTGACGCGGGCTACGAAAAGGAGTGGTTCACCACGTACGAGACCAAGCCAGAGATCTTCGAGAACAGAGATCTTCCCGAGCGGTCGGGATTAGCCGTCTTCGCTGTTGCTCCCGATCGAACAGAATTCCGGGTCCATATCATCACGACCCCGAAGGATGAAAAGCTGGTCGCCGAGGTCGTCGAGGGCCACGTCACCAACCCATTGTACTACGTGGTACAAGCAAATGTTGAGTACAACGCCGATGAGGGCAGCAGAGTGAGCGATATTGACATTGAGGGAGTCTTCCAGTCTTACCAAGAGGCAAGGGACTTGGCTAGCCGGGTGTTGCTGTCCAAGGAAGACACGATTACAAAGGAGAGCTTTGCTGAATACACTGAAGCAGCCCCTACAGAGAAGGACTGTGGATATGGAGAGAATGTTATTGTCCGGGCAGTGTCAGAATACGGGACAAACTATTTGATTTCGGTCGTCAAGAACCAGGAACTGGAAGCTGTGCATCTGGCAGAGGCGGCCATGAGGATATTGTGATGATCTGCTTGTCTTCTAGTTGATCCTGAAGCGTTCTGTGTGGATTCTAGCCTGACTGTCTAATGTAGATTAATCAGATGGCGCTTCGAATACCCAACAGCGCCTTTGGATAGATATCACTTGACAACTCGAGCAACTCACTCCATTTTTTCGTGCTATCATTTCGTTGTAATAGTGCGAGTGAGCCTCCCAAAGGAACTCGATATGACACATTCCAACCGTGGACATACCGTGGACATTCTTCATATCGGCTCCACTAGAGCGAGTTCATTCCCATCTCAGTCGCAGGTGGTCGATGCTGAAGATGGATCCTGGTCATTATCTATTAACGTGGTACGTCCACAGTCCAGCGAGCCTATGCCCTGGTCATCAGAGGGAAGTTGGTTTGTCTGCATCTACTTTGATTCAGCACCGTTACCCCGAGTAGAATGGCATATTAGGGCATCCACAGTCCCAGCACCCAGCCCTCCTTTGTCCGGGCCAATTCCCCGAGCCAAATTAGAACAATATTCCGAGAATGATACAGCAAAAGAGGCAGATAAACCGGTGGAGTAGTCTACGACCCGTCTAATGCGGATGTATATATCCCACGCAAATAAAATCACCAATGTGATAAAGCTCTCCTAGTCCTTCTTCTCTGACCCTCTCGGCCATCCCAAACCGGCCAGAGCTTTCGATGGTCCGACCTGTTTCCAGCGATCCAACTGCTCTTCGCTCTTCAACCATACAGAGCCCATCATTCCGGCAGCATTGGCCGTGATGCCGTCAAAATCGTTACTGCGCCTGGGGATGACAACGATCCAGTCTCGGACCAGAACGACGTTATGCGGGAAATACCCTTCGCCATCTGTGCCGGGTGACTGTCCAAGACTTTCTTTTGCCTCTGCCAAAAGGTCCTGGTAGGTTTCGGAGAGTCTTGAGGGACAGGCCAGATTCTCGAAATCCAAATCGCCAAGACGTCGCACAAAATACTGAAACGGTATCACCCCAGAGTCCAAGTTCGGATCGTCCGGAAATAGATGGGCAGGGCGCGGCAAAATCTGCACATGCTTATGGTTCCTGCTCGCACCAGCTATTGGCCCACAGTTATAGATAATCAGATGGGGACTTTTCAAAGAGTTCATGATGCTGTAAATCGCCGTAAAGTCTTCCAGGCTGAGCGGTTCATGCTGCCGCTGGTAGGAGTCGCATGTCAACAAGAGTAACTGTGGCCGAAAAACAGAGTACTTGTTGATTACGAGGAGAAATGAGTCCCATTTATAGTGCCGATGAGCAGGTCTGGATCACTGTTGGCAATATCACTGCCTGGTCCGAAGGTTTCGGGAGCTGCACTATCATTGGTGTGGAAATGGTCGCCAATCTGAGCAGGCTTTGTGCGGAGTGAAGGACTAATATGAAACTCGAACTGAGGATTGATACATTGTTAGCAAATGTCGATTTAATGCAGGGGTTTCGCACCAGAAAACCCTCATCCTGCAGCCGTCTTGTTGTTGGCGGGACATAATAAATGATCTCTCGAGCAACCAAGTCATCGAATCTCACAAGGAGAGCATCATAGGCAATATCTGTCGCCATCAGCACGTGGGAAGCCACAGAGCCTGGATTGGTGCAGCTGGGATACGAATATTCAGTTCCTGATATCGAGCAGAGGAAGAGAGACCAGTTCAATAAAAGCAATTATATGTACCACTTTCTATACAGGCTTAGTGCTTACTACGTGTCCATATCCACCGGATTCTCCTCTGCTGCGCCATGGCCCAGCCTCATGGGAACTGAAGGGTTCAAAACCATGGCTCACATTCGTTAATTTTCGGGGCCAATCCACATATTCAGCGCTTTCGAGCCTTGAAAATCTGTTAACCCAGATTTGAAAGCATGATTTCCTGAAATCACCATTAGCATTTGGCTTTTCGGACTCGCAAGGCTGAGAACAGGATGACACTAGTCTGTGTCCCGGCATGACAGCTGGCAGGCGGCTGGGCCAGATAGGCTGCTCTGTCAGTTGGTGGCGTGCCCTCCAGCATCATTCAGACAAATCGCGCATGTCAGATTGGCCAGACAGAGTAATCTCTGCCAAGTTCAAGGGCACAGTCACAGTAGATGAGGCTGATTCTTAGGGTGAGGCATTGCTGTTTCTGCACAATGTCGGCAGATATAGTCTGGACTCTAGACAAGAGATTAACAATAAGTTCAGCTTTGTTCAGTCAAAAAGAATTGAACTGCCAGTGATCTGCGGATCTACAGCAGCAAAATAGGCATTATCCAGCCCATGAACACCAGCCATAAAGATCCCAACTTCTCTCAGACAAAGGTGC